ACAGATTCATGTCCTGGCTGCTCTACTTCCCATCCAGCTCCCTGTTTGTGGTATGGAAAGGCAGTAGTGGTGGATGGCCCAAAGCCTTGGGACCCTGCACCTGTGCGGGAGACCTGGGGGAGGCCTGGGGGAGACTCATGGCTCCTGGCTTCACTTTGGCTCAGCTCTGGCTGCTGTGGCCATTTGGGGAGTGGACCAGTGGATGGAAGATCTTTCTTTCTGTCCCTCCTTTTCTCTGTAAATCTGCCTTTCCAATGAAAATCAATAAATGTTTCAAATGAATGAATGAATGAATATAAATGACCCATTTATTAATTAAAGCCAGAAAGCTAAGCACTATGCTTGGTGCTGGGATATCAGCGAGACAGACTTGTACACAGGACAGGAAAAGACAGAACGCCAATCAGTAATTAGGTGAATAAATGCTTGACTTAAAGCTTTGAGATGACAATGATGTCAATATTTATAGATCACTTGTGGTTTTAAACCCTTGGCAAATGTTAACTCAGTCCTTCTTTGCCATCACCCTGAGCTGAACACTACTGCTACACTTGAAGAAAATGAAATGTGGAGAACTTACTTACCCAGGACAGCTGATGGTATGTGGTAGGGCGAGGATGTCAATCTTGGCAGTCTGCTTTCAGGGGCTATGCTGCAGGGCGAGGTGGGGTGGGCAGCTGGGGAGGGGAGATGATTAACATTATGTTAAAAACAATGTTTTGTCAATCCATTTTGTTTCCCTCCTGGGCACTAAGAAAATGGTATTTCCCAGGTCCCTGGTGTGACTCATTTGGGTAATGGAATAAGGGTGGACATAAACCAATCTGAATTATAGCTTTTTGAGTGACAGTCGCCCCCTCCTCAATCAGGTGTGCCTTCATTGATCCTTGTGAGCCAGAGAAATAAACTGTGTGTTGAGTTGCTGAGATTTTAGGGTTAGGGTGAGCTAGAATATATTATACTATCAACAATATATATCTTAAAATTACAAAATAGTTCAAAATCAGTGACAGTCCTCTCTTTCTAAATTTCCAAGTTCTTAAAATTGTTGTATTTCCTTTCACCATTTCTTTAAGAAATCTATGAATATTTCTATGTTCATCTATGGTACAGAGAGCTCTAATTCATCTGAAGAGTTATGTAGAAATATAGTAATTGGTCCCGGTGAGATAGTGTAGCTGAAGTCCTCACCTTGAATGCGCCCGGGATCCCATAGGGGCGCCTGTTCTAATCCCAGCGGTCCTGCTTCCCATCCAACTCCCTGTGTCCTGGGAAAGCAGTCAAGGACAGCCCAAGGCCTTGGGACCCTGCACTCATGTGGGAAACCTTTGGATTGGCTTGGCTCCAGCCATTGCAGCCGCTTGGGGAATGAACCATTGGACAGGGGATCTTTGTCTCTCCTTCTCTCTGTATATCTGCCTTTCCAGTGAAAATAGATAAATCTTTAAAAAATAAAGAAAAATTAATAATAATAAAAAATACAGTAATTTACTTATCCTTCCTTGTAGTTGAGAGACTGTTCAGGTTTTTTTTTTTTTTCTTTTTTTGCTTCTATAAACAATGCTGCCATGGGCTACCTTGTAAATGCTTAATACAACAGAGAAAGGCCTCTGAGCGCTTTCTCATTTCAGCTGATTCTTGAAAAATAAGTCAGCCCTGTAGGGGCCAGGAAAAATATTCCAAGTATGTGGGACAATGGACAAGTCACAGGGTGGGAAGGAATGGCATGTTCTAGACCTACTGAGTTACAGTAAGTCAGGGTGCGAGTAGGATGAGATGGGTGCACTTGGCAGCAGGAAAGGACCACTGTGCTAAAAGTCTTTGGGGACCACAGGGATAAGTGTGAGCTGTTGAAGTATTTTCATCTGTTTCTAGATGGGTGAAACCACGCCCATAGCACTGTGATTTCTCTCTCTCAAATTCACCATGAATGTATCATCTGTTGAATGGATACAGTCATTGTTTTGCTCTCAATTTTGGAGAAACTGATGGCAGAATTTTATAGAAAATGAAAAATTTCCAGTTCTTTTTCTTGCCTCTCTTCCAAGAAAAAAAAAAGAATTTATTTATTTATTTGAAAGTCATTGTTACACAGCAGGGAAATAGAGATCTTCTATTTGCTGGTTCACTCTCCAAATGGCCCCAATGACCGGAACTGGGCTAGGCTAGACTGAGAAGCCAGGAATCTCTCCTGGTCTCCCACAGTGGTACAGGGGCCCAAGCATTTGGGTCAGCTTCCACTGCTTCCCCAGGCACATGAGCAGGGAGTATACTGGAAGCAGAGCAGCTGGGATTCCAATTGGTGTCCATATGGGATACCAGCACTGCAGCTGGCCGTTCCCAGCTATATCACAAGTCACAGCACTGGCCCCTTCCCTGCCCTTTTGTGTCTGAAGGTAGCTATATACTTAAAAATGAAACCAGAGATAGCATATTTTTCCAACAAAGGACCTTGCACCCCTGTGGGAGACCTGCAAGGGACTCCTGGCTTCTGATCTGCTCAGCTCTGGCCACTTTAGCCATTTGGGGAGTGAATGAGCAATGGCAGATTATCTGTCTGTCGCTCTCTTTATAAATCTGCCTTTCCAATATAAATAAATAAATCTTTAAAAAGGAATTATCATATTGATCCAGCAATCCCACTGCTAGCTATATATGCAAGGGCTTGAAGTCATGTTGCAAAGCTGTCTGCATTCCCAATTATATTCCAACATTTTTCACTGTAGCCAAGATATGACAGTTACCTAAGAACTCACGAACAGATGAATGGATTTAAAAAGGTGACATACAGGTGTATACACAATGGAATACTACCCAGCCTTATCAAAGGAGGAAAGACTGTCACTTGGGACAACATGGATGATTCTGGAGAACACTAGTAAAATTAACTAGGCACGGGGAGCTAAAAACCACATGATCTCTCTTACATGTTGGGTGTTACAACACTGAACACGTAGAGGGTACTAGGATAGTTAGCAGAGACTGGGAGGGACGGGGCTAACAGGGAAAGGAGAAATGCTTTCAAAGGATAGTTTCAGATCAACAGCCCGGTGGCTGTAGTGAATTCTACATTGCATATTTCAAAATCGCTAAGGATGGATTTTCTAAAAATGATTTCTTTTCGTTGGAAACACAGAATTACAGAGAAGGAGAGATAGAGATTTTTCCATCCATGAGTTCACTCCCCAGATGGCTGCAGTCACCAGCACTGAGCTGATTCCAAGTCAGGAACCAGGAGTTTCTGGGTCTCCCATGTGGGTGCAGGGTTCCAAGACTTTGGGTTGTCCTCTACCGCCTTCCCAAGGCATGCCCAGGGAACTGGATGTGAAGTAGGGCAGCCTGTACTTGCAGCGGCACCTATGAGGGATGCCAGCACTGCTGAGCTGTGTGTTACCAAGATGTAAGTATTTCCGTCACAAAGAAGTCTGGATGTGGGTTTAGCCTGTGGGATAGCAGATAATGCTGTCCCTGTATCGCCTGGGGCTTCTCCCCTTCAGATCCAATTCCCTATTAACACAGGGAAAAGCAAGCCGAGGATCCCCACCCCATTGGGTTTGGGTTCATGCCACCCACGTGGGAGACTCAGATGAAGCTCCTGACCCAGGTCTGGTTTAGCCTAGGACAGCATTTGCCACCATTTGGGGAATGAAACAGGAACGGAAGATGCCTTTCCCTCCCTCTCTTTCAAAATTAATACATCTTTGAAAAAAAAAAAAAGCCCAAGGAAGTAAGAATGTGAGATAAGATACAGTAGCGCATTTTGCACCTGTCACTAAGTATCCTCCTTCCTCTCAAGTGTACTTACAAATAGAAAGGTCAATTGCAAAGTTAAGAAAGTGTTCTTCCCTGAGGTAGTTTGCAGAGGATTGCCAGTCCCTGCCCTGCAGCAAAGTCTCTCAGGAGAGACAAACAATGCCAATGACGGGATTGTGTGTAAATGGGCTTTAGAAGCACAAAAGAGGGAAAAAATGTTTACAAGCTCTCAGGATCAGTTATTGACGAGGGACCAGGAGGGACCACGAGGGACCACGGGGAGTGTCCCAGCCTTTAGAGAACTGCACCAGCCCCTCTTTTCAGACTCAGAAGGTTGAAACCGCCAAATGGTCGCTGCATAGGGGAAGTGCCCGGGACCCAAGGCCAGACTTCCCAGCAGATCAATTGTCTGAATATCTGTCGGATGGCAGCCACTGTTCGTCGGAATACCCCGGGGGCTTACAAAATGCCAGCCTAGCCAGAGGATCGCCATTTGGAAAGAGGGGGCAAAGTCTCCCACGGCAGGGGAGCGGGAGGGGGAGGCATAGAAAGCTCTAGAAGGACAGGGCGGTTCGTCTGCGTGGAGGGACTAAAACCGAGTGGATTTGGGCGGGATGGGAAGGAGATTAACATACACCCAGCCCGCCTGAAAGTTTAGCCTGCCGCTAGCCTTGTCCCTACCCCAATCCTATTTTCTCTCCCTGCCCCCCTTTTTTCCCACAGCTTAAAAAAAAAGAAAGGGAGGGGGAGGACTGCGTCGTGCGTCCTCCCACGCTAGACGCCGGGGACGTCTGTCTGTGGGAAGGGCAAAGGCTTGAGAAATCACCCGTGGCGAGGCCACTACGGTTTCTTCGCGATTCCGAAGCCACCAGAACTCACGCACACTTAGGGAAGGTTTCCCTCCCATACACCCCGCTTCTCCGTGGGACCCGTACCCCACTTTCGAGATTGCTGATCGATCCCTCAGGGCTAATCGTGACCTTAACAAACGCCTGGGAGGCAGGGAGGGGTTGGGGCGGCGGCGGCGGCCAGGGCGGGGCGGCGGGTGACGTCCACGGTGACGAATCGCTCGGTCCTCACCCCGTTTCCGGCGGCTCGCGGGGCGCTCTTCCGTTCGCCCCCCCTCCCCCACGTCCCCCGAATGCCGGCCCCCGCCCCACCCCCCACCCCCACCCTCCGCGAACACTACCGCGCGGGGCGACCGGGCGAACCGGCTCGGGTTGCTCTCGGGAGGCCCCTCTGCGGAGTCTCTCTTTCCGCTCTGCCTAACGACTTCCGCTTTTGAGCCCGTCAACATGGAGACGGCGGCTGCGGGGCCGGGCGGCCTCTGAGCAGTGGCGGAGGCGCGGCGCTGCCGGGCTGCGGCCACACGGCTTCCCCGCCCTCCGTGCCTCCCCCGCCCCTCGCCTCCATCCCCGAGGCCGGCGGCTAGGCGATCCATGGGGGCGGGCCTCTGCGGGCGGAGCGCGGCTTCCTGTTCTGAAGCTTCCCGGCGGTAGGCGGCGGCTCCACTGCCCGCGCCCCGCCGCAGAAGGCGCGGTGACCGACTGCCCGGGAGGCTCCGGGGCTACATCTCGTGCCGCTGCACCGATCCTAGCCCCTTTGCCGCCATGGCCCCGGTACAGCTGGAGAATCACCAGCTGGTCCCGCCCGGAGGAGGCGGCGGCGGTAGCGGCGGCGGCGGCGGCGGGGGCAGCGGTGGCCCGGCTTCAGCGCCTGCTCCTCCTCCTCCCGGAGCCGCCGTGGCGGCTGCTGCTGCAGCTGCAGCTAGCCCTGGCTATCGACTGAGCACTCTGATCGAATTTCTGCTCCACCGGGCCTACTCAGAGCTCTTGGTGTTAACGGATCTGTAAGTGCCGCGAAACCCCAGCCTGCTTCCCAGCCATCTCTTCCCGCGCAACCGATTGAGAGGTTTGCGCCTCCCTCCCTACCGTGTTTCTCCCCGGCGCGGCTTAGTCGAGAATTTCGGAACTCAAGGGGTTCGTTCAGTAGAGGTGGCTGAAAAGCTTTGTACTGGAGGGGCTTTCTGGCGTGCAGGCAACGGAGACCTGTTCATTTGGCGTATTGCTAACACTTGGGTTGAAAATTGTCTTTGGGATTTTTGTCCGACTTGGAACCTTTTTAGCTTCCAGCATTACAGTTCAGGGTTTAAGAATATTCCACATTTAGAATGAAAAGAAAATCCCAAAGGCATGCATTCAGTCTTAGAGCCTCTGGACGATATGTTTTGAATGTAGGGTGTGTAATTGCTTCTAAGTTTCAACCTAGGAGATGGTGTATAAAATAACGCAACATTGTATGTTTAAGTACTTTCTTTCCTAGAAGATGGTAAGAATTGCAAGTCCTCTTGAGTCGTATGTATCAAAAAAAATTTTTTTTGTAGCCAATCTGTTGTTGTAGGGAGTTTGTAAATTACTTAGTTACCTGTGAAGTGCCTTGGGGGCATGGTTAGGGTGTTAATCCCTCCAGAATATGAACATAATATACTAATGCTTTTCAGTATATGAAGAAAAGGCTCTGTAAAATTTGGGGGCTGCGTTTTGCACGTTATAAGTCAGGTTCAGAATTAATATTTAATGTAGATTAATTTTCTTCCCTAATGGTAAGATTGCAAATCAGGGGTCTTTGTCAAAAAACATCAGTATGCAAAAATTAGACTGTTCAGTGTCACAGTGATTGGTTACTGGAGACTTAAAATAGTTGCAGGTGACTCCAAAAATTAAAATAGCTTCCATTTCTCTAAACCATTCTCAGTGTTGATGTACTGTACTTTACTGAATGAGACAGATATAAATAAGCCCGCCTCTGTCTAAGGAGAAATTTATGAGAAATAGCTGTCATCACTGAAATGATTTCAGTGGTACACATCTCTGTACTGTTCATTGTTGAGTCTTACAAGAACCTAAGAGGGTCCATGAGAAAGTTTCATGTGTGTGAAGGTCACGTACCCTGAATAGAGCTATGGGAAAAACATGTTGAGAACTGCTGCTGTTAATGATTGTGGTAATTAGTTTTTCCATAAAGGATTTGTAGAAATTTCTTGAATAATATTGTGTTATTTTAACACTTCAGGATGTGGCTTATGAAGAGAGGAACATCTGTTTTATTGTCAGAGAAAAAGTATTAGTTCCATGCCTTTCTATGATGTTGATTTCTATATACCATATAGGAGTATACACACACTTCACATACTTTAAAAAGGTTAATGGAAAAGCATCATTAAAAGATGAATTTTGAAATCACAATGCTGCTTTCAAAAAAGAAGGTTCTATTTTTATTGGAAAGTCAGATTTACAGGGTGAAGGAGAGACACAGAAAGATCCTTCCTCTGGTAGTTCACTCACCAAGTAGCCACAGTGGCTGGGGCTGAGCCAATCTGAAGCCAGGAGCCAGGAGCTTCAGCTGGGTCTCCCACGTGGGTGCAGGGTCCCAAGGCTTTGGGCCATCCTCTACTGCTTTCCCAGGCCACAAGCAGGGAGTTGGATGGGAAGTGGAGCAGCTGGGACACGAACTGGTGCCCATTTGGGTTCCTGCTACACGTGAGTCTAGGACCTAGCCACTAGGCTACCATGTTGGGCATGCTGCTGTTTTCACACTATGCATTTTTCATGGACTTTCTAAGATGCATGTATTTTCAGTATGTTTTTCCTTCATTCCAGATTCTATATCCAATTGCCCGTATTTTATTATTGAATGGGTGTTTCAACCTCTGTAGCCCAGAACCAAACTCCTGATTCCACTCAACACTCTTTCTCCCCCAAAAGCCACCTTTCCCATCTCAAAACAGCACGAGGCTACTTCAAAATGTTCATGGAAAAATAGAATTAAAAGATATTTTATTGTGGTTTAGAAGCATTTTGAAATCCATGCAGAATGTTTTTGGGGCATGTATTTTCTTTGAGGTTTTTTGGGGGATTTATTTTCATTGGAAAGTCAGATTTACAGAGAGGAGACATAGAACGAAACATCTTACATCTGCTGGTTTATTCTCCAAGTGACCGCAACAGCCAGAGCTGAGCCTATCTGAAGCCAGGAGCTTCTTCCTGGTCTCCCACATGGGTGCAGGACCCCCAAGGCTTTGGACTGTCCTCCACTGCTTTCCCAGGGCACAAGCAGGGAACTGGATGGGAAGTGGAGCAGCTGGGACATGAACTGCTGCCTATATGGGGTCCTGGCAATTTGTAAGAGGAAGGATTAACCAATTGAGCCAATGACCTGGGCCCCATTTTAGGCTTCTTAGAACTCTCTTATAGCTCACCATCTTGGCTTAGAAACATTTTACATTCACTTGTATGTACTGTGACCATAAAAGTTATGATCCAAACCAGAACTTTTTTTGTGAAGACGGTGCTGTTAATGTTGGTTCAATACACATAAACTGGAACTACTTTGGGCAAACCAAGACATGTGATCATCTTAGTGTTGAGACCCTATGTGATGTGTGCCTAAATGACCTTACTTCTTTAATTTGAAGTCCTGATTGTCTCTTCCTCACTTCTCTTCCACCTTTACTGCCCCTCTTGATGTTTTTGATAGTGTCTGCCACATTCCCACCGTAGAGCTGGCTTGCTCTTCCATTTTCCCTACAGCACTGATTGCCACCTGACATGATTAGTAAATTGTGCCCTATCCCTCGTTAGGGATAAGTTCTGTGAGGACTGGGGTTCTGACTTGCTTGCTATTTTCCCTGGCACATACTTGGAGGTTAACTAGATGTTTATTGACTGAATATATGAATGAATGAATTTTTAGGGCTCTCCTGTAAATCTTTAACAAATTAATGCTTTGGATAAATAAGTATATAAATGAACCTTCCTCACTATTAGTTTATGGTAACCAAAATTAATTTAGGAATGTACTATGAAAGTTCTTAAGTAGCCTGCTCTTCGTTGTTTCAGGTAGAATCCCTGACAGTTAACTCATTCATGTAGAGCTAGTATTGTAGGTAAGCTTTTGATGAGAGTTTCTTAGGGACATGGTTAGTTATTTCAGCCTCTGGTGCTTGTCTGTGAACTATTGAATTTGAAATTTAAGTGGTTTGGTTTTGGTCTCAGATTTGCTTTTTTCTTTCTTTCTTTCTTTTTTTTTTTTTTTGCCTTCTGCTTATTCAACTTTGCCCTCCCCTAAACATACATGCTTTCAATTTATTTTCTGGGGAAAAAAATAACAACTTAGTTAAATATCAAATTCCAGGATCTCAGTCATGTAAACTCATTGTACTTCAGTGTAACTAAGTGTGTGCCTTACTTCTAAACATTTGCGTTTTAGGTTTGTTTGTTGTTTTTAACCACAAATGATAGGCTTTCTTTTTCTTAAAAAAGATTTGCTTATTTATTTGAAAGGCAGAGTGACAGATCTTCCATCCACTGGTTCGTTTCCCAAATGGTTGCAACAGCTAGAGTTGGGCCAGGCTGAAGCCATGAACTTTGTTTGGGTCTCCCATGTAAGTGGCAGGAACTCAAGAACTACAGCCATTAGCCACTGCTTCATTAGCAGGGAACTGGATCAGATGCTGAGTAGCTGGGACTCAAACTTGCACTCTTAACCTGCTGTGCCACAATGCCTGCCCTGGATTTATTTTACATAAAGGGGTTTTATTTATTAATTTTTATTTTATTTTTGATGTTGTTTACATAGTTGAGAGGGATGCACGCCCTTGTGCATCTCTGATTAGGGTGGGGAGTATTAAGTGTGGAGGAAGATGGGTGGTGCAAATTCTTCAGTTTTTTTCTCCTGTCTGCAGAGGGGGAGGGGAGGTCCTCCCCCCTCCCTTTTCAAAGTACATCAGTACCTGGTGATAAGGAACAGTCCTTTAGTGACACCTTAGAGACAGTATGTGGGGGAAAAGGGTTCCAAGGGTGTTTCTGGAGTGGATTTGGTAGTTCTGAGATGCTGTCAGCTTCGTTGCACCAGGGTTAAGAAAATCTTTCCAAGGTCTATTGGTTGACCAAGTCCAGTTCAATGTGCATCCATAGACCCAGGAACATGCTGCAAAGATTAGGCAGGAGAACCTGTTCTGCTTTTCATCCTCTGATGAGGCACTTGACATTCTCTGTTGGCCTAGATGAACTGGCTGTCACGTCCCCTGAGTGCATCTGGGTGTGCTGTCCCCTGCACAGGCATCAGCAGCTGATGAGTCGCAGTTCCAATACATGCACTCCAAGATTGGGGCCCATACCTATCATTCAAGAAGTGATAGTTTGGAGTAGGGAGGCGGAATAGAGTGTTGTTCAGACTGTTGAGATGTGGACCGTGAAGCAATAGTTAACAAAACGTGGTGATTCAGCAGGCAGATCAGACCTTTCTAAGCATCATTGGGTATGTTAATGTTATTAGGGAGAAGTAGACATTGGTTGCTGACTATTAATACTAGAAAGCCAGCCAAAATATTAAACTGGAGCTATTTAAAAGTAAGCAAGGGTAGATGTTCAGCCAAGCAGTTAACATGCTCACTTTTTGCATTGTACTCCTGGGATTCCGTTGGCAATGCCAGCTTCTGCCCATGCAGATCCTGAGAGGCAGCAATGATGGCTTCAATGATTGGGTTCCTGCCACCCAAATGGGAGACCTGGGTTGAGTTCCTGGATCCCAATTTCAGCCCTGGCCATTGCAAGCACTTGGGGAGTGAACCAGAAGATGGAAGGAAGCGCTATCTCTGTTTCTCAAATAATACATACAAATTTAAAAGTAATGTATCTTTCCATTTAACCACCATGCAAATTGTAATTACTGTAAAAACCCTTGTCTGACACTGGTCCCTTTGTGTGATTAGCTTCCAGTTTTATCCACAATAACAAAACAGAGATTATTGCTTCGAAGTAAGATATCTGTTGGATTTGAGGAGGTTGGTACTCCTTTGAAGACTAAGAGGATGTTTTCTTGAAATTTCTGTAACAGCATGCTGCTGTGAGACTTGGGCTTTTTCAATGTTTGTGGTTCATGCAGTATCTTTTGAAGTATTTTCAATGGACAGAAATATTCTTTTGCTGATTTTTCCTTTATAGCTGTTTTGCTGGAAGCTCATTAAAAAGTAGGTAGCATCTTCTGAGTAACCATTTACTCAGGTTTTTTTTTTAATGCTGATATGTGGGTCAAAGGAATATTGTCATGCCTTTATGAAAGCATACATATATTTAATTAATTTATTATTTTTTTCTTAGATTGCCAAGGAAATCTGATGTGGAAAGGTATGAAAAGCTTTAAGTTTGTGTTTTTACTGATGTTTCTTTGAGTGTTGATGTGTGAATATGATTAGTGTGGGCTAGGGTGATTGTTCTCTTACATTTTGTGTTTAGGAAGCACCAGGGAAATGCAGTTGACTCTTAACAATACTTCTGGAGTGAGACCAGTTCTGGACCTTCTATTCTGTGAACTTTGATTGAATGACTAACTGGGTCAAGCTCCTGAGGGGTATAGGAAGATGTATACATTTGTAGTGGAAAAAGCTGAGAAGCAGGCTGGCTTTCAAAAGTTGGTAACTAATTTACCAACTTGTTATAATGTTGCTAGCAAATATCTTTAGAGGGCTGGCTGGCATTTGCCTATTGCTGTTACTGTTTTACAGCTGAGAAAATTTTGGTTCAGCTGAAAGTTGAGGCTGAAGACTTGACACTGGTATGATTTTGTAAGCCAAAGGAACAAGCTAAAATAAGACTTCAAAGAGATCATGTGATTGAAATTTATATTAATGACTGTCTACAAGCTACTTGGCTCTCTCGTTGACACTGCGGCTTCTTGATTCCCCCGACCCCCTCAATACCAAGCTACTGGGAAGGCTTTTAGCATTACTGGTGGCTATACTCCTGCCAAGCCTAAGTGACCTTTTTGATAGAATTAGACAGAAGCCAGAAAGTTAGAGATGGAAGAGATAATTGAAATAAGCTTGTTTTATGGCATAATTGGTCAGTTTTTTTTTTCCTCCCTCCCCGACTGGGAGGAAAGTGTAACTTAGGGTTTGTTCTTTTCCCTGAGGCAGCTGCTAGAAGTATTCCCTCTAACATTTCTGTTGTGTCTCAGTCTCACCCATGCTATACTGTTTTATCCGTTACAGTCTTCCACGGACATTGGAACAGTCTTTATATGGCCCCTAGTCAGGTTGCTGGCTCATGTCTGAGGAAGTCCTGCAGGTTGTCTGTGGGCTGCCTACACTCTGCACAGGAGCTGGGCTCTGTAGCCTTCAGCCAGCATTGTGCTTCAGCAGGAATTTTTATTTTGACACGCTGCATTGTGGTGGTGTTGGTGAGACAGAGTTGGCTTGGATCAATAGGTCACTGAATAGCTGTCCTAAGATTAGTAGGTCGGAGTCCACGGAGAGGGAGCTTGCATAGTATCCTTCACCAGTCCTGGCCTGTGGAGTGTTGTCTTCGGTTCCTCAAGGTAAACCATGAGGTGTAATGATGATCAGTTTCGCAGTTGCTGTGGAGTTGACAGAGCCAGCTGAAACACTGGTTGACAGCCTCAAACTTGTAGTCAGGCTTCTAAGGCTCTGTGAGGAAAGGTTCTTATAAGATCAAAATGGGCCATTGTTTTTATAGCAAGGCTTAAGCTTCAAGCTTTGGTCAAGGTCTGTATTCATTCCTTTCCCTTACCAAAAAAGCATCACTAATTACAAGTTTCAGTTATGAAATTCATAATTCTTAACCCCTAATTTGATCCTGTCTATATCTATGTATTGAGTATATTTTAGTAAGCTACTTTTATTATATGTAGTAAGCTACTTTTATAAAATTAATTTTAAAAATATTCATTGCTAGAATATACAGTTGAATTTGTTACTGAGATAAAAAATAAAGCATGCAGATGGTGCGAAAGATGTGATAGTAATTCATATTTAGAAGTGTTTTAGGTGGGTCATTTTGTTGTGGTTATAAGCAAAGGTTAATTTGTTTTTAAGTTCAGATGAAGTAGCTTGTGAAAGACTGTCTGATATTTTGGTTCATTGACAGTTGTTTTATTTTATAGGAAAATAGAAATAGTGCAGTTTGCAAGCCGAACCCGCCAACTGTTCGTTCGGTTATTAGCTTTAGTAAAATGGGCTGATAATGCTGGCAAAGTGGAAAAATGTGCGGTGAGTTCAAGTTTTAACTTTATTTTGTATAAAATAGCTTTTGGAATGTTAATTATAACAAATATATGTGATGTAAATATGGTTTCCAATTATAGCTTTGACTCATTTGTGATTTGATGATATTACTTATGTAAGTATTCCTATTTCTGTATATTAAGGTATAGAAAATTTCTAGGGAAACTTAATATCTCTGGTTGCCTGCTCAAAAAGACATCGTAACAGAGGGACTTGACATAGGAGACTGGAACTACAGAAGGAAAGTGGTTCGTTTCTGTAGGCTTTCATAGAATTTGCAAGGTTCTTTCCTTTAGTTTTGCTTATTGATTCCTGAAAATCCTGTGAAAATGACAATGAATATTTTCCTTGTATCTTATAGGTGAGAAGAGATAAGGTTCTTAGAAAATTCAGGGCTTGTTGAAGGTCACAGACCTTATCTGATAACACCGTTTGTGTGTGTGTGCTTGTTCCTGTACTCATTCTCTAAATCTCTGTTGAGCACAGGCTGTAGGACCTGGCAGGTGGCGGCTTGCATAGGAGAAAGTCACTGCAAACATGCATTCTTTTGACATTGAATCACTGAGGTTTATTTATTTTTATTGGAAAGGCAGATTTACAGAGAGACAGATTCCATCTTTGTTTCACTACGTAAGTGGCCACTACGGCCAGAGTTGAGCTGATCCAAAACCAGGAGGCTGGAGCTTCTTCTGGGTCTGCCCTATGGGTGCAGGGGTCCAAGAACTTGGGCCTTTTTTCACTGCCATTTCAAGAATGTTAGCAAGGAACTGGATCAGAAGTGGAGCAGCCGGGACTCAAACTGGTTCCCCTATGGGATGCCAACATTATAGGTAGAAACCTAAACTATAAAACCACGGTGCTGGCCCCTGAAGTATTTTCTTTCTCTTAATTTTTTTTGTTCTATACTTCATTTTCCATTTTTTTTAAAGATTCATTTATTTTTATTGGAAAGTCAGATATACATGGAGGAGGAAAGGCAGAGAGGAAGATCTTCCATCTGTTGATTCACTCCCCAAGCGGCTGCAATGGCAGGAGCTGAGCCGATCCAAAACTAGGAGCCTGGAACCTCTTCTGGGTCTTCCACAGAGGTCCAGGGTCCCAAGGCTTTGGGCCATCCTTGACTGCTTTCCCAGGCCATAAGCAGAGAGCTGGATGGGAAGTGGGACTACTAGGACACGAAACAGTGCCCACATGGGATCCCAGCATATGCAAGGCAAGGACATTAGCCACTAAGCTACCACGCTGGACCTTGAATCATTCTTTTGAAGTCAAAGAAGTGACGTGCAAGGAAGTGTACCAAAGTGGTTAAAATCTACCAAAAATAATTTTTTTCCTTTAGTAGGAAACCAAGTCGAAAGTGAACCAGCTATGATTCGAACCTGTGCTCTGATGTGAGAAGTTGGGGCTGCAAGTGTTGGTTTAACCAGCTTTGCCACAATGCTTACTCCCCCATCCTCAGAATTTGAATGTATGCTCAAGGAGCTTTAAAGAGGAAAAACATCAATTTGGTTCTTGTGTTAGCTCACTGAGCTTGTAACTTGGAGGCTGGTGTGTTAATAGGTGAGACGCACAATTACTCCTGTTCACCTCAGCCTCCTTTTTTAAAGGTTTACTTATTTGTGCGGGAGAGAGAAACTCTATCTACGTGTGCACTCATCAAATGCCCACAGCAGCCAGGACGGGGCCAGGCCAAAAGCAGGAGCCTGGAGCTACATATAGGTGTCTCACGGCAGTGCAGGGGTGTATGTTAGCAGGAAGCTAATTTGAAAGTGAAGGTGAGACTTGCTGCTAGATACTCTGATGGGGGATGTGAGTTTAGCTCGCGGTGCCACCGTGCCTGCAGACTTCATCCGTATTTGAGAATGGGGTCGAGACAGATTAGAGTTATTATCACAGAATGAAAAAATGTAAAAGAATTCTAAAGGAGAGTATTGTTAGCTATTAATAGCTGGATTGTGAATACTTTAAAAAAGAAAGAATATGGCCCAGTGTGGTAGCCTAGTGGCTGAAGTCCTTGCCTTGCACACGCCAGGATGCCATATGGGCACTGGTTCTAATCCTGGTGGCCCCATTTCCCATCCAGCTCCCTGCTGGGAAAGCTGACAAGTATAGCCCAAAACCTTGGGACCCTGCACCCGTGCAGGAGACCTGGAAGAGGCTCCTGGCTTCAGATCTGCTTTGTTCTAGCCATTGCAGCCACTTGGAGAGTGAATCATCGGATGGAAGATCTTCTTCTCTGTATCCCCTTCTCTCTGTATATCTGACTTTCCAATTTAAAAAAAGTAAATCTTAAAAAAAAAAAAAGTGGCACAGTGGCCTGAATTGCCTCATGGGATGCTTGCTGAGTGTTCCTTCGAGTTTCAAGCTCCTCTGCTTCTGATTCAGCTTCCTGCTAATGCACTCAGAAAGGGAATGAATGAGGCCTCTGCCTCACATGGGAGACCCAAGTGGAATTCTAGGCTACTGGCTTCGGCCTGACCAAACCTTGACTGTTGTGAGTGCCTGGGGAGTGAACTAGCAATTGGGAGATCTCCCCCGCCACCGCTAGTTACTTTGGCTTTTGTTATTTTTTAAAAGATTTATTTATTTTTAATAGAAAGGCAGATATACAGATAGGAGGAGAGACAGAGCGGAAGATCTCCTGTCCAATGATTCACTCCTCAAGTGACCACAACTGCCAGAGCTGCGCCCGTCCGAATCCAGGAGCCCAGATCCTCTTCTGCATTTCCCACGCAGGTGCAGGGTCCCAAGGCTTTGGGCTGTCCTCAACTGCTTTCCCAGGCCACAAGCAGGGAGCTGGATGGGAAGTGGAGCTGCCGGGATTAGAACCAGCACCCATATGGGATCCCAGCGTGAGCAAGGAGAGGACTTAAGCTGCTAGGCCACTGCGCTGGACCCTACTTTGCGTTTCAAATGAAAAAAAATAATCTTTTCTTTTTAAAAAAAGGGACATGGTGATGATTAGAAACCTACTTTGACTCATTAATAAGGTATTCAAAACTAAAGTTTTATCTTAGATAAGTTGAAGAAATGTAGCTTAAGTTAATGTATTATGAGTTCAGCAGGCTAGCTTAGAGAGGGTTTCATTAATGATCCATGTTTTGTTTTTTTTTTAAAAGATTTTATGTTACTTTTAATTTGAAAGGTAGAATTTACAGATAGAGAAGGAGAGACACACGGAGAACTTCCATTCACCAGACAGCTACAGTAGTTGGAACTGGGCTGGTCAGAAGCCAGGAGCCAGGAGCCAGGAGCTTGTTCTGGGTGTCCAGTGTGGGTGCAGGGGTCTGGATATTTGCGCCATCCTGTACTGCTTTCCCAGGCAAATAGCAGGAAGTTGGATTGGAAGTAGAACAGCCAGAACTGGAACAGAAGCCTATAAGGGATACCAGCACTGCAGGCAGTGGCTTTACTTGCTATGCCATGTTGCTAACCCCAAAGACCTATGTTCAAGGTGGAGCAATTTGGGCTAGATTAACTGTGGCCTCCCCATAGGGTTGGCACAAGTCTTCCTGGATAGAATTATTTGGTACTGTTGAAGTTTGGTACTTACTGACTTTGGTCAGAAAACATTTTTATGGTGAGCTGAATGATGGGAGAGCTGGGCTAGCCTTTATCACAGGTTAATACCTGGCTTTAGTTCTGACTCCAGCTATATGCTGATGCAGAACCCGGGAGTCAGCATTGATGGCTCAAGGAGTTGGGCTTGAAGGGGAGGCCTGGACTGAGGCCCTGGCTTTAGCCTTCTGGGTGTCTGTGGATTGAACCAAGGAGTGGGACCCCTTTATGTCTGTCTCTCTGCCTCTTTAAATTTAAAAGTAAACATATTGGAACCAAGGCAATCTAAGTTCAGGAGTCTCTGCCATTAATTATTTCATTATCAATCAGATCTAGAAATTCCTATGAGTAAAAAGTATTTTATGTTTCCTTTTCCTAACTTTTGATATTTTATATATACTATTTGAGATGGAAAAATGAATTGGAAAACCTTTTACTTAAAGTAATAAAACATTACTTTGTTAATATCAAATGCAAATGTATTAAATATTTTTTTCTGCAAGCTCCTGCAAAGTTTTTGAAGAAATATTTTAAAATATGGTAGAATTACTTTTAATTCACATCGGAGATTACTTTGAATAAATGGTAATTAGTACAGGTAGTGTTCAAGGCTGCCTAATACCTTTACCCTTGCTTTGAAGATGATCTCGAGCTTTTTAGACCAGCAAGCCATCCTGTTTGTGGACACTGCCGACCGCCTGGCCTCATTAGCTAGAGATGCTTTGGTCCATGCGCGCCTGCCTAGTTTTGCCATTCCATATGCCATTGATGTGCTTACTACCGGGTCTTACCCACGGCTGCCAACCTGCATTAGGGTAAGTGCTTTGCCTCAGTATTCTTAAAAGCTGAAATGGCTTTGGTATTGGATTCTACTGTATTAGGAAGCCCAGTAAAAGACATTTTTAAGACAAATAGTTTGTACAGTTCATTTTTTTCCGCGACAACGCAGATGGCAGGTTTTTTGATAGGTTGGGGATAGGATGTGAGTAGGTATAAAAATAAGTGAGCTGTGTTCCATTTTTTGGTTTGTGAGCAGACGGGAATGTAACAACCTATTATGTCCCTTTGTCCCGTATATAGGACACCTGAAAAGACAAATTGAGCAGTAAATGCACCACTCGTGGGACGTTTGAATAAATGTTAGGCACAGTTGAAATGCTGGGACTTAATAGGTTAACATCTATTTCAGATGTCAAAATACCTCATGCTAGTTATATTTTGGAAATATTTTAAAAATTTATGGTTGTAGTAGTTTATTGACTTAGTGCAGTTGTGTTTTATGCTTTTAAGAAGTGGTGAAAGTCATCTAAATGGCATAGAATTGCTTTCAGAAGTAGAGCTTGAAGATCAGGTTGCAATGGAGTTGTAACTCAGTGACTGGGTTGCAGCTTTGGTTTTGTAATGAATGGTAGTAATGGACACTGAACGTGGACCGTAGAAATGGATAAGATTCTCTTGTGTAAAGTGAAAAAAAATGTATAAAAGCAAACACAGGTTAAAAATATTCCTGAATGTTATTTCTAAATCACTTCAATTTTTTCGTAGGATAAAATTATTCCTCCAGACCCAATTACCAAGATTGAGAAACAAGCCACACTTCATCAGCTGAATCAGATTCTGAGACATCGTCTTGTGACCACAGACCTTCCTCCTCAGTTAGCAAATCTTACAGTTGGTAAGTAACTGAAGTTTGTTATTTTAAGAGTTGTTACCATATTTTCTTAAGCAGCTTCTTTGGGGTTCATTAAAAAAAAAAAAAGCTGCCAGTATGAAGCTTTGGGCCACAGTTTTGGTAGCGGTCGAATCTGATTGTCAGCCATATCATTGCCCTTTAATATTTACGCAGTGATGATATTTAAAGTTGAAGAATGAGAGAGACCCCCTGGGACTGGAGGGGGGCGGTGGGCCTACAGTTGCGCCTCCTGAAAATTTTGTTCATATGTGTTGGAGGATTTGCTTTATGATTTTTTTTTTTTTTTGATCTGGAGGCTGGCCATGGCTTATGTGGGAACCGCTGAACGATTTGCATGTTTACAAAAGAAGCTTCAACCTATATAAAATTCCTTGTAAGCAAGTGTAGAAATTGTAGGTTAGCAGAAAGTTGCTTGTTTTCTGTCAGAATATACCACTTCTTTTTCTAAAAGCAAATGGCCGGGTCAAGTTCCGAGTTGAAGGAGAATTTGAAGCCACCTTGACTGTGATGGGAGATGACCCTGACGTTCCATGGCGTCTTCTCAAGCTCGAAATTCTAGTTGAGGATAAAGAAACAGGAGGTAAGTTATAAGTGCTTATTTATTTATTTATTTTTTTTTATAAATGCTTATTTAAATCATAAGTATTGCCTTAAGTGTTTTGGCATTTTCATATTATGAAAATATCCCTGCAGAATATTAAATGTGTATAACGGAAGGTGATTTGATGACAGTCATTGAACTCACTGACTGAAAGTTTCAGTATTTCTCACAGTATAATATTCTTGAGATTTCCACAGATAATTTCATTAGCAATTCCTTAATAGAAGATGCTTTCTTAGCTGGTACTATGACACACTAAACACCTTTCTGACTAACTGCTTTTTTTTCCTGCCAATGGAAGACGGACGAGCTTTGGTTCACAGTATGCAAATCAATTTCATCCATCAGCTGGTACAGTCTAGGCTCTTTGCTGATGAGAAACCTCTGCAAGACATGTACAACTGCTTACGTATCCTTCTGAAATTAGAGACAAGCATATGTAAGGATTTTGTGTATCCCTCTTTCACATTTGTCCTTAATTATGAGTTACAGCACCCCATCTCTCCCCGCCTCATTGCTACTTTTTTGGATAGAAATATGGCTGGGTAACTGTCCAGTTATGTGAAATAGTGGTGCATATATAATAAGCTAAATTTAAAGTTTTACTGTTGACCTTTTAAGTAAAAGCAGAAAATGATTAAACATAGCACTGTTTAGAAATAAATACTATCTGGTTAATTCTCATTCTCTATACCATGAATGAATTGAAGAGCTTTCTGGATCTGTGGCTTGTTGATATTGGTTCAAAATTAAATACGAACCATTTCTCTAAAATTATGCCTCAAGCCATAACACTTTTTATGATGAGATTGGGAAAACATGATCCTGGAACTTTTCTTCATAGCCAGCTTTTTGGGAACACAGCCTTGTTAACTATAGTTTGCCTTTACTTGATGGGTTGTTGAAGTAAGAAATTAGATTTGCTTAACCAAAACTATCAGATTCCTTCTGCTTATCACTGCAGTTAGAAGTTTTGCACTCCCAAACTCTAATGTTAATCCGAGAGCGCTGGGGAGACCTCGTGCAAGTGGAAAGGTACCATGCTGGAAAGTGCCTCTCTCTCTCAGTTTGGAAGTAAGTAAAGATGATTCTGTTAGAGTCATGCTATGACTGTAAATGCTTGTTGTCCATTTTTCTCCCATTTAATACCCATCAGAACCAAGTGAGTTATCCATGTCCACCACTTTTTTTAGAACATGGCATATGTTGTATACAAGTACACTTCTCTGTGTCAAGACTACTGGCAAATTTGGGCGTGGCGGCATGGCCTAGCAGCTGAAGTCCTCGCCTTGAACGCCCCGGGATCCCATATGAGCGCTGGTTCTAGTCCCGGCAGCTCCAAAGCCAGGAGCCAGGAGCTAGAAGCTTCTTCCATGTCTCCCACGCGGATATAGGGTCCCAGGGCCTTGTTTCATCCTCTGTTACTTTCCCAGGCCACAGTCAGGGAGCTGGATGGGAAGTGGGGCTGCCAGCATATGAACTGGCACCAATATGGGTTCCCAGTGCATGCAAGGGGAGAGTTAATTTGAGCCATTGTGCCAGGTCCAAGTTGTTTTATCTTGGGGGCTTTTTTGTGTGTAGGTTTGTTTTATCTTTAAATTGTAAGTGTGTTTTCCTTTAAATGTAATAAATCAAAGGTTGTACTGGGGGTATCTTCCTAATATTAACTTAATCCTTCCATAATCATTGAGAGCTTATCATAGTTCATGCTCTCTGGTAGGCTATACAATAGACTGTTTTATTCCAATAGTTAACAATCTCTATTGAAATAACTTACTAATATTTCTTTTTTCCTGTTTAGTCAACAGGTTCTTGGGAGAAAGACAGGGACAGCATCTGTTCACAAAGTTACAATTAAAATTGATGAGAATGATGTTTCCAAGCCTTTACAGATTTTTCATGATCCTCCTTTGCCAGGATCTGATTCCAAATTAGCAGAAAGAGCTATGAGGGTAAAAGATTTCAATATATTTTAATGTTGTTTGATTAGATAAATAAAATTTTGCATTAATAGTTTTAGCCAATTCTTTAAAATACCTAATTGTTCCTAAGACTTTTTATGAAATGTATGTGAATATTATGCTCCTACATCTTTAAAACACTTGACCCTAATAAGATGTTCTTTTAAATTTATAGTATTTGGATTGAATCACTTTATATTTGAGCATTTTGTTAACTGACATATATAGTGTGGCTTGTTTTATTTTCTCAAAATGTTAACTATAGTTTTTAAGTTACCAGTATCATATGTTTATTTTGAACTACAAATTTACTTTCTTTTTCTTAACAGTGTAATTCTAAAAAGAGTATCTTGAAGTGCAGTAATATCTTAGGTTTTTAAAGTGACCATATTTAAGTTGCACAATGTGCCTTTTTGTCTTGTTTATGCAGATTGAACATTTATCAATAGAAAAACTGTTGATTGACAGTGTCCATGCAAGAGCTCATCAGAAGCTCCAGGAACTGAAGGCTATTCTTAGAGGTTTCAATTCCAATGAAAACTGTATGTTCTTTTAAATTGCGATTTCTGTTTTTATTTGGTTTAAATTGGTATCCATATTTATTTTTATAAAATGTATTTATAAGATTTTTTTCCCCCCATATAGTTTTTGTGGCAGAGAGAGTGCATTGGTGTGTTTTCACTTGTAAACTTCTCTTAATTTTTCCATATTTTCTTATTTAGTCTCATTTTTGAAACGGAAGATATTTAAAAATTTTAGTATGAATCATTGTGGTGGTTTTTTTTTGATTGCCCTCTTTCTGTATATATTTCAAAATATTGATTATGTAGTTGAGAGTCTTGCATATTATGTGGATTTCTGATTAGTGTGGGGACTGGTCAAGGTGTGGAGGAAGGTGGGTGAGATAAATGTTTCAGTTATATTCGTTCCCTCCTGTGTCTGGGGGAGGGAGGGGGCAATGGGGTTGGAGTGGGGAAGATGAGGGACTCAGTATTGTCAAACTACATCAGCATCCTGGATGGCGGGGGAGGGGGGTGCAGTCATTTGATGACATCTTAGCCAAATTCAGGGACCAAACTCGGGCACTTTGATATGGAATAGGGTTTCTTAACTGCTAGACCAAGAAATAATTCTTTTGAATACATTAATAAGATTTAGAATAAGAAAGGCAGATATAAACACATAATGAAAAGTCTTCCAAATTTAATTACCTAATAAGTATGTCAAGATCTTTGGGGAACAGTCCATCATTTAGGAAATAAGCCCCTTCGTTTTATGGAATATGGTTTCACAACATTGTAGTGAGCGTGTTTACTCTTCCTGGCTCAGTTGTTTGTGGTCTTGATTACTTTGTACCCAGAGTGTGCAGTCTTTAATTCAGGTGGTATAGCCTTTTAAGTAGCTCTAAGACTATTAAGACTAAGACTGTATTAAGACTATTAAGTCTTAATAATGCTGGTAGCAAAGGCATAGCCTTGCATCATCAACGAGCCCAGCTCATTCCAATACACTCGATAAAAGCAACTTCTTTGATATGTACCAGGAACTCAGGATTAAAATGTTTTAGTCAAAGTAGATAAAAATACTGCTTGAAGGAAAGAATGTCCGAAAGATAAATTTGTGTTTAGAATATTCTCTCGAAGAAGTTCTGGTATGCTGTTGCATCATTGGATTCATTCAGTTAATACTATATTTCCATATAGCTGTAAGAGAGGCTTTTGAATGTTCTCATTATAAAGAAATGGTAAATGCTTAAGGTGCCAGATATGCTAATTTCATGCTTTGATCATTACCCAACAAATATACATGTATTGAAACATGTACCCAATAAATATGTGTAAGTATGTGTCAATCAAGAGGAAAAGGACATGTAATCATTCAAGGAAAGTGAAAGAATAAAGCTGAAAAGTGGAAATCTGAAACAGCCAAAACATTAGCTCTTAAGTTTAGATCTTTAATTCATATTGAGTTATTTTCGTGGTTGGTGAAAGGTGGATCTGATTGCATTCTTTGCTGTAAAGATACGCAGTTGTAGTACGTCTGTTGATGCCTGGTTTCCCCCTGTTTGTCTTGTTACCCTTATTGGTGATAGGTTTCTGCAGTCTTAAATTTGAATTTTTTTTATTTCTAATTTTTCCAGAGAAAAATTCTAAAATGTTATTTTTTGAGATTCCAGAAAAGAGATTTCTGTTCTTTTGGGAGGCTCTGGCTTACTTCCAGATCATTGTAAGCAAGACTTAGTAAGCTTAAGAAGTTGGTATGATCGCCCAGAGGCTAGATTTCTTAGAAAAATAGACTGTAAGCATATGTTTACATAGAAATAATTTCTGTGTTTGTTAGTCTGTGTCACGGAGATTTCTCTTTCTAAGCATTATGTAGATGTTACTGCCTTAGTAGCAGAAAGATTGAGTTCCCTTTGTATTCCTGACAAATGGTTCACACACCTTTGACCTCATAGCCTCATCTGTATTAGAGGATGTTGGGAGGCTCCTTCCCCTTTAACCTGCTTAGATCTCTAACTCTAGGAGGAGTATATAACTTTTGTGGTTTTAAAGCTCCAGGGGTCTTTAGAGTCTTAGGTGTTAAAGTGCCTTGGGGAGGAGCCCAGATTACCTACCTAATGGTTTAAAGTGCGTTGAGTATTATGCTTTGCAAGAAGAGTTTCTTTGTGTTGTGGATCTTCCTAGGCCTGCTTCCCATGAGATCAGTTTTGAAAATGAGGACTTGTGGGTCCCCCACCCGGCAAGGGCCTGCTGGCTCTTTACTGTAAGGCTTGTATTTTAACTTGTTCACTTGGCCATTATCCTCCCTGTCTTTTTGCCTGCCTTCTGTGCTGTAGCTTTAGAGAAACTTGGTAAAAAGGAAAAAAAAAAAAAAAAGAGTGTATATATGTCTTTTTGCAACAAAAGTCTGGTCCACACTCTGAGCTTTTCAGTGCTTTGCTTTTTCAGTTCGTGGGATTAAGGGAAAAGTTATTTGGGCCTGGTGGATATAGCATGAAGGACAAGATAAAGTGTGTTAGTATTTGGGGTTTCTGTTTAGCTGTTGCCTATAGTCTCACTTCATCTATGATTTGAAAATGAGGTAAATAAATGACTTAAAAATTTTTTTTCTATATGGTCATACTACTTAATAGTTTTCAAATGTTTATTTATATACTTGAAATCTGAATGCTGAAGAGCCTCTCTTTAGGACATAAATGACATTTATTATTATTATTTTGTTTTACTAAAAGTAATTTTCTCCTTAATATTGTTTAAATAAGACCAAAAGGAAAATCCTTAGAAGTTGACTTTGTACTAACTATTGAGTAAAAGTAGAACTCAGTGATGTTGTAGTAGCTGTTTTAATCCTTTTTAAGGAATATTTGATTGTTTTTTTGCTGTAATGTTTGAGATGGATGTATTTGTTTCAAGTCAACTTGAAAACTACATTCTTCCATTTTAACTACTAATTAACTTAGTACGATTCCAGATTTCATAGTCATGCTTTACTTCTTACATCTAGAATCTTTCTGTGGTTGATTTGTTTTTATTGATTGAGTGTATTCTTTTTAAACATTCAGATAGAAAAATAATTCAAATTTTTAACCATTCAGCTTTCATAGAGTCAGCACTTCCTGCACTTGTTGTGCCCATCTTAGAACCCTGTGGTAATTCGGAATGTCTGCACATTTTTGTCGATTTGCATTCTGGAATGTTCCAATTGATGCTTTATGGACTTGGTAAGTTAAAAAAAAGTAACATAAGAAAAATACTTTTAATAAAGGCAATATTTATTTTGCCATTAAGTATTGGAAGGGGTGATATGCACAGTACTTAAAGTTGGTGTGGAAGGAATAAGTGGCTTATGTATGACCCTTAAGGGCCCTATTTTAATTCTAGGCTTTCTTTTATCAGAAGATAAACTTCCCAATATAAAGTACATTTGTGCTGTTTCTTTCATGTGAAAGTTATGTTGATGGTTGGTGTTTTTTTAGATTAACTTGTCAATTCAGCAGCTTAGTAGGTAAGTAACAAGAAAATTACCATAAAGATTTCTGCTGTCAGTTGCTGCTAAAGGAATTTTTTATAATAGTCCAAATGTCTAAGATCACTTGGCATACTCAGTCTTGGAGAATCGGATTTTTGTTTTCTGGCTTACACACAGTGGAAATTAAAGTTGACTTCTAGCTCATTTTCTTGCTGAGTTGACATTCTGAGGTGATAAAATATTAGGAATTTAGTGTTTTTGTGATATTGCTACAACACTATTCTTGACTACGTATAGTTTCTATTTGAAATTAAGCAAGATAGATTCGTACAAATAAGGATTTTCTGGCAATATTATGTGGGTATGAATGCAAAATCACAAAATTTTCAAATTTTTACTTATTTATTTGAAAAGCAACGTGAAAGATACTTTCCATTTACTGATTCACTCTCAAAATGGCCACCACGGCTAAATTGGGCCAGGCTGAGGCTAGGTGAGGTGAGACCTGACCTATTTCAGGGAGTAAACCAGCAGAAGGAAGATCTCTCTCTCTCTCCTCTTCTCCCCTGCCCTCATTCTGTATGTCAGTAACTTTGCCTTTCAAATAAGTAAATCTTTTTTTAATTTTAGTTTTTATTTTATGGCACAATTCTATATGCTTGGAATGTCCCTTGCCTCCTCCCCAAACTGCCTTCCCCCCATTGATTTTCCCCATACTCTAATGATAGTATAATCTTTCATAAGTAGTCCTAAGTCCATCCTTCTGCTATCTAATTGTCTCCTGACATTGCTGGTACAGTGGCAGACAGTCCAGCATCCTATTGTCAAGATGTATTTAACAGACTCATTGGGAATGTATCTTTGGAAGTAAAGATGCATACTGTGTTGTATCTTCACATCTGGATATGACAGTCTCCATTACACAGTTACTATACATTCCGTAAATGAATAGGCATACAACAATATCAACAATAGGAATAAGTTAAGAATTTTAAACCTTAATAATATGTGAATTAACTAGATCAACAATTTGGGGAAATTAACTATAGGTAAAAAGTTAATGTATTTTGGAATTGTTCTTGCCAGTGTGCACTTGATATTCGTTATCTGTGAGTCTCCTATGTTAAAGAGGGAGGGGATTGAATTAGGCAGATTGATAGCTAATGATATATTTAGGGTTTTTTTGTTGTTGTTAAAGTAAAACCATTTTCAATCTGGAGTAATAACTTTTCCTTAAGTTTTGGGTTACCTAGATTTTGTCATGTAAGCAGTCAATGCAATGCTTTCTTCTGTAGACCAGGCCACCCTGGATGACATGGAGAAGTCTGTGAATGATGATATGAAACGGATCATTCCTTGGATTCAACAACTTAAGTAAGTTTATTTACTTCACTCAAAACTAAAAGTGGAAAGTTATTTTGAAAAGAGGTATTGTTTTCATCATTACTCTTGATTAATCACTGTCTTTAAGGTTTGTGACAGGAAGCTGGAGCACCTTTTAGTACTTTATAATCTTACGTTCTCTTGAAATATTTCCAAAATATGCTATGTAAAGCCCAGTGTCAGATTCCCATCTAAAACAAATATAGATATGAAGGGCATGACATTCAACTTTTATTCCTTGTCATATTTTCTCTTGTGTAAGCACATTACAAATGTCCTGCACAATAGCCTTCATTGTATCAAATGTTCTTTGTAGTGGAGTCTTACTTGTTCTTTATCTAGGATAATATTCACAGTATGGATCCGAGAGCTGACACTTTCACAATAGTCATTTTTGCTTCTCTAATATCATCATTCCATTTGTCTTAAAAATCTGTTCAATGTTTTAAGTTGTTAAATCAAATACAATTGAAAATGGAGCCAGAGATAATTCTCTGGGGTTTCATTACTAATCTGTTGTATGAAGGCATCATAGAAAAAATGTTGCAGAAATCAAAACCCAACTGACAAATGGAGAGTAGGGGTCACATGGAGGTTTCAAGACAAAGACAGACTCGTTGGGGGTAGGGGAGGTCTTTGGTTGTTGCAATCTTTTAGCCTCACAAATTTTGTTTTTTAAAATATTTAATGATTTCATTATAACCAAGTGATTTTTTTCATTAATGTGGCATGATTTTTAAATTTAGGAAGTGGATTCAAGTATTTAGCTTTTTTGGCAGTGGCTGTTCAGTATATCCGGTGATGGAGAAATTATAGTCTCAGTAACAATTTCTAAAAGTTTTAGTGTTTTAGCATCATTTTGTGTGTTTTGCTAAATAAGCAAGGTTTAAATATCTGATAAACCCAATAATATATCCTCCATAACTTGAGGTTATTGGTCAGTGCCAGAAATAAAATCTAAACTGGAAAGCTGAGCCTCAAAAGCTTTTTAACAATTATGTGTCTGTACTTTACCCGACAAATTATTTATTAGAAATGTCTCCTGATTGCTACTTTCAATAGTGTTCTGGAATGATCTGGTGAGCAACCAGTATATCACTAATCTGTTTGGAAATGTCAAATTTTTGGAAAATTTTATTGAGCTACAACTTAATTGAGGTATTTCTTTAATTCTGTAAAATCCACATGTATTAAGTGTAGGAAATTTGCTCAGTTCTACAATCATCACCACAATCCAGTTGTAAGAAATTTGAAATGTTTCTGTCATCTCCCATGACTCAGTTTGTCCCCAGTTCCCAGCCCCAGGGAGCTATGAATATACCTTTTGTTTCTGTAACTTGGCCTTTTCGGACCATTTCGTATGCATGAATTATAAAGTATAGTCCTTTGTGCCTGATGTTTTGTTTAACATCCTGTTTTCAAGTTTTTTTCTCCCGTGTTACAGCAATGTATGAGGGTTTCCATTGCTCTGCATCCTTGCCATGAGTTCTTGCCATCATTGAATATAGACATCCTGGTGACAAAAGGTCTATTTGCAATTTTATTTTCATTTCCCTGAGGATTAATGAAGCTGAACAAATGTTCATATGATTGCTTTTTTATAATGTGCAGTTGAAGTGAATTCTAGAAAAAAGTAATGAAAAACTACATACAAACTTTATAACCCTGTTTTATTGTAGTCAACAGGCAAAATTAAGACTTTAACTTTAAAAAGAGATCTGCTTTGATTGAAGGGCAGGGTGACAGAGAGGGAAAAGTGGAGAAAAGAGATCTTCCATTTACTAATTGTGTCACCAAATGGACACAATCCTGGAGCTCACACCTTCATCCGGGTCTCTGGTGTGGTTGCCACATGTCCAAGTAATTGGGCAATCTTCTGCCCTTCTGTCTTCCAGGTTCATTAGCTCAGAACTGGATTAGAAGCAAAAAGCTGGCACTTGAACCTGCACTCTAATATGTGATGTCAGTGTCACAGGTGGTAGCTTAACCCACTGTTCTATGATGCCAGCCCCTGACTTTATACTTTAATAAATGTAGTTGGAACAAATATAATGTAGGAAAAAGGAAAGATACAGAAAATGTCAGGAGTAAAATTAATACTTTGAAAAAAAGACTACCTGTGCATATTGATATTTAAAATTTTTAATATGACAAATGAGCTCCTTTCTCGTAGTTTATGTAGGTCATATTGATGGCAATGGTACTCCTGTGAGATAACATGTATCTGAACTGTGTTTTTTTTTGTTGTTGTTGTTTGTTTAATAACATGCATGGCAGAGATAGTGTTCTCACACAGGCCTGTTGATGGGACTGGAAGTCGAGATCTGAAAGCATTTTTAGCAAGTTCAGGATGTTCATTTTGAACTGATTTCCAAAGTGAAGCAAGTAATACAATGTGTTCAAAGTTTACTTCTTAATCAGTAACCACTTTGAAGGATTGATCCTGTAACATTGTAGTTACATTTGTCTCAGGAAAAATTGTTTCTAGGTTTTATATAATCCTCAGTAGCAGTTGGCAAAGCTACCCCTAAAGTATCATTTATTAGAACACATGATTTCATTGTGCATGGCTCATACACAATTTGTACCAGGTACAATTCACTGTATAAATAGTAAAATACCCTGACTGTTCTGTGCCCTGTTTGTTAGCAAAACAAGCGGGAATGTTGTGGCACTGCTGTGAAAATTTTTCTTTTGTGAAATTAGCTCATTGTGCAGCACTGAACATTTGTGAGCCAGTCCTCTTGTCCTCATTTTTATATGTTTAAGTATATGATATTCTAGCCTCCCGAATAGACAATAATAAGAAAAGAATACTAGTATCAGTATTCAGGTGGTGGGTACTGGGCTTGTGGCTCAGCAGGTTAAAGCTACCATTTGTGACACCAATTACTGGAACACAGATTCGGATGCAGGCTGCTATGTTTCTAATCCAGCTCCTTGTTAATGAAACTGGCAAAGCAGAGGAAGATGGCCCAAGCACCTTGACCCTTGCTGTCCATGCTGGAGACCAGGATGGAGTTCCAGGTCTTAGTTTTGGCCTGGCTCAGCCTGGGATTTTGTCTGCATTTGGGGAGTAACCAGTGAATGGAAGATCTCTCATGTTCTGTTTAATCCTCTCTGATGCTTTGCCTTTCAAATAAATAAACTTTTTTTTTTTAAAGAGCATCTATGTAACATATGGTGACATACTCAAAAAGGAGGAGGGAAAGAAAATAATTAATGCTGGACCTTCTATGAGAAATTTATACATTAAAAATATAAAAACTGGGATTTGTATTTCCAGTGATACCAGGAAAATGAATTAATTTTTGTAGTTATTATTTGCTGTTTTGTTTTATGAACACTTTAGACATTTGATACAGGACATTGCATTTTGAATCTCTTAACCTAGAAATTAAGAAGCAATAGTTCCATACAAAACTGGAGAGAGACTCTGTCAGTATGGTCTTGTGTCCATCTAGTTCAGTTAAATTTCACTCAATTTTTGTTATTGGTGTTCATATTGTTTATTAAAAAATCATAAGTTGATCAGAAAAGTATGTTTTTGTGATGTGGACTGTCTCTTTTCAATTAAGATTTTGGCTTGGACAACAGCGTTGCAAACAATCAATAAAGCATCTGCCTACAATAAGCAGTGAAACATTGCAACTTTCCAATTACTCAACTCATCCTATCGGAAACCTATCTAAGAATAAGCTGTTCATTAAACTTACCCGTCTTCCTCAATACTACATTGTAAGTATGTAACTGACTCAAAAGAATCAAGTTCAGTGGTTAATGTGTAGGACGATTTTTTATGTAATTTGCAAATGGATTTTTGAATTTCATATTATGATTTTTTTACTTTTCAATTTTAATATTTATTATAAGGGTTGCAGATGGGGGAGGAAGGGAGGTGGGTGAGAAAAATCTTTCGGTTTCTCCTCCTGTGTTTGGGGTGGGTGCACAGGGACTGTCTCCCACACACTGCATCAGCCCTGATGTGGGGAAGAATGTTCAAGGGTGCCACTTGGGTGGTCTTAATTGTTCTGAGAAGTTGTTGGCTTCAGTACTCCAGAGGTGAGAATTTCTTTTATAAGGCCTTTGGTTTGATCGTGTCTACCTTAGTGTGTCCACAGACCTAGGTGCTTGTTGCAGAGACTGACCTGGAGTGTTGTTTTACCTTTCCATCATTTGATGAGATACTTGAACTCTTCTGTTGGCTTAGATGAGCCGGCTGTTTTGATTTGTGTGTTCATCTGGGTCTGTTCTCCGTTCTCGCATAAGGGTCAGCAACTGAACAGGCCCATTCCTGCGACATCTGCACTGGGTTTGGACCATATGTGATTCCCCCTGCAGTTGGGCATCAAGCGAGGTGGTCTAGTTGGGCAGCCTCCCAAGAAATTTCACCTGGGAGAACCTTAGACCTTGCTCTCATGTGTGCCAGCTGGTGCAGGATTGGTCTCAGTTCTTGCCCACCTCCCACCCTCCTGCCAGCCATCCCCCATACACCAGCCAATGCATGTACCAGTGGATACAGCTGCCTGGTTCATTTTTCCCTCCAGCCCTCACTCTCACAGGACCAGAAGGTGCTGCAGCCTCGATCAGCCTCCCAAGCCAGGCTCTCACATGCACCAGTGGGTGCTGTGGCTTTTTTTTTTTTTTTAAGATTCATTTTATTTATTTTTATTGAAAAGTCAGATTTACAGAGAGAAAGATCTTCCATCTGCTGGCTCATTCCTTAAGTGGTTACAATGGCCAGAGCTGAGCCAAACCAAAGCCAGGAGCCAGGAGCTTCCTCCATGTCTCCCATGCAGGTGGATAGTCCCAAGGCTATGGGCCATCCTGTACTGCTTTCTTAAGTCACAAGCAGGGAGCTGGATAGGAAGTAGGGCAGCCAGGATATGAACTGACACTGATATGGGATCCTTGTGCATGCAAGGTGAGAGGACTTTAGACATTAGGCTACCATGCCAAGCCAGATAATTAAAAAAAAAAATTCATTGTAAAGTCAGACAGAGAAGAGGAAAGATAAAGATCTTACGTCCACTGAATCACTCCCCAAGTGTCCACAATGGCCAGAGCTTAGCTGATCCGAAGCCAGGAGCAAGGAGCTTCCTCTGGGTCTCCTACACAGGTGCAGGGTCCCAAGGCTTTGGGCTGTCCTTGACTGCTTTCTTTGGCTGCAAGCAGGGAGCTGGATGGGAAGCAGGGCTTTTAGGATTAGAAACGGTGCCCATATTGGATCCTGACACTTGCAAGGAAAGGACTTTAGCCACGAGGCTACTGCACCCCTCCGAAATAAATCTTAGATTTTGCCCCTTTTTAACAAGCCTGCCATCCTACTAGTTAGCTGCTACCTATTTCCTATCTCTGTAAATTTGCTTTTACAGTCTGTATTTATTCAGCATAATGAGTTTGATACTCATTCAGGTTGCTTTATGTCTAGAAGACCTTTTTATTGCAGAATAGTATTCCATGCTTTGGATTTACCAGAGTTTGTTTAATGAGTTACCCTTTGAAGGGTGTCTGGAATGTTTACAGTTGTGAATCAAGCTGCTGTAAACAGATGCATATAGGTTTTATTTGAGCATGAATTTATTTCTTTTGGATAAGAAACTGGGAGTAATATTGTTGGGTTACATAGTTTCTGTGTTTATAAGAAACTTCCAAAGAGACTGTGGTTTTGCATTCCCACAAGTAACATGAGAGTTTTAGCTGCTTTCCATTCTTCCTAGCAATTATAATGTAACTTTAACATTTCAAACGTCCTGACAATGTGTACTGGTATTTCGGCATAGTTGTGATGATACTTGTGTGGGACATATTTTTTGTGCTTACTTGGTATCCAAATATCATTGTTGGTGAAGTGGCCGTCTGAACTCTTCTGTCTCCTGAGGAGCCTCAGGAGCGAGGCGCTTTTCTGAAGCTGGTGTGCAGGGAAGAGGAGGTGGGGGAACAGGGCAGATGAAATGGAAAGAGTAAGTTTTGCTCAGATTTATTTATTTATTTATTTATTGGAAAGGCAAATTTACAGAAAGATCTTCCATCTACCTGTTTATTCCCCACATGGCCGTGACAGCCCGAGATGAGCCAATGTGAAGCCAGGTGCTTCTTCCAGGTCTCTCATGTGGGTGCAGGGTCCCAAGGCTTTGTGCCATCCTCGACTGCTTTCCCAGGCCACAAGTGGGGAGTTGGAAGGGAAGTGGGACAGCTGGGACAAAAACTGGTACCCATATGCGATCCGGCATGTGTGAGGCAAGGATTCAGCCAGTGAGCCATTGTGTAGGGCCCCAGAAGCTTTTTTTTTTTAATGGTATTCATTTTTGTTACTAAGGAATTTAGACGTGTCGGTGCTGTTGCCTAGCAGCTGAACCCCTGCTTGTACTACTGGCATCCCATATGAGTGCTACTTTGAGTCTGGACTGCTCTACTTCTGATCCAGCTCCCATTTATGATCTGGGAAGGCAGTGGAAGATGGCTCAGGTCATTGGGCCCCTACACCCATGGAGGGGGCCTGAAGGAGGTTCCTAGCTTTGGATTGGTTCCTTTGTGGCTGCTCTGGCCGTTTGGGGAATGAACCAGTAGGATGGTTGTCTTCTCTTTCTCTGTGTACTTTTGCCTTTCGAATAAAAATAAAATAAATCATTAAAAAAAAAACAAATTTAGAGAACCTAGTGCAGTAGCCTAGTGGCTAAAATCCTCATCTTGCACATGTCAGGATCCCATATGGGCACTGGTCCATATCCCAGTGGCCCTACTTCCCAGAGATCTCCCTTCCTGTGGCCTGAGAGCAGTTGAGGACGGCCCATAAACCTTGGGACCCTGCACCCACTTGAGAGACCCAGAATAAGCTCCTGGCTCTTGGCTTCAGATTGGTTCAGCTCCGGCCATTGCGGCTACTTGGGAAGACAATCAGCAGGTGGAAAAATCTTCCTCTCTTCCTCTCCTTCACTCTGTAAATCTGACTTTCCAATAAAATAAATGTAAAGAAAAAATGAATTTAGAGACCATTTTTTAAACTTTGATTGTACCTTGAAAATAGTGAACTGGTATAGTAGGTGAGAGCAGGGTGTCTGGGCCAGGTTCCTGGAAGCAGAATATGTGTATGGCTGTATGACTTGGTACAAATAATTTACTTTTTGGTTCCTTGATTTCCTTATCAGAAAAATAGACAACATTTACCTCGCAAAATTGCTGGGAATTCGTGTGTTCACTTCTGTAATTGGCAAATAGCAAGGTCTGTGTCCGGGTTATTTTGCTCATCCTCACAGTGACCTTGTTCTTCCGTTGAAGCAGTTATGGCCTCGGAAAAACTATGTTGTTGAAGGACTATCCTATTGTAATCATGTGGGAGAAATCAGTAGGGCAGGGAGAGTGGAGAAAGGGGAAGAGAAATCCCTAAGGCTATGAAACTATCATAAAAATTTTTAAAAAGGGCCCTGCATAATAACCTAGTGGCTAAAGTCCTTGCCTTGCACACACTGGGATCCCATATAGGCGCCGGTTCATATCCCAGCTGCTCCACTTCCCATCCAGTTCCCTGCCTGTGCCCTAGGAAAGCAGTTGAGGATGACTCTAAGCTTTGGGACCCTGCACCCACGTGGGAGACCCAGAGGAAGCTCCTGGCTCCTGGCTTTGAATTGGCTCAGCTCTGGCTGTTGTGGCTACTTGGGGAATGAATCATCAGACACAAGATCTTCCTCTCTGTCTCCTCCTTCTCTCTGTATATCTGCCTTTCCAAATAAAAATAAATAAATCTTTTTTTAAAAATTAAAAAAATGAAAAAAAATCTCGTTTTGTTTTTACATGTCTGCAAGCATGATAGTTGTCATTTCCCCTAGCCCTAATCAAATTTTTAAAAGATTTATTGGAAAGTCAGATTTACAGAGCGAAGGTGAGACAGAGAGGAAAGATCTTGCATCCACTGGTTCGCTCCCCATGTAGCAGCAATGGCCAGAGCTGAGCTGATCCGAAGCCAATAGCCAAAAGCTTCCTCTGGGTCTCCCACACGGGTACAGGGTGCCAAGGCTTTGGCCCATCCTGTACTGCTTTCCCAGGCTACAAACAGGGAGCTGGATGGGAAGTGGAGCGGCCAGGGTACAAGCCATTTCCCATATTGGATCCAGGCATGTGCAAGGCAAGGACTTTAGCTACTAGGCGACCGTGATGAGCCCCATCATTCTTCTCTATTCTGGTCTATTATTTTGAAAGCAAATATATATTTACTGGGAATATTTTGTGCTATCATGATGAATTTGTCCTTGTTCTTTTAAAGAAAGACACGTTCAATTTATAATTCAAAGCCCTATTTGCTAGGAGGAAAGAAATATCCAGCACTTGATCTCTGAGTTTCTGATTTGAGTTTCTGATCTCTGAGTTTTCCTTTGTAGGTTGTGGAGATGCTGGAGGTACCCAATAAACCCACACAACTCTTGTACAAGTACTACTTCCTGTCTGTGAACAGCACTGAGCGTGAGGACAGCCCTGTTGTGGCGCTGGTGCTACAGCAGTTCAAGGAAGCCCAGGACTTTGTTTTTCAAACAAAAACCGGGAAGCCGACCAGAACTGGAACCAAACGGAAGGTATGGCGGCAGGGAGAAAAGAGCCCAGGACTTGGGTATACAATGGCTCTTAGAGACTGGGCTGCATGAGGCTTTAGTAACAGTTGTGTGCATTCCTTGAAAATGTTTCTCTTTCAGTTATTAATTGTGTACCATTTCCATGTGGAAACTTGTTAAATGCTGACTATTTACTACTAAATTACAGTGTTTAGGTCAGAATTTTCTCAGTTTACATCAGTATTTGCTCAGTAAAGACTTGCTGCAAGAGAAGAGTAACATTTGTTTTGGTTAACCTTGAACTTTATTGTGGTGTTTAACGGCCTGAAGGAATTGCATCACATTTGCTACTCTTTTACTCACATGTCTTATTTGCTTAAATTCTAGTTATCTGATGATCCATGTCCAGTAGAATCCAAGAAGACCAAACGATCGGGAGAAATGTGTGCCTTCAATAAAGTTCTAGCTCACTATGTTGCTATGTGTGATACAAATATGCCATTTGTAGGACTTCGGTTAGAGGTAATTTTTGAAGTCATTCTGAGAAGAGTGATTGTTAAAAACCTGTTGCTGAAGTTTCGTGGATTTCATCACACAAACCCGAACGGTTGTGATGCTGTCCATCTGGGGAGGACTTCATGACATCCGGGATTTCAGCCCTTGCGCTCAGATGCCAGACCTACTGCTCTTTATGGAAATGGAAAGTCAATTCTTCTCAGTTAAAAAGAAATAGAACTATTTATTCAGTCTAAAGAGGTCATCACATAGGGTGATAGTATTTCTGAGTTGAGTGCTCATATTTTGGTTCTTTAATGAGAGCGAGTTGAACCACATGAAATTAAGGTTTTGCTTTTGGTACGTGGCAGAATCTGTGCATATACATATAGGTAGTGTCTCTTCAGAATATCTAGTTTGATTCCATAACATGAAATTAAAGGGAGATAACAAATGAAGTTTTTTACATTTCTAAAAGGGTTTTGCCGGAGGATGGGTAGCCCTTTTGAAGTGATGCACTAAAACCCTAGTTAGGGAGTAGTACTGCAGTGCAGCAGGTTAAGCTGCCTCTTGGGACGGTATTCCATATTGGAATGCCAATTCAGTCCTGACTGCTCATCTTCTGATATAGCTCCCTGCTAATATGTGTAAGAAATAGCAGATAATGGCCCGTTTTCGAGTCTCTGCTCCCTCTGTGAGAGACCCAGAGAGCATTCTAAGTAGCCGGCTTTAGCCTAGCCAGGGCCACTGATTGTGGAGTAAACCAACAGATGGAAGCGATTGGTCTTTCTTCTTTCCTGCCTCTTCCTCTGTCACTTTGCCTTTCAAATAAATAAGTCTTGAATAAATGAAATCCTTATTATTTCCCTCTATTTTAAAGCTTTCTCTTTGTAAGAGTCTCCTCCTTTGTACGATACTGTGAATGAAGCAGTGACCTTAAATGGGGAGGCGGAGTTTTTCAGTTGGGCTGATGTGGTTGCTTTGGGATGACTTGCTGAAAATAGCTTAATGTCTTAGACCAAAAAGCAGCAAACTTTTTCTCTCAAGGCCAGATGGGAAATAATTTCGGCTTTATGGATCATATGATCTCTGTTATAGCTATTTAAATCTGCTCTAGTAATGTGAGCCAGCCATAATTGATGTTTAAGCAAATGAGCATGGCTGTGTTTCACATAAAACTTTATTTTGAAGAAGTGGCAGCAGTCAGGATTTGGCCTATGGACTGTGGTTTGCTAATAGAGGGCTTTGGAAGCTCTAAGTGGATGATAGGTGTGAAAATGTGAACAGCAGCAATAACCCAGAGAGAAACCAACCCAGAAACAGGCACCTAAAATGGCAACTCAAGTCTTCGATGTCTCAGCCCCCAGCTCTAAGAGTGAGTGTCCTCTCGGCTGGTGATTGGCCATTGCCCCTACACAATGCAGGGACATCCGTGTTTTCTGTTTGGCTGTGTTCTAGGGCTTTTATTTTTTAAAGGTTTATTTACTTGTTTGAAGATTTATTTACTTTTATTTTGAAATCTTTTACCGAGAGATTAGGAGATCCAGAGAGAAAGGGGGAGGTCTCCCATCTGCTGGTTCACTCCCCAAGTAGCTGCAGTGGCTGGAGCTGATCCCATCCGAAGCCAGGAGCCCAGAGCCTCTTCCGGGTCTCCCACATGAGTGCAGGGTCCCAAGGCTTTGGGGCATCCTCTACTGCTTCCCAGGCCACAAGCAGGGAGCTGGAAGGGAAGCAGGGCGAGCAGGATTAGAACCAGTGCCCATATGTATCCCAGCGTGTGCAAGGCGAGAGCTTTAGTAACTAGGTTATCGTGCCAGGCCCTGGATTAGTTCTTGAATATAATTTAGCTTTTACCTTTACAGCAGAAAGGAAGGATACATACAGTGTTGGAGCATTGTGATGTTTGTATCCTATCTCCTCAGTCCGCAGGTCAAAGTTTGGGGGTAAAAATGTGCTTTTGTGGCTATACAGTCTAATGCCTGTTGACATGTCTTCACTGTATTCCTGTATGTGTTGTATACATAGGTCATATAAGAAGAGTCTATAGTTCCTTGTTAAACTCAGTATAGGTCTTAAAAAATTGTGGTTTTTTTTTTTCTGTGAAAGTTCTAGTTGTGTTAAAAGACAAAATTGATGTTTCTAATTAAAGTAATTTATCTTGAGATGTTATCAGGGATATTTGTGTTTCTGACAGACTAGTGGCAACATTTTTTTAAATTTTATTTTTAATGTTTACATAGTTGATAGGGATGCATGCCTACATGGGGCTCCAATTAGGGTGGGTAGGATTGATTTGGAGGAAGGTGAGTAGAACACATGTTTCAGTTCTTTTTATTCTCATGGTCTGCTGACAGGGTGGAGGGACGAGAACTGTTCCTTGTTGTCGAAGTACATCAGCACCATGGGGATGGGTAATGGTCATTTGATGCTATCTTAGAGGAAAAATGTTCCAAGAGTGTTAATGTTCTGATAGTTCTAAGACACTGTTGACTTTGTTGCACCAGGATTGATGAAATCTTTCCAAGATCTATTGGCTCACTAAGTCCACCTGAGTGGGCATCCGTAGACCCAGACACTTACTGTAAACTTGCCCAGGAGAGTTGTCTAACCTGTTCTGCTTTTTGTCTTCTGACATGGCACTCTACATCCTCTACTAGCCTAGATGAGCTGGCTGTCATGTCCCCCGTGTGCATCTGGGCACGCTGTCACTGCACAGGCATCAGCAGCTGAGGAGGCCCAGTTCTTGCACCAATCAGCACATACCAATGGATGCAGCTACCTGGCTAGTTTCGCCTCCAGCCCCATCTCTCGTGAACTGATGGGTGCTGCAGCCTAGTCCTGCCCACCCCAGCCTGTTACAGGCCCAGTTTTCATTCACACCAGTGGGTGCCATGGCGTATTTGAAGTGACCCCAATAACCTCCGTTAGGCCTGCCCCCAGCACTGGCTTTTACATGTGCCAGCATGTGCTGTGTCCTAGCCCAATCTATCTTGCATTGCATCTGGTTCTCATGCATGCTTTTGGGTGCTGTAGCTTAGCTTACCCACCCTGCCCCAAACCTGACCAACATGTATGCCGACTGGTGCTGCCATTTTGACCATCCTGGGCCACCACCAGCCCTAGCTCTCATGCTCACAAGTGGGAGCTGCAGCCCAGCAGGGCAGGGCTCACAGTTTCCCTCCAGGACTACTTCCAGCCCCAGATCTTGTACCTACAGGGAGTACTGCAGTCCAACCTGATGTGACTTGCATCAAGTCCCAGCACTTGCCTTCTGGTTTTGCAGCCCTTATGCCAGTAGGTATGGCAGCCTTGCCCAGCCTGGCTTTTTCTTAGGCCCAGCTGAAATGCTGGTTGATGGGTATTACAACCCTACCTGGATCTGCCAGCCCCCAGTTCCAGCTCTCAAGTTTACCAGTGGATGCAGCAGCCCAGTAGGAACCCCAAGGTTTCCTTACCAGGTCTACTCCCAGCCCCAGGTCTTGGGTGTGCCAGCAGGTACTGTGGCCCAGTCTGAGACGGCCCTCCTCCAGCCTTGGTATTCAACAATAGGTGCTATTGCCTGGTTCAGCCCAGTTCTCCCCCAGTCCAAGCTCTTACCCATCCTGGCCCACACTCAGCCCCAGCCCTCATAAGAACTGATGTGTGTTACGATCTAGCCTGGCCTGGCCTGCATCCTATCCTGGCTGTCACTCCTGACAGTAATGTGTTGTGGACTGGCCCATCTCAGCCTATAGTAGCAACATTTTTTTTTTCAACTTTTTTCTTTATTTTTGACAATCTTTACATGGTTAATTAGGGCACAAAGATTCAAGGGCTACAGGAAAGTGGGTAAGACCATTATTTCCACATTCTCTTCTTTTCCTGTATCTGTATTTAAAAAAAAAAAATCATTCAGGTATTTGAAACAGTTCACAGACTGAGAGGCAGAGAAAAGAGAGATTTTCCAACCAGTGGTTTACTCCTCGTATGGCCTCAGCAGCTGGAGCTGGGCCAGGTTGAAGCTAGGAGTTTCATCCAGATTTCCCATATGGGTGGGTGCAGAAGCCCAAGCAATTGAACCATCCTCCAGCTGCTTTCCCAGGCACACTAGCAGGAAGTTGGATCAGAAATGGAACAGCTAGGAGTAAGACTGGGTTATACGGGATGCCAGTATCCCACGTGGTGGCTTTACCTCTCTGTTACAGCTCCAGCCCAGAGGCAACAGTTTTGCGCTTGCCCCATGCTTTAATTCCTTTTGAGTCTGAACCCTTATTGCCTACATGATCAGGAGTCGTTTTTTAAACTTTTGCCCTTCCCAGCCCCCAAAGCAAAAGGCTGAGTTCCTGCTTAGAGCTGTCTCTGGCTCAATTCTGGAATGAAGTGAGTACAAATAGTTTGACATAAAAGCCCTGGCAGTATCTACTAAAAGTATTCTTTTCTTTGGTAAAATCAGGTGACTTTTTGTTAGTAACTTCCTTGAAAGGGTTTCAGGCCTGTCTGTGCATTCATCTTTTTAATTTTCTGAATCATTCAATTGGGAAAGAGATCTCTGCATGAGTGTATAAATTAAAATCTTCAATTTCACATAGTAAATGGTTTATTTCAAATGTAGTTTAAAAGTTGTTCACTAAAAATATTTTTGATGACTAGAAATAAGACATGACTGTGGTTTAAATCTTTGTTTAGAATAAGCATGAAAAGAAAAGGTCTTTAAGACAAGAAAAAGGTCTTAATTTTTAGTGCCTCATTTAGAAAAACCAGCGTTACTGTTGGCTCACTCCAGAAATTAGACCGGTCTCCTGAATTTGGAAGATTTGCACCTGTGGAAGTGTTTTTACTTGCTGTTGTTTTTTTATTAACTGAGGTAGTTTTTAGTTTCATTGGATTTAATATTCAGAAAATCCAGTGATGGGACTAGTTCTCATGTGTGATACGTTGTAACTTTGGGAGAAGAGTGGCTCTAGAATAGATGCGGTAAGAAGATATCAGTACTTAGAAGTACTTTGTACAATTGGCAGTCTAATAACAATTGTGCATTTTTTCTTTCCAGTTGTCCAATCTTGAGATTCCACATCAAGGTGTACAAGTGGAAGGTGACGGTTTCAGTCATGCAATTCGCTTGTTAAAGTAAGTTCTGTCATATATCTTACTTGATACTGTACCCTGTTGTCACACCACCAGAACTGTTCTCCTTCCATGAGACAGTGTAGAGTTCAGAGCTTGTGGGTGTCATGGACTTCCTCCGAAGAATTACTAGGTCTGGGGAACAAGTGCCTTAAACATGTGAAGCAATGGGCCCGGTGCAGTAGCGTGGCAGCTAAAGTCCTCGCTTTGTATGCGCCGGGATCCCATATGGGTGCCAGTTCATGTCCCGGCGGCCCTACTTCCCATCCAGCTCCCTGTTGCGGCCTGGGAAAGCAGTCAAGGATGGCCCAAAGCCTTGGGACCCTTCACCGGCGTGGGAGACCCGGAAGAGACTCCGGGCTCCTGGCTTTGGATCGGCGCAGTACTGGCCATTGCGGTCACTTGGGGAGTGAATCAACGGATGAAAGATCTTCCTCTCTGTCTCTCTGTATATCTGACTTTGCAATAAAAAAAAAAAATAAAATAAATCTTAAAAAAAAAAATAACATGTGGAGCGGCAGTCTGGCACCACTGGATGTTTTAGGAGGCCTTTTCTCTGTATCTTTTTAAAAAATTATTCAACTTTTTAAAATAAATTTTTTAATTTTTTGAATAATAAATTTTAAAGAAATAAGTAAATAGAATTTTAAGCAAATTCTATTTACTAAGTGTGACTATCAGGCTTGAATTCGAGTTGGTTTTTTAGGATGGGTTCTTACAGGAAGTAGATGTGGGCTGGTTTATAAGTCAGGATGGATATTCCCCGAAAAGTACAAGCAATACTTGGACTAAAGAAGAGGTGAAGGTTCAGCGGAGGAAAGGGAGCTGGGCTGGGACAGGGAGAAGGGCTAGCTACTGATGCACAGGCTGGGAGGCATGAGAGAGCTCTGTGGCCTGTGGCCGGAAGGAGTTACTCTGCCTGACAGGCGCCAGGGTGAGGTCCTGTAGGGCTTTTAAGTGTCCAATTTAGACTATTTTCATGGCACTAAGAAACCATCAGATAATTCTAGGCAAGCGACAAGAGGGTTTGGAAAGCTGAGCCTAATAACAGCATGGACAATGAATTGCAGAGGAACAAGACTAAAGTAGCAAAACCTGATGCTGAAGTGGTTCCAACCAGAGCTCCCGGGTTTGGATTATGACAGAGTCCATCTGAAGCAGCCAAGGACTGGTGATTCAGTGGTATTGGCATGAGAGGGAGGCGGGTAGCCAAGACGCTGCTTAGTTTTATGTTGGGGAAATAACAGGTGAAGGTGGGGCTTTCCGAGAGAAGAAACCTTGCCCACGTGAGTTGGAAAGGGCTTTGCTAAGTTAGAGGCTCTTTGACATCTTTTTAGCAGGTGGGGATGAGTCTTAAGTGAGGCTTATTCAGGTAACAGGTATAGCAGGTTCAGTCAGGACAAGTCATCACCATGGTGATAGTAATTGAGTTGGTGTAGATCAGTAGGCGTATAGAGAAGATGGGAGGAGGGTTTGGTGCAAATGGACAGAGGCAAGAAGCCAGAGGTTGTTTAAAAATAAAACAACCTGGGAGACATCTGAGAGACACCAGGTGGTTGGGTCTCAGTTCTTCAGCTTGGCCCAGCTGATGGGACATGTCCATCTGTGTCTGTCTTACTGTCTGCCTTGAAAATAAAATAGAAATTTTAAAATGTTTTTTTAAATAAAAAATAAATAAAATGAATGTGCTACATGTGCTTTATAAAGTGATGCAGTGTGGACTTGGCAAAACTAGAGGGCCATCCCGGAAGTCTACAATTTGGGTCCAAAATACAGGATTTTGGCAGGAAGGGATGCATTTTGTTGTTTGTTTTTCATTCTAATTGGCATCTGTGAATAAGCCAATGATGTTAATGTTTGTGTTTTATTCTTTTTTTTACTTCTTCATAATAAATTTATTCATGAAAAGTAATATAGCATCAGGTCTGGGTGCTGTACATGGGCTGGGCCCTGGTGCGCTTTGAACAAGGAACTGGGAAACGAGATCCTCCAGGTGGGAAGTGTGCTTTTTAAAAAAGCTCCTTTATTTTTCCTGATAGTTTCTAGACTCGGGGATTTCCCCTTCCACCCTCTGCTCCTCCCCCATACTGTTTTCTCCATACCATAACAATAGCTTAGTCCCCCTCCCCCACCCCAGCATACTTTTTTATTTAAAAAAAAAAATAGTAATAATAACAGGAGCTACAGACCCCCCCCACACACACACTTAAAAATACACAAAAATAGAAGTCTCTGAGGTAAGTGGGGTGCCTGGGGCTTAAGGGTATTGAAAAGGTTTCACAGGTGCCAGGGTTTAGAAGGGGCACTCACTCACAGGGCCTGGAGGGCTCCTGCCTCAGTTGGTAGAACAGCACATAGCCCCTCACTGGAGGCCGCTTGGTTTGCACTGATCGGGGATACACGAGAGTCACTGGAGCCATGCCAACCAGTCTGGCACCAGCACAGGGCTGTGTAGTGGCCATGGTGGATGCTGCCCAGGTGTTTGCAAAGGGCATACAGCTGGTATACAGGGCTTCTGGCTTTGTTACTGGCAAAGTTCCCAGGTTCAGTTGCTGCAGTTTTAAGTCTACACCTATGCAGTTTTGCTTGATAGAGCCTTGGGAGGTGGCAAATTGATTCAGATGGAGCACCTGATTTCAGGGAACACTATTTGGTACTCCGTGTTTTGCTGACATTGGTCACACACTAGGGCATACTCCAACTCTGCCTCTTCTTCCTTGCTGAAACGGCTGAAACAGTTCTGCAGACACCTTGACCTGAGCAAATGCTTTCTTGGGGATGGGCAGGGACAGGTTACCAAAAGAAAAAAAAAAAAAAAAAAACCTCAAAAGGTCGAGGAGCCGATACTCACAGGCTTGACCCTTTAGACAACTTTTCAGCCAGCCCAAAAATAGGTTCACAGTCTTTCTGACGTCTCATTCCAGGTAGCATTTCCACGTCAAGCTGGCTCCTTCATGATCACTTAACTCGGGTTCCTCTAGCAGAGCCCCTCCAGGATTTCAGGACCTCGGCAGGTTCGGTGGTTGATTGCAAGGTGCAGTCGCTCCATGAGGCGCTTCAGGAACTCTGGTTATCTTTCTGGCTGTATCCCGAGAGGGAGGGAACATATTTCTGGAAGGTGGTTAGGAATCGACTAGGAGGGGCACAACTTCGCAAGAGTCATGGTTCAAGAGGCGCTGGTCACGTCTGCAAAGGCGGCAGTGAGTTCTTAAGCTGGACCGCCCCCAGGCACTTGTTGCCGGAAGTCCCAAGAAGCCGGGTCTTGTCCAAACGCTGAAGCATGGCAGTCAGGAAGCACTGGTTCCCAGATTTTGAGGCCAGTGTGACCAGAACCCAGAGCAGCATGTGATGAGTCACTTTTGCATCAGAGTAGAAAGGCTCAGAGGGCCAGCTAGATACCACGGAGAAGGAGCCTGGGAAGAAGGGGGCTCTGACCGGAAGCTGAGCAGCGTGGGCGGGACCAGGGAAGCCTCTGAGGCGGTGGAGGGAGGTGCTGCACCTCAGAGTGGGTGGTTCCTGCCGCAGAGCCAGGTGGCTCGGGGCAACCTCCGCCGCCACCATCACCACCGCCCAATAATACCCCAGTACCTTCCTAAGGCAATCCCCATGGGATGCAAGTCCCTATTGCTCTGACTTAAAACGGATTAGGTTGATCTTAGATGGCAGAGGCAGAGCCGCAGTTGGGCGTGGCGAGCCATGAGAGAGAACTCTCGGGTCAGTCCGAGGGCCTGAGATCCATCCTGGAACCCAGCTCCAGTTTTTTGAGCCATTCATCTGGAGGACTTGCGGGGGAGGCTGAAGTCATAAGATGGGGTTTGGCCCAGGGCTGGTTTGTGGAGCTCCTTGCGGCAGACCCAAGTGATGTGTCGTAGTTTATATCCCACTCGGTGCTGGACACTAAGAGGTGGCTCTTGGATTTTGGGATGTCAGCATAGGCGATGTTCAGAGGCCAGGGGCATTGTGGACAACACAGGTTGGACCTGTTCCCCATGGGGTGGCCAGGGAGGCTAGCGGGGGCCAGGCTCCAGCTTAGGGACACCTTGTTTTGCCCCCGGCTTATCTCCCCGCAGGTCGCAGGTCTCGTTGGAGCTTTAGCTGCAGGGGCCGCCGCCATCTTTGTTGGTCCTGCCCAGCAAGCGGCCACTGGCTTCACTGTCTCTCTTGTGTTTTATTCCGTGAGACATTATTTTTCCTGGATTGCAAGATATCAGAAATATCTTATTAGTATTTTTACAAGAGGATTTTCAGAATCCCCTTTCTGAACTCATGACTCCTTCATAGGAAGAAAGCATTTGATGTAGTTTAGCTTCTTTTTGCAGTAATCTTAAAGGAAGAATCTGCTCTAATCCTGGATTTTGCTTGCTTTATTTAAAGCTTACAGGATCATTTGTGGAAATGAATAAATTAATGCATTCTTGTATAATAGATGCTGTTCATTATTGATCGGGTGTAGAAAGGAGAAAAAAAGATGTCAATATGATTTTATTAAATTTAAATCCTGCATTGGTCTGATTAGTATGTAATTGCTAAAATGCACTTTATCTTTTTTTTCAGATTTATTTATTTTTATTGTAAAGTCAAGTTTATAGAAAGAAGGAGCGATAAAAAGATCTTCCATCCGATGATTCACTCCCCAAGTGACCGCAACGGCTGGTGCTGCGCCAATCCAAAGCCAGGAGCCAGGAGGAGCCTTTTCCAGGTCTCCCACATGGGTGCAGGGTCCTATGGCTTTGGACCGTCCTCGACTGCTTTCCCAGGCCACAGCAGGGAGCTGGATGGGAAATGGAGCAGCTGGGATATGAACTGGTGCCCATATGGGATCCTGGTGCATGCAAGGCGAGGACTTTAACCACTAGGCTAATGCACTGAGTTCTAAAATGCATTTTATTTTAAGAAGTTATTTTTTTAGGCTTTCATTTCTAGATATATTAAGTAGGAATATGAGTTGATGTTTAAACTGCTTTAAAATTGGGCACCTTTTCCTAAAGTTCTTTTTGTTTTTCAAATAAATGTCTTTGATGTACTTCTGAAGTCATAGTGCTGGTTGAAAAGAATCTTGATCCTATGATTTAAAAGAGCCTTGAAACCAGGGCCTGGCGCAATAGCCTAGCAGCTAGTCCTGGCCTTGCACGTGCTGGGATCCCATATGAGCACCAGTTTGTGTTCCAGTGACCTCGCTTTCCATCCAGCCTGTGGCCTGGGAAAGCAGTCGAGGACGACCCAAAGCCTTGGGACCCTGCACCCACGTGGGAGACCTGGAATAGGTTCTTAACTCCTGGCTTCGGATTGGCTCAGCTGTGGCCGTTGTGGCCACTTGGGGAGTGAATCAGCAGACAGAAGATCTTTGTCTCTGCTCCTCTCTGTATATCTGACTTTCCACTAAAAATAAATGTATTTTTAAAAAGAGCCTTGAAACCAAAGTTCTGAGGACAGCCCATAGCTCCGGATACTTGGTTTTGAGCTCTGAAGTAAACTTTTCCTTCTGCTGAGTTCACATTGCCGACAGGGCAGTGGTCTGTCTGGGGACCATATCCACAGGGGCTTTCCAGCTCTTCTATTGTGTTGCTTTGCCTCCTCTGACATGATGTTGATGTACAGGCACGGCTTATTTATTTCAATATTGAAATTATGTTACTTAACTTGTAATGTTTTGTGATAAATAGGGTCCTTTATAAAACTTTGGGAAAAAATGCAGAGATAGGTAATTTTAGGACAGCGAAGGTGGGGCCAGCACATTAGCAGGAAACTGGATTGGAAGCAGAGCAGTTGGAACATGAACCAGTACCCGTAATGGGATGTCAGCATTGCAGGCAGTCCCTTAACCAGTGGTGACAACTGCAGCCCCTCAGTAAGCTTTACGAATAACCTTTGTGTGTTTCTCGGACAATGCACCTGTTAAATGGGTTAATTCATGTGACGCTCCATCACAGGGTTACTTCTACAGAGGAGCAGGCTGACTCAGGCAGCTGAAATTTTGTTGTGGCAGTTCAATAAATGAGCAGGGTTTGGTTTTACTTCAGGGTGGACTTAACAACCTTGCCATATCAGCTACCATTAATGATTTTCCTTTGTTTAAAGAAAAGTCAGTGACTTATGAAGTAATGTTTTTTTTTTTAATGTATATAGTTGGGAAGCTGAATTAAGAGAGGCAAACGAGGCCAAATCAGAATTCACATACAGTTTTTTGTTTTTAACTTTCAAGCCTCTCTTCTTTGTACCATATCATCCTGTCTTCAAAGAGTGATTTTAGAGTATTTTGTTCACATTAGCTTCTCCTTGAGGATGTTCTGGGCAGATTTTGTAGGAAAGCACTATTCTTGATTGCCATTCTGTAAAGTTGTGGTCTTTTGAAATAACAAGAGTACGGGTAAAGACAAATATTTTGTGAAAGTGAGAGTACTAACTATGTTTATGTGCAAACAAATGGGTAAAGTAGTAGTAATTGTGAATTCGTCCTTCCTTTGCAGCCTGTGTCTAGAAGTATAATTTGAGACTCCAATGTCACCCCCCTGCCTGGCAGCATGTGCTTTGTGCTTTATCTTTGCTGTGTGAAATCCATTTAATGTGCTCTCCTTTGTCACCAGAATTCCTCCCTGTAAGGGTGTCAGTGAGGAAACACAAAAGGCTCTGGACCGCTCTCTTCTTGATTGTACTTTCCGATTACAAGGTAGAAATAATCGCACGTGGGTGGCAGAGTTGGTGTTTGCAAATTGTCCACTAAATGGCACTTCGACCAGGGAGCAAGGTAAGCTGTTTCTCACACTGCCTTCACATGTTCCTTGGTTTGTTTAAAGTATTGACTTCTATCAGTCTTCCCTTTTAATCCTGTAGGACCATCCCGGCATGTTTATCTGACATATGAAAATTCATTGTCCGAACCTGTTGGAGGTAGAAAAGTGGTTGAAATGTTCCTTAATGACTGGAATAGCATTGCGCGACTCTACGAGTGTGTGTTGGAATTTGCACGTTCTCTGCCAGGTATGCCTGAAAATCTTTAATTTTTCTCTGATGAATTAAAAAACCAAAAAAAGATGGGGAAGTACAGCCACATTGTGGCATAGTGCATAAAGCTGTTGATTGTGATTCCAACATCCTATGTGGACACCTGTTCAAATCCCAGCTGCTCCAGTTCTGATCCAGTTCCCTAATAATTACCTGTGAAAGCAGCAGATGATCCAAGTGCTTGAGTCCCTGCACTCGTGTGGGAGACACTGATGAAGCTCTGGATTCTAGCCTGGCCCTGCGTGACCCAGCCTTGGTCGTTGTGGCCACCTGGGGAGTGAAACATTGGATGGAAGATCTCTATGTGTCTCTCCTTGTATCTCTGTAACTCTGACTTAAAACACACACACACCCAAAACAACTAACAACCTGAAGAAAATGTAGCTAATGAAAGTAAGTGGCCATTAAAATTTTTTATTTTAAGGTTTATTTTCATCCGGTGTGTTCACTGATATACACATTGGCCGGAGGAGCCTGGAACTCTATCAGGGTCTCCCACATGGGTGCAGAGGCTCAAGTATTTGGGCCATCTTTCACTGGGTTACAGGTGCGTTAGCAGGGAGCTGGACTGGAGGTGGAGCAGCAAGGATTTGGATGCAGACTGCTTACTTGACCTGCTGAGCTACAATGTCAGCCTCAGAGTATCCGTTGTACCTCAGACTTATACAGATAATGCACACATATACACACAAACATACTTATATACCATATTATATATATTTTTTCTTTTTAAATTTATTTTGACAATCTTTACATAGTTAATTAGGGTAAGAAGGTTCAAGGGCTACAGGAAAGTGAATAATACTAGTATGTTTTCCATATTGTTACCTTCATGTTTAAAGGGGGGTATTAAGGGAGAAGGCCCGCCCAATTTCCCACCCTCCCCAGGTCCCGGATGTAGGGCATGCTCTGAGGTTCTTGCTCAAGTGGTTTTGATATTGCAACAGTTATGAATTGCTGTCAATCTTGCCACTCCAAGCACTATGAGGTCTTTGAAAAATCCACTGATTGACATAGTCTATCATAGCTGAGATGGTTGGTTGACCTGTTCTGTCTTCTCTCTTTTCTTGGTTAGGGTTCTGAGTCCAGCATTTAGATTAGGAAGATCTCCAAAGAGGCTTCTTGTATGTGGTAACAAGTACAGGGCCCGGCACCGTCCATCGCCCCAATCAGCTGGTGGTTGCAATTGCTGGGTTGGTTCTGTTTTCACTCCCGACTTCCACTGGAACCAATGACCATATTATATTATGAACAATTTTTGTTGACTTATTTATCTTCATAATTATGTAAAAGATAGGGATCATTCCCTCCCCCTCCATTTTTTTAAAATTTCTTCTTTTTATTGGAAAGGCAGATTTACAGAGAGAAGGAGAGACAGAGAGAAAGATCTTCAGTCCATTGGTTTACTCCTTAAATGGCTGCAATGATATACAGAGAGATATACAGAGAGAAGGACAGAGAGAAAGATCTTCTATTCGATGATTCACTCCCCAAGTAGCTGCAATGGCCAGAGCTGAGCCAATATGAAGCCAGGAGCTAGGAGCTTCCTCTGGGTCTCCCACATGGGTGCAGGGTTCCAAGAGTTTGGGCTGTCTTCTATGGCTTTCCCAGGCCACAAGCAGTGAGCTAGATGGGAAGTGGAGCAGAGAGGTCATGAACCACGGGGATCCCAGTGCTTGCCCGGGGAGGGTTAACTAATTGAACCATCCTGCTGGACCTTCATTCTTTATTAGCGAGGAAAGCATGTCACAGTCAGTCAGTGAATTTCACCAAAGGTCACATAGCTAAAGGGTGGCAGAGCTAGAGTATAGTTCACTCGCTCTAATGCTTGATTGCTACATTCTGCCTCCTTCTCTGTCCTCTTATAGAAATGAAAGTAGACTCTTGTGTTGGTGGGTATTTTTTTTAAAGACTTATTATGTAGAGAATTTTCTCTCCAGACATATAATACTGCAGCAACGCACTTGTCAAGTTTATATTTTAAAACTTTATTAATATCCTTTTTTGTTTCCTTTTGTTTAGACATACCTGCTCATTTAAATATTTTCTCAGAAGTTCGTGTTTATAATTACCGAAAGCTCATCTTGTGCTATGGGACCACCAAAGGGAGCTCAGTAAGTCTGTGGAGTTTCTCATAACTTTTTAAAGATTCAAGTCAAAAATAAAAACTACCTTGAAATAAGAGCTCAAAAATAAAGGATAAAATGATAAATTTCAGGGCTTTTTTCCCCCCCAGGTTTTGTTTTTATTGGAAAGACAAATATGCAGAGAGAAGGAGATAGAGGGTGAATGATCTTCCATCCTGTTATTTACTCCCCAAGAGACCGTAAAGGCAGGAACTGAGCTGATCTGAAGCCAGGAGCCAGGAGCCTCCTCTGGGTGGCCCATGTGGGAACAGGGTCCCAAGGCTTTGAGCTCTCCTCCATTGCTTTCCCAGGCCACAAGCAGGGAGCTGGATGGGAAATGAAGCATCCAGGACACGAACCACTGTCCATGTGGGATCCCTGTGTATGTAAGGCAAGGAATTTAGCCAATAGGCTACTGCACCGCACCTTTTTCAGAGCTTTTTAAAAGAAATATGCTGTGGGCCCGGCGTGGCTGGTCATGCAGCTAAAGTCCTCACCTTCAACATGCCAGATCCCATATGGGTGCCGGTTCTAATCCCAGCAGCTCCACTTCCCACCCAGCTCCCTGCTTGTGGCCTTTGAAAGCAGTTGAGGATGGCCAAAGCCTTGGGACCCTGCACCCACATGGGAGAGCTGGAAGAAGTTCCTGGTTCCTGGCTTCAGATTGGCGCAGCACCAGCTGTTGCGGTCACTCTGGGGAGTGAATTATTGGACGGAAGATCTTCCTCTCTGTTTCTCCTCCTCTCTGTGTATCTGATTTTACAATAAAAATAAATAAATTAAAAAAATATATGCCTTGATTCTTAAATTTTTCATGCCCCTCTGTGATGGGGCATACAATCTTGAAAAGTTTTGGATGAGATCATGTACTTTGAGGGTTTGTACTTTTTTCTTCACTGATCCCAAGTCACAATATGATTATTACATTATGAATAGTTATGAAGCTGATAACACTGTGTTATGTCTGCTGTGGGTCAATAAATGTTAACACAGTTTGGTCTTTTTCTTCATCTTGAAGGTATTCCTTGTAATCTACAGTTCCTTATTTTTTCCCTTCCATGTATGTAAAATGATAAAAAAATTTTTGTATGAAAATTCAGGCAGATAGCTTCTGTTTGGGCTGTTGTGTTACTTAGGTAATGTCACATTTCCCAAGTGTTTAAGATCTAGTAAGGAAATGCTTTCTTGATGGGTGTCTTTCTGTGCTGTGATAGTGCTCCTTGGTTAATAGAACTAAGATTGCAGTTAATCTTCATTTCAGAAGAAAAATAGAAAATACAAAACACTAAATGAGTTTGAGCAAGTAACGTTTTATCAGTGTTCTCTCTGTAGTATATTTGTGCTCTGTTGAGTCAAAGGTTGCTAATACATGTGTTCAGGAACTATCGTAGCTCCATATTAGCACATCTGGAATTTGCGTCAAGTTTTATTTTAAAGCTTGTGTTCAAAAGCTAATCTCAGTTAAATAGGTTGTTATTTTGCCTGTTAACTTTTTTTTTAACTTAATATGTTGCTTCCTTGTTTCTGTAATTTTTCTTTGATTTAGATTAGTATCCAATGGAATTCCATCCATCAGAAGTTTCACATTTCATTGGGAACTGTTGGCCCTAACTCAGGTTGCAGTAATTGTCACAATACCATTCTCCATCAGCTTCAAGAAATGTTCAATAAAACACCAAATGTGGTTCAGCTATTACAGGTAATTCAGTTTATTTTTTGTCTAAAAAATGAGATGTGTTTCAGGCAAAAGACGCTAAAAGAAAAATGCGTACTTACTTGTGAAAATAACAATGATGGGTACCTTTATCTTGTACATCTCGAAAGCTTCTTGTGGAATTTTCCTAAGATTCAAAGTGGATACAGTGACCTCCCTTATCTTCTTTTCAAGAAACTGTTTGGAATGTGCTAGAAGGATATTATCTCTTGTGTTGTTTGTTTATATATTGAGAAGTCTGAGATTTTAACGACTGTACAAACACTGACTGCTTTCTCTGTGTGTTTCCTTATAGGTACTATTTGATACTCAGGCTCCACTAAATGCCATCAACAAACTCCCCACTGTGCCAATGTTAGGCTTGACGCAGAGAACCAACACTGCCTACCAGTGCTTCTCCATTCTGCCACAATCTTCTACCCACATCAGACTGGCCTTCAGGAACATGTATTGCATTGATATATACTGCCGGAGTCGAGGTGTTGTGGCAATACGAGATGGTGCATATAGTCTTTTTGATAACAGCAAGTTAGTTGAAGGTTTTTATCCTGCACCAGGACTAAAGGTAACAGAGTTTAGCGTCTTAGCATGAGTAGTTATAAAAATGATCTCAAACAATTCCTTTGAGGTGAAACTAATGGGAAAGTAATGCATTCTTTTTTAAAAATTAATTAATTAATTAATTTTTTGGCAATCTTTACATAATTAGGGTAAAAAGGTTCAAGCGCTACAGGAAAATAGGTAAGACATTTAGTTCCTTCATATATCTGAGGTAAAAGGGGAGTTTAAGGGAGAAGCCCCACCCAGTTTCCCACCCTCCCCAGGTCCCTGATGTGGGGCATGCTCCAAGGGTCTTGCTCAAGTGGTTTTGATAGTTCAACAGTTCTAAATTGCTGCCAGTCTCGCCACTCCACGCACGATGAGGTCGTTGAAGAATCCACTGATTGACATAGTCTCTGTTTGCCCAGTTTTTCACTGCCAACATATAGCTGAGGTGGCTGGTTGACTTGTTCTGTCTTCTTTCTTTTCTTGGTTAGGGTTCTGACACCGGCAGTTCGATTGGGGGGGATCCCCAAAGAAACTTTTTGTCTGAGGTGTTCCCAGACCAGATTCTTGTATGTACTAGCAAGTACAAGGCCCGGCACAGTCCACCGCCCCGATCAGCTGGTGGTTGCAGTTGCTGGGTCAGTTCTGTTTCCAGCCCTGTTTTCCACTGGAACCAATGGGTGCCGCAGTCCAGCCTGATTCTGCCCAGCACACACTTGGCCCTCACTTAAACCAGTGGGAGCCACAGCCTAGTCGGAGCGACTCACAATAACCCCCACCAGGCCCGCCCCCTGCCCTGGTTTGCCAGTATGTGCAGCAGACTAGTCCAGTCTGTCCCACACCCCCTTCGGCTCTCATATATGTCAATGGGTATTAAAGCCTAGTTCCATCTAACCAGCTCAACTATCCAGCCCTCACAGATGTTGTTGGGTGTCTCTCTGTCTAGCCACCCCAGCCCCTGTCCTAGTTTTCGTGCCCTTCCGTGGGGGTGGTAACCCAAGAGGGAGGTACCCACTATTTCCCTCCCAGGCCACTCCCACTCTGGGATTATGCACTCTCCAGGTTCTGTGGTTTGACTTGACAAAACTAGGCCCCAGTGCCAGCTTCTGCCAGCTGATGCTGTGGCTAAGCCCAAACAACCCTCACCCACTCCAACTGTAGTTTGTACCAGTAGGATCAATCAGCCCAGCCTGGCTTTTCCCTGATCTAGCTCACATGAAGCCCACAGGTGTTGTAGCCCTGCTTAGTCTGGTCTGCCCCCATCCAAGCTCACACTCTCTAGTGGGAGTAGCTGTCCAGCAAGTAACCCCCCCCCTTATTCCCCCTGCTGGCTCTGCCCCCTCCCTTCCTGGTTCTCATGTGTGCTGTTGGGCGCTGCAGTCACATCTGGTACAGGCAACCTCACCTTGGCATTCCGTATTGTGTACTGCTTTTGTCGCGACTGAACCTGGCTCCACCCACACACTGTTCTGGTGCTCAGATTTGCCAGTGGATGACATGAACTGATTCAGCCTGGTCTGCCCCCGACCCATGCCAAATGTATGCCAGTGGGACATTTTCCATGGCCTGTTCTGGGCTGTTTCCTTTCATGCTTCTTGCACTTACCTGCAGGGACTGTGTCCTGCCAGAGGAGTTGCCCAGGCTCCTCCATCAGAACCTCTCCCAATGCCAGATTTCACACATACCATTGAGTCCATGAACCAGCCCTACTCAGTTCACCTCCTGTCCTAGCAGGAACAGTGGCTTTTCCTGACTGGCCTTCAACCCAATCTGGTTCTTACTGTTGGATGTTTCAGCCCAGCCACGGCTCGTCCATACCCACATACAGCTCATACATGGCTCAGTTGGGGCTGTGACCTAGCCTAGTCCATCCCACTTCTGCCCTGGTGCTCCAGAACACCAGGAGGTGTTGGAGTCTAGCCCGGTTTGGTGCGTCCAATCCCAATCCACACTTGTGCCAAGGGAGACTACAATTAGAACGCAGCCCCCATTCCAGCCCATGTGCCCCCCTTAGTGGGAACCTCCACCCAGCTAGGGTGTCCCCTTAGCTCCCCAACCGGGCCTGTTCCCAGCCAGTGTTCAGCAAAAACAATGCATTTTAATTTAAATTTTTCATGAAAGGGCTTCAAACAGTTAATGGAAAATGCATGTTATTGATCAATGCCATTTTTGCCATAGAGTTTTTCAAGCCACCTTGTAAGAAACAGTGTTTATTTATTTACTGTTAAGCTTCAAGTTCTGATTAAGTTCTGCACCAATGTGTACAGAATGATAGAAAATCCTTTCCTTTTTTTCCTACCCTGTAGTGGATAAGTGAGGTGAAAGTTACTGAAGAGAGTCAAGCTTACTCTTTGGAGCTCTAAGGAACTTTAAAAGTAGTCTTTATCATTGATTATCAAAAAGGTTTGGTCATCAGCTTGACTCTGATGCTTTTCTAAAATGTAAGGTCATGGGCCCGAGCCCCTAGATTTCCTGGTGAGATTCGATAGTGCATGTGTATATGTTTATAGTTTGTGATTAAATGAGTCCAAGAGGCTTTTGAAAAATAGTCCGCTGCAGCCATTCTTGTCATTGTCCTGCTCCTTAGACACATGTTTTCAGTTCTCAAATAGCTGGTTCTCTTGGTATTTATATCTGTATCTCTAAATAGCATGCTCATGCCACTATTGGCTCACTTTTTGGTTGAGTGCATTATCTGATTCCAGAATGGAAATGACAATTTTATTTTTGAAGGATATAGTTTATTTATTTGAAAGGTAGAATGACAGAGAGGGAGAGACAGAGACATCTGCTGGTTGACTCCTCTAAAGGCTGCAACAGCCGGGAATGGGCTAAAGCCAGGAGCCTGGAGCTCCACCTGGCTCTCTCATGTAGATTCAGGGACTCAAGTACTTTGGCCATCTTCCATAGCTTTCCCAGGCATGTAGCGAGCTGGGTCACAAGTGGAACAGCCAGGATTTGAACCTGTGATTTCATATGGGCTTAGGCAGCAGCTTAACGTACTGTGCCATAATATCACTGGTCCTGGCAATAATTTTTCTTTTTTCCAATTTTCTTTTTTTTAGTGCATTTCTTCCCACATTCAGGCTGCTCCTCATATATCAACATACTCTTCTTTCCTCCTTTCTTAGCAATATGGTTAGATACCAATTTGGTTAGGTAATTTTTTAGTTTTTGCATTACGATGAATATGGAAACGCCATTGCATTTAGCTTACTATAATTACTTTTATTTATTTAAATTATTTTTTTTTGCGTTTTATGTGAAAGACAGACAGATGAAAGAGATCTCCCATCTGCTGGTCCACTCCCCAAAAGCCTGCAACAGCCAGGGTTGGGCCAGGCTGAAGTCAAGAGCCTGGAACTGCAACTGGGTCTCCCACCTAGGTGGCAGGGACCCAGGCATTCATCCTGTCACCTGCTGCCTCCCAGAATGCGCATTAGCAGGAGTCTCGATCAGAAGTGGAGGAGCGGGACTCAAACCAGGCACTCCGATGTGGGGTGTGGGGTGTGGGTATCCCCAAGCTGCAACTTAATGCTGTACCAGACGTTTTCCCCTTTTTTTCTTTCTTGCTCAACATTTTACTTCTTGGGAATTATTAACTGGCTTTTTTTTTTAATATTGCTTTTCCTGTACTTCACTAACTCAGCCTTACCGTCTCTCAGTTATGTAACTCTTCTTTAAGTACATTCAAGCATATCTGATGCCCTATCAGCCTCATCTTGAATATCTTCCCTGGACCTCTCATCTGCTCCAATTTGGACTGCTAGTGCTCCAGGCCTTTTGTACAATGTTGACTCGAGACTCTTCAGCAGGACGAAGGGGAGGTTCTGTCACTTCTCTGGTGGCACATGGCTTGTATCCTATGACTTGGAACTCATATCTTGTTCATGGTTTACTTCATTGCCTTCTAGGACATTTGTTTCAGGGAGATGTTCCAGTGAGGTTGAGACTTTGTGTATCTAAAAGTGTCCTTAGTTTACCCTAATCTGAGGATGTCTAAGTGGATTCATTTATTGTAACAATTTTGAAAGTATCACTTCATTGTCTTCAAGGTTCCACTGTGATTGCTGCATCCTTTAATGTTCTACTTCTTGAATCTTTCGTGATTGTGTTTTCAGTGTGAAAGCTTGCATCCTCTTGTTCTGGGAGATTTTTCTACATTATGTATCATGATTCCTTTGCTTTGTTTTCTCTGTTAGCTCATTTGGATACCTCTGCTGTTTTGATGTTTAACGTCATGGCCTTGTCCTTTAATTTTTTAAAATTTTTTATTTTTGTCTGTTGTTTTCTCTGTGTCTCTGTTTTTGGGAGCTTTCTTCTGCTTTTCTAATCCTTCTGTTTTTTTTTTTTTTTTTTTTTGCTAAGATCTTTTTGTGTATAAATGTTTCATTTTATAGTATCCTTTTATGACATCCTGTTAGGCTACATTGTCTTCCCTAACCTTTCTTTTTGAGCAATCTCGGTTTCTGCCACTGTGCTTTCCACAATGGGGAGTAGATCCCGTTCATATTGGTGTCCTTTGTGAAATATTAAGTGGTAGTTTACTTTTAGTTAAAGGAAAACTATATTGACTGTGGTCTTCATTGCAGGATTATTTACTTGGGCTTCTTGTTGTTGTTGTTGGGGGTTAACTCCAGATGTCTGGAACTTTTGGTCTTGTGTTGGGATGATGTGAGTACCAAGAAAGAATGCATAAGCTTTCCATATAGGTAGCATGCATCTGTTTCCCAGTTCAGGTGAAGTTAAATGAAAGCAGAAAACTGTTTTTCGACTTTTAGTATGTGAATTATTAGTCCTCATTTTTCATTTGATACTTTTCTCAGTTGATCTTGCATTCCCCCAGGGTGGTGTAGATGTTCCTCCAGGGTGGCGGGGAAGATCTGGTGAGTTCAGTGAAAGTGGCAAGGGATCTGAGAGGAGTTCTGTGTCCACTGAAGAGTTTTTCTCCCCTCCCCCCCCCCCACGCAATCCTTCTGTTATTAGCCTCACGCTCATCCTGCTGCAAGGGTATCTGCCAGTTTCAAAGTGTCTTGGGGGTCTGGTTGGAAATGGCTTTGTGACTTGGCTTTCCCCACAGCTTGCTTAGGATGCAGTTTTCTTGCATCAGATGATTTAATTTCCACTCATCCATCAGCTGTGCTGCCTCCAATATAGATTGCCATTTTCTCCCTTCCTTTTTGTCTTTTTGTCTTACTGCCTTAATTTTCTTTGCAGTGCTTTTTGTGAGGTATCGGAAAATGGTGAAGCATATGTTGTGTTATAAGGCAATATGGAAGTTGGATGATTCACTTTGAATAGGTCTCTAGTGATTCTGATGAAGTAATGATAGATAATTTTTTAGGAGTATGAAGGTGGGAAATATTGAAGAATCTGTGCCTGAGATGCAAACTAGGTGGTCTTGCTCAATTTTTGGATGACATTCTGTAAAACAAGGCTGTCCCACTCTGGTGTTTCAAGATGTAATCATGTATAATAAAAACAAGAAAGTTGCTTAGGTTTCTTACTCAGTTTTCATGTCATATTTTCTACCTTGACATTGTGGTTACATGGCCATTCATTTGTTCCCCCATTTCCGGTCAGAAGTTAATTTCTTCTTCTACTTTCTTTTTTCTTTTCTTTTTTTAAAAAGATTTATTTATTTTTATTGGAAAGGCAGATATATAGAGAGGAGGAGAGACAGAGAGGAAGATCTTCCATCCAATGGTTCACTCCCCAAGAGGCTGCAGTGGTTGGAGCTGATCCCATTCGAAGCCAGGAGCTCTTCCAGATCTCCCATGTGGGTGCAGGGTCCCAAAGCTTTGGGCCGTCCTCGACTGCTTTCCCAGGCCACAGGCAGGGAGCTGGATGGGAAGCAGGGCTGCCGGGATTAGAACCGGCGCCCATATGGGATCCTGGGCGTGCCAGGCGAGGACCTTAACCACTACGCTATTGCGCTGGGCCCTCAGTCAGAAGTTAATAAGAAATATTTTGACTTGGTGTTAAGAGGTGCCAGGGTGTGCTTCTTCAGTGTTTTGCTTGTGTAATTCTTGTTAGTTGAGAATAATTTTGTACTTAGATGTTTTTTATTGCCCTCCTCAATTACCCTCCTTCACAGTGTGCACTGTCTCTTTTAGATTGTCCTAATAATCTCAGGGATGGACATATGTTTATTTCTGTTTTCCTTCAGTTAGGTAAGTAACCTGAATTTTATCTGTTTCCGTTTGTAGACGTTCCTGAATATGTTTGTTGACAGCAATCAGGATGCTCGGAGAAGGTCTGTGAATGAGGATGATAATCCACCGTCTCCTATAGGAGGAGATATGATGGATTCGTTAATATCACAACTACAGCCACCACCCCAGCAACAGGTACTAAATATCAAGTCAAAGTTCCATATAGTGTCACATTGGTGTAATTTTGCAGGTTCTAGGAGTGTCAGGGCTTTTTCGTTGAAAGACCAAGATGTCTGTGTGGGCCCACGGTGCTTAGGAAATTTCTTTTCTTTGCTTATTTCGTTCTTTCTTTTCTTTTTTTCTTTTCTTTTTTTTAAGATTTATTTATTAGGAAGGCAGGTTTACAGAGAGAGGAGAGCCAGAAAGATCTTCCATTTTTTGGTTCACTCCCCAAATGGCTGCAATGGCTGGAGCTGAGCTGACCTGGAGCCAGGAGCTTCATTCAGGTCTCCCATATGGGTACAGGGTCCCAAAGAACATGGGCCATCCTCCACTGTTTTCCCAGGCTAAAGGCAGAGAACTGGATGGGAAGAGGGGCAACCGGGTGTTTGGAGGTGAAAGATTAGCCAGTGGAGCTGTTGCGCCAACCCCTCAGAAATTCTTCTGAAGGGGAACAAGGCTTCCAGTAGTGGAAAGTGAATAGTGTCAGAGACAGCATGAATCTCAGACATTGTGATCACCTGTGTGCTTAAGATGATGTTATTTGATTCCTGCAGTGGAAACTTCAGCTGTGGGATTTGAGATCTTTAGGAGAGTGTCCTTACCACGTCGTGAAAGGCCCATGTTATTAGACTAGGTAGTATGCTGTGGGGTAGCGAGCTAAACCTCCGCCCACAGCAGCATCCCATATGGCTGCTAGTTTGAGTCCTGGCAGCTCCACTTCCCATCCTGCTCCCTGCTCATGGCTTGGAAAAGTAGCAGAAAATGGCCTTGGAATCCTGTATCCATGTGGGAAACCTGGAGAAAGCTCTTGGCTCCTGGCTTCGAACCAGCCCATCTCTGACTGATGCAACTGTTTGGAGAGTGAACCAGCAGATATTAAATTTCTCTCTCTTGCTGTCTCCCCATCTCTCTCTGTAACTCTGGTATCTTCCAAAGAAAATAATAAGTATGTATGTGTACGTATATATGTATATATATTTAATAGCAATCCATTTTATTTTTGATGCTTACCGAGTTGAGGGGGATTCATGCTCCTGTGGACCATCGGTTAGGGTGGAGAGGGTCAAGGGTGGTGGAAAGCGATGAGACAACCGCTTCCAATCTCCTTCCTGTATCTGGGGAAAGTGGAGAGAAGGGCAGGTGGCCACTCCCAGCGGCTCAATCACATCAGAGCCTGGGATGGAAAATGGTACCCAATGTCATCCCAGATACATTTTTTAACGAGATGTAAAGTTGTGTTGAAAAGCCCATGTTATTAAAGTAGAGCAAATGAACCAAATGTCTAGCGATGTGTACACATTTCAGGCCATTTGGATGAGCCCACTGTAGAGCCTTATGCTCTGTCATCTTTGCATCTTGATGCTTCTGATAATTGAACAGGCCCCCAGGGGAGCCTTTGTTTTTTCACTTAGGCTTCTGGACTAGCAGGCGACCGGTCATCCTTCATTCCTCCTTGTCTCCTTCCTTCACCCCTTCTCCAGTCCTTTGGCTCTGGAAAAGCTTCTGTCTCTGGCCTGAAATCTCCCATGGCTCCGTTTTTGCTGCATGTATGTGCTATATGCAAAGGTGTCTTTGACACATCCTTCAGATTTGGTCTGTAAAAGAGCTCACTGCTTCTCTTTGCAAAGCTTTCATAAAGTAGCATTGCATGGAACTAACATCCTACAGTGTCCACTTAGCTTGGTTGGATGCCCAGCTCTGGCAGCTTAGTAACTGTAACTTTTCAGTGTCAACATTTTTGATAAAATAACAGACTTACCTGAAGGAAGGTTGTCTGGCAGGTATGTTGTCCCTGAATTTCTGGCCTCCTTATTGTTTGCTTCCCTTTTTGGCCTTCATGAAGGTGAAGGAAGAAGTTCAATAGAATTCCACCTGTCTCTGTGTATCCAGGCTATGGGACTGTAATGACAGATGTTGACTAGAATATAATACTCTTGCTCTAAGAAAGTTGAGCCACCATTGGGGCAAAGGGCATTGACCCAGCAGGTGCCACAGCATAAGTTTTCTTGTGGAAGCCCCCTTACTTGCATTATATGTTTCTCTTATACCTGTGTGGAACAGGAAAGGAGCCACGTCCATGAGCTCTATATACCAGGAGCATTTCATACCGAACATGAGATTGATAATTAGGAAACTTGTTCCAAGCTAAGACAGAAAGATGGACGTAGGTAGATGGAAGACAAAAATAAGGCATTCCGTAAAAGTTGTAATTTATCATTAGTGACAATTTGGGAGATTTTCTGCTTTTAATGTCTCATCAAACCTTGTTTTTAAATATGAAAGTTTGATTTTTTTTTAATGCTAGTTGGAATTTTTTAAAAATAGTATTTACCAGCCTTGACTAAATGTCTTCAGACAGTGGCTTCAATGTTAGGGACTCTTGAGGGCTGAGTATTTTTTATTAAACAGTTTCAATTTTATTTCCTTTCTTTTTATTGGATAGTTATGCTGTATACTGTCTTGTAAGCTGTTAATCTCTTTGATAAGGTACTTGTGTAGAAAAAATATTCAGTAAGGGATTTATGTACATTTTACTTGATATTAGCAAATAGTGCTACTTCCTTTTTTTAATAAAATGATTAGTTTTAGTTGATAAGCCAGTCCATAGGAAAGAAGCAATATACAGCAGCTCGGGAAGGTCACAAGTTTAGTTAGAATGTAACATAGCTTAAGTGTGCAAAATAGCACTTCTAGGCCGTGCGCCCAGCGCTGTGGTTTGGCTGAAGCAGGGGTGGTGGGTGAAGTTGGGGTGCTCTGCAGGCCGCTGTCCACCCTGCAGCTGGGAGCACCTTGGTGAAAGTGGACATCAATGCAAGCCTGAAAAAGAAGAACAGTTTCCTCCTCCCGAGCCATGGCATACCCGGCATGCAGAAGTACCACTTTGGGGAACAGTCTTCAGGAGAGCCCAGACGAGCTCACACAGTCCCAACAGATCACCCCCGATTTGCATTTCAAGTTCTACTTCAGTTTCATAAGGCTATAGACTCAGCATTGGCTCAGAGGGTCAGGAACAGAGTCCATTTCAGGATATTGGCTCCAATACTACAGAATGAATGGGAAAAAATGGCTTTTTTATGCCATCTTCTGGTATTACTCATCGCTTTTTGAAGAAGCGCATAGAAGAGACTTTATTCTAGCATTGCAGAAATGAGTACACTGTGCTATATCAGAATCCTAGCAGAAGGAAGCTTGTTCCTCTGCAGCCTCTTAAATTATCTTTATTACACAGCATGAAGAAAATATAGCTTTTTTAAAAATGACAAATCAAAAGTTGTTATCTTCCTAAGGACATTCTTTAATGAACTCATTTTTAAAATTAAAAAAAAAGTGTGCAAAAGAAAGGTGCATACTACATTATTGGGTAGAAGAGTATACTTGAATAGGTGATTTTGTAGCTGTTGAGTTTAAGAGTTGAATTCTATAGTTTCTTTAAAGTAGGACAAGTCAGTCACACAAAAGAAACTGCAGTTTTTAAGATTCAAGGTATTTTACAAAAGAGGGCATCCTAATGGCCAGTGAGCACAGAAAAATGTTCTGACATTTCACATCAGAAAACTGTACAACTAAAACCACCGTGCGATTACACTAAATACTTGCCAACATGATTTTGGCCAAAACCTGATAACTCCTGCCAATTTTTGGTAGTAGGAACAACTGAAACTCTTCATTTACTACTGCAAGGTGTGTCACATGATAGGGTTACTTTGCAATAGTGCCGAGCAGTACTCCAGCTGAATGTTACACATGCCTGTGAGTCAACAGTTCTGCTCCTAGGTATGTATGCAATAGGTATGTGTCAAAAGCCCACAAAGGTTGGTGGCAGCATTATTTTTCCATAAAATTATAAACAACCCAAATGTTCATTAACAGTAGTATAAATGAATTAAGTTGGGCATAGTTATATATGGAGGATCTTATAGGAATGAAGAAACAAAGCAACGCTGCATGCACTACCCTGGGGGAATTTTACTGACAATGTTAAGCAAGAGAAGCCAGACACCATGAAAAGTAACTCAGCATTTAGGGAAGATGCAGAAACAGGGAAAACTAAGCTTGTGTGATAAGAGTGACTCCAGTGCTTATCTTTGGCGAGATGGGAAAGATGTGGAAGGCACATGAGGGCCTGTGGGCTGCCGGTGATAGTAGTTTGTCTGTGTCCAGTGGTAGCAACATTTACAGAAGAGTCACCAAACTGGACATGTAAGGTTTCTGCACTTGTTGTGAATTAGACTTCAATTTTGAAAAATACAGACTAATAAGACTATCCTTGGTTTTCATTACTAGAGATGAAGATAAACATGATAGAGATCAGGCTGAAGTACCATCTTTTATTCACTCAGAACTCCACTAAATACAAGATGCACTTTTTTATGTACTGCTAAGAAAGTAAACACAGTCAGTTCAAGTAACAAGACATGACTGCACACTAATTGCACCGATGTTGAAGTGTGGGGAAATAAGTCTTAGAATCATTGAAATAGTGGATAAATGATATAGAAAAATCAGTGATATGGTATGCAAAATGAGCATAAAACACTTTGAAGATTGAAAAGCAATTATTTTGGGTGTGTCGACATTGTGTAGTAGGTTAAGCCACCACCAGTATTACATATGGGACATATGGAGCATCAAGTTCCAGCTGCTCCACTTCCCATGCAGCTCCCTGCTAATGTATCTGGGAAATTCACATAGGATAGCCCAAATCCTTGTGCCCTTTCACCCATGTAGGGTGAAGAAACTCCAGGTTTCTGGCTTTGCACCTGCCCCGCTCTAGGCATTGTAGTTGTTTGGGGAGCGATCCAGTGGATATAAGGTCTCTTTCTCTCTGTATAAATATGCCTTTCCAATGAAGAATAGATCTTTAAAAAGAGAGAGAGAGAGAGAGAACGAATGATGTTCCAAGATCAGAAACAAGGAAGATGCTGTTTTGACACATTTTAAAAGAGTTTACTTTTAAGAAAAGATTTTTTTTTTTTTAAGATTTTGGCGGTTGCAAAGTGAGGGTTTAGCTACTAGGCTACCACGCCAGGCCCTTGAAAGAGTTTTTAAAGGACTGCTTTATTGATATCTATTTTGCACATTTCTTAACTCATGTTTCCTATTTGGTAGGCAGTTTAGTTGCTACCAGTGTAGCCCTTCATTTGTAAAGTCTTTAGTCTGTTGATGGTTGGTCAAGTTTTAATGTTTCGTCCTGTTCTTTCAGCCATTTCCAAAGCAGCCAGGAACATCAGGCGCTTACCCTCTTACTTCACCCCCTACGTCTTACCACAGCACAGTGAATCAGTCTCCCTCTATGATGCACACACAGTCTCCAGGTAAGATCTTACTCTCTTGTCATGTACAACTTTCAAATCTAGCACACACGCATATGGATTGGAGCCACTGTGCATCCCCGTCTGTGGCTACTTACTTGCTGTTTCTTCATTATGGCAGAGTTGGGGAAATTTGTGCTAATGGCTCAGGAGCACTTGAAAAGATTTCAGTTAAGTGACGGCATTGTCCCCCTACAACCTGAGGAATTCTAATCACAGCAACCTGTTACGGGTTGGCCCTCTAAAGGCTGAGGGTCAAAGCCTGTCCACTTTGTAAATAAAATTGCATTGGAAATCAGTCTCCGTCTGTTTATGTAGTATCTATGGGTGCCTTCCTACTGTGTCAATGCTTTATACCCAAAAAAAGGTGGGGCTCAGCTTTGGTGTATATGAAGGTGAGCCGACTCCCCAGCGTCCGGATTGGGTCCTGTACTGTCTAGACAAGACGGCCTTGCTGGTTGCTGTGTGAAGTACATTGTCAAAGTGCATCTGGCCTGAACAGAAGACAGGACGCATTATGAAACTGCAAAAAATTCTGATTTATGCCAACAGATATATTTGGCTTTAGATGTTCACACTGAAAATTGAAATTTGCAGGGCCTGCTTTTCATTTATAGAATAAAGAAATGTGTGCATCCGTGTTAGCAATTTGTGCGGACTAACAGAACCTGTTAATCTGTAGATGAGTAAAGTAGGGACATCGCTTGTTAACCAGCTACTTATATTGTAAAGTAGGAATATCTAAAGCCTTTTATTTAGTGAGGTTATGAGAATTGAATGAAAGAATTCCCATAAAATATTTAGTTGTGGTGCTTGGCATATGAAGGACCCCTCTTCGAACCAGCCGCTTATCTGCTTTGTCACCCCAACGGGGACGCTTGACATGCAGAGCTGCACAGGTGTTAGAGCTGAATTCCTGAGCCTGGCGCTGTGGCTTCATGGCTAAATCCTCACCTTATATGCATCGGGATCTAATATGGGTGCCAATTTCTATCCTGGCTGCTCCACTTCCCATCCAGCTCCCTGCTTGTGGCCTGGAAAAGCAGTGGAAGATGGCTCAGTGCCATGGGATCCTGCAACCCCGTGGGAGACCCAGAGGAAGCTCCTGGCTCCTGGCACTGGATTGGCTCAGCCCCAGTTGTTGCAGTCATTTGGCAAGTAAACTAGCAGATGGAAAATGTTTGTTTTTCTTTCCACAAATCTGCCTTTCCAATACAAATAAATAATGATTAAAGAGAGAGAGAGAGAGCTCTGATGCTCTCGTTCTTAGTGTTCTTTCCCCCTGCCACCCAAACACCCCCCCCCCCAGCTCAGTAGGTGAGAACCCTCCTTTCTGGCTGATGTGAGCTTGTAGTCATGTACAAACTGGCTTTCCGTGACTTCAGAATTTGCCTCGAATCCAACCACTTTCTATTGCTGTAGCCTTCCTCTACGCTCCTAGTCCTCTGTCACTAAAACACGTCTCTAACTGGTGATGTCTGTCTCTTCCCCTTCCCTTAGCCTGCACTGATATTCCCAGAGCAGCTCAAGTCCTCTCGTGGCATGGATGTTAGCTCATGGCTCCTGCTCCAAACTCAGCACTGGTTTCCTACTCATTCAGGGTGAACCCTGAGGCCCCGCAGTGACCCACAAGACCTCATGTGATCTGGCACTCACTCCTGTCTTGTGAACATTTCTCTCTTTTTTTAAAGATTTGTTTATTTTTATTGGAAAGTCAGATTTATGGAGAAAAGGAGAGACAGAAAAAGGCCTTCCATCTGCTGGTTCCTTCCCAGGCCACTGCGGGGAGCTGGATGGGGAAGTGGGGCAGCTGGGACATGAACTAGCTCCCATATGGGATACTGGTACTTGCAAGGGGAGGAAACACTCCCCCGCCCCTCCGCGGTGAACATCTCTGATGCCTTCTCCCGTGCGCCCTGTCCCAGCCACACTGCCTCATACATGTTCAGGATACTGCTTTTCCATTTTTGAGCCTTCTCTGTTTGCTTTGACTATCTTATCCCCTGAATATCCTTTTGCCTTATCCTTCACTTTTTTGTCCTTTCAGCTTACATGTCCCCTTCTTTGCGAGGTCTTAGGATATCCACCTCTACCGCTACACCAAATTGCCCCCTTATCTTGTTCTCATTTACTCTGTTATTTGGCAGATAATTGTATTTCTTATTCTACTAAAGTATAAACTCCCCAAGGCCTGGAATTGCTATGCCCTTTGTTAACTACTGCATCCCCAGATGCCTAGAATAGTGCTCAGCATGAAGCATGTTTATACCTGCTTTTGAATGACTGAAAGTGTAAAGGACAAAGTGCACCAGATTTTTAAAAAGTTTCATCAATCTAAGAATTACGGAGCCATGGATTCGAGCCCTCTCTTTTTTAATAGTGGAATCTTTTTAGTTTTTCCTTGCATTACTTACAGGCACTTTACTAATTATTCATTAAATCTGTAGGACGATTTTAGCTTGGGCTCTTTGGACAGGGCATAGTTTGTGTCCTGCAAGATCATCTGTAATTATTTTCCTTTACCAGGAAATCTGCACGCTGCCAGCTCCCCCAGCGGGGCTTTGAGAGCCCCGTCACCTGCGTCCTTTGTTGCCACTCCTCCCCCATCCTCGCATGGAATCTCCATAGGACCAGGGGCCAGTTTTGCTAGTCCACATGGTGAGTCCGTGCATGGAAGTGCTATAGTTTAAGAGCTTAGTGTGACAGTAACTTTTTGTTTAACAAGTGCCCTTATTGCAAATTAGTGTTTGTTTATTATTGAGGAAATAGCCAAAGTATTGCTGGAATAGAAATGTTTTCTGACCCCACCAAGCTGAGGTGATGAATGACTAGCTCGTTTCCCTTGGCTTTTGTTTGCGTCTTCTCTTTTGCGCTTGCGCTTCCTCTCACTCACTGCTTGCATGTTCGCTTACATCTCTGTTGCTCTCACTTGCTCACTACCCATCGTCTCGTCCTCTCCAACAGCACCCCCACGGGGCACTCTGACGTATGGATTATTTTGAGATTTGAAATTTTAACATTTTATCTTAAAAAAAAATACCTAATCTTGAGAACTGATTCAAATAGATGAAAACCTATTCTTCAAATACATAAGAGGATAGAAGAGCTACTGATTTTGCCTTTTTATTCCACCAATCACTTCCTCTTCCCAGAGTCATTTCATGTTATTAATTGTGTATTCTTGCAGTGTTGTTTCATGTACACACACGCCATGTATGTGTTTGCTTTGTACACACATGCAGCATATTGTACGTAGTGTTCAGTGCTGTTTTCATTTAATATATCATGAATACTATACCATCTCCTAGCATAAAAAGAGTTTTGTTTATAGACTGTGTAGCCCCTGTAATTTTGCTTTGTTCTATTATTAATATTTGTAGGAACATCTGTCAGTAAAAAACTCTGCATATCATACTAAATAGCTTTGTACTATCCCTTTGTCAGTATTATACATTTCGAATGTTTCCCTTTAAAAATGGTGCTGTCTCTATTGACATGCGTTGTTATTTCTTTAGATAAGTTCCTAGAAATGGAATTGCTGTCAAAGGGTTTGAGAAATTCTAAAGTTTTCAAAACATACTGTGAATTGCTCACCTGAAAGGCTGTGCCAGTTTCCTATAGCATCATACAAGAATATATGCTTTCTTGCATGAATGCCAGCACAGGCTATTAAGATTTTTCGAAATCTTGGCCATTTTGATAGGTGGAGATTGATGTTGTTAAATGTGTGTTTCTTTGATTATTAGTGAAGTTGAACCCATTTTTTATGTTTATTGGTCTTTAGTTGGTGTATCTTAATTTGTGCCTGCCAGTTTTTATACTTTCTCAATTCCTTGTGTGTGGGGTTTTTTTTTTTTTTTTTAATTGGAAAGTCAAATTTACAGAGAGGAGGATCTTTTGTCTGCTAGTTCACGCCCCAATTAGCTGCAATGGTCAGGCTGAGCCAATCTGAATCCTGGAGCCAGGTGCTTCCTCTGGGCCTCCCATGGCAGGTGCAGGGTCCCAAGGCTTTAGCCTGTCTGGATTGCTTTCCCAGGCTGCAAGCAAGGAGCTGGGTGGGAAGTGGAGCAGCCAGGATGTGAACCAGTGCCCATATGGGATCCTGGTGATGCAAGGCGAGGACTTTAGCCACTAGTGCTACCACGTTGGACCCTCTTGTATGTGTTTTTTTTTTTTTTTTTCTTACTGATTCTTAAGACTTCTTTTTGCAAGTAAAGACCATTTACTGTCTGATATATTTGGTAGAAGTATTTCCTCAGTTTGTTTTAAAGGGCATAAATAATATGTTGAACATGTTTGAAAGCTGGAATTTAAATCTCAAGTTGTTTATGAATCATTGCTGTCTCTTTTTTTTGTTTTAAAGATTGATGTATCGGAGCCCAGTATGATGGCTCAGTGGCTGAAACCTCACCTTGCCAGCGCTGGGATCCCATATGGGCGCTGGTTCATGTTGTGCCTGCTGCAGCTCCCTGCTTGCGACCTGGGAAAGTAGTGGAGGATGGGCCAAAGCCTTGGGACCCTGCACCTGTGTAGGAAACCCAGAGGAGGTTCCTTTCTTCAGATCAGCACAGCTCTGGTCGTTGTGGCCATTTGGGGAGTTAGCCAACAGGTGGAAAATCTTTTTCCTTCTGTTTTTGCTTCTCTCTGTGAATCTTCCTTTCCAACAAAAATAAATCTTTAAAGGAAAAAAAAAAACAGATTTATTCACTTGGAAAGAATTGGAGGAAGAGGGAGAGAGAAAAAGAGATCTTCCTTCTGCTGGTTTACTCCCCAGATAGCTGTAAGAGCCAGTGCTGTATTGGGCTGAAGCCAGGAGCCTGGAGCTTCATCTGGGTCTCCTTATGTGAATAGCAGGGTCCAAACATTGCTTTTCTCAGGCCATTAGCAGGGAGCTGCAGTGGAAGTTAAGCAACCAAGATACAAATTGGTAGCCATGTGGGATGCTGGCATCGCAGGAGGCAGCCTTAGCAGTCACAGAAAACCACTGCTCTCAAAACTTGATTCTTGATCATTTCTTTGTCAATGTAGCTTTCCCTAGATAAATACCATGGGGCATTTCCTTCCTCACATTCTTCTCTGAATAAAATGAAAGTATATCTTATCAGGGTTTAAAAGTACAGTATTTCAGCCCTTAAAATAGCTTTGAGGTTGTTGCTCTCTGTTTCTCAGCATGTGATTGCATAGACTGACATGGATTGCATATGTGGAAGCTTGTGTGAACGTAAGTTTTATCCTTTCTCTGTCTTTTCTGATTCTTGTGTCACATTAGAAAGCACATTAACTACACAACATAGAGCTGAAGCTTGATATGTAAAGAAGCATCAGGCTCCAGTGAGTTGCCTTATCAAAAGAAAATGAACTTATCACCATGTAAGGTTTTGAGTACTGTCAAATAACTTTGGGTTATTAAAATGTAGAGTTGGAGAACCATTTGTTTACTTTTTTATAGGAGCTCTTGACCCTAGTTCCCCTTACACTATGGTGTCACCAAGTGGCCGAGCAGGGAATTGGCCAGGGTCTCCACAAGTGTCTGGCCCCTCACCAGCAACGCGCATGCCAGGAATGTCACCCGCTAACCCATCCCTACATTCTCCAGTTCCAGATGCTTCTCATTCCCCTCGTGCTGGAACAAGTGAGTGCTGTTAGCATTTTTATGTTGTTTTTAAAATATAACCACTAAATGGTCTATTTTATTCCATCCTATTATTTGAAAAGAATGACCTACTTTTTGAATAGGGATCCTTATTTATTTATTTATTTTTTTATTGGAAAGTCAGATGTACAGAGAGGAAGATCTTCTGTCTGCTGTTTCACGCCCCAAGTGGCCACATGGCCGGAGCTGAGCCGATCCAAAGCCAGGAGCCAGGAGCTTCTTCCAGGTCTCCCATGTGGGTGCAGGGTCTCAAGTCTTTGGACCATCCTCCACTGCTTTCCCAGGCCACAAGCAGGGAGCTGGATGGGAAGTGGGGCCGCTGGTATTAGAACCGGCGCCCATATGGGATACTGGTGTGTGTAAGGCAAGGACCTTAGCCACTAGGCTACTACACTGGGCCCAAGGGATACTTTTTAAATAACTGAAATTTTTATCCTAAGTCAGTTAAGTTGAGAAGTAAGCCACATTTTAAGAAAGGCAAATACCTTTTCCAGAAGTCCTATGAATATCTGCCATGATTGCTGACTTCTGGTCACCATATTGAACCTTGAAGTTACATTCTGGTAGATGACAGAGAACTAACACATAAGAGAAGACCTGTAACTTTTAGTGTCTTAAAACAAACATCTTATGCTCACACTGGCTCAAAATCCTGTGGGTTTGCAGGCTCTCATGCACTTGCTTGTGTGTGGGTTGGGTAGGGGCTGGCTGTTCTAACATGGCCTCAGTTGGCATGTTTTCTTCTCTCTACACTGTGTCATCCTGCCTAATCCTGTACTTGTTCTCATGATGGCTGAGCAGGGTCCTAAGAGTGAGTAGAAAGAAAGCTAGGCTTGCAACTAACCCAGTGTCACTTCCTCCACCTTTTCTTGACCACCAGCAAGTTACAGGGCCAGCCAAGATCCCTGGTGGAAAAACTGTCCCTTCTTTCTGATGGAGCTGCAGCATTGTCACATTGCCAGGGGATTGGATTGTGTGTATGTGTGCGTGTAACTGTGGCACTTCCTGCTACCAAGGAAGTAGTATATGATTATTACATCATCAAAGTCACTGAAGTAGTGCACATTGATTTAGAATATCAAATAGTTATAATGCCAGCACAAGAGTGAGATAGCATGTGTTTGTCAATGAAATGACATGTTTTCCTCTCTAAAAGGTTCCCAAACAATGCCAACGAACATGCCTCCACCTCGGAAACTACCTCAGCGCTCTTGGGCGGCATCCATACCCACCATCCTCACGCACAGTGCCTTGAACATTTTACTGCTGCCCTCTCCAACGCCAGGCCTCGTGCCCGGCCTGGCAGGTAGTTACCTTTGTTCGCCACTTGAGAGATTTCTTGGATCAGTCATCATGAGACGACATCTTCAAAGAATTATTCAACAAGAAACGGTATGGATATCTAGTGGTCTTCCAAGTAGTGATTGTCAAAGGCAGGATGCTAACTTGCCTTGCAGCTCATGTCAGAACTCAAGTGACATCCCATTACTTCTTTTAGTCAGCTGGGTAGAATTGTGCTTGTCACCTGTCCTATCCTTTAAAATGGACTCCACTGTTCTTCCCTATTCAAATGTCAGCAGATTTCTGCACTTTGTAGTTGGTTGTGCTGTGGCTTGCACACATGCTGTGTGGCTAACATGGGTGTGGAGATGGTTCAGCACGGTGCAGAGAATCAATGTATTGGAATAAAATGCTTTATGATCATGATGTTGAAAGCTGCTTGGTAGAAACATTTACAACCAGAGTTATTTTAAGTCTTTATAGAAAAAAGAGTTATGACCCATCCTGTGTATGCCTTAAGCAGATAGCTCATAATCAACAGCACTGGACTTGTCGTTAGGATTACCACATACTAGTGTGTGCTTGGGTAAATTTCTTCTCCTTTCTGATAATAGTCAACCTACCTGTTATGTACCTACCTGATTACAAGTGTTGGATTTTGAGATATTGCTTGTTAAATTCTTACCATAATGCCTTTGTTATTTGTTATTTATTAACAATGTATTTGTTATTAACAATACATGCATTAAAGAGGTTGTTAACATGGTAAATGCTTAAAATATCTACTACATGTTTGCTGCATTGTCATTTTGCAACTTTTGTATTCAGACTAGGAAAAAACCCAAAGATTTTAAGTGGAATAAATAAGTTGAATAAATTTCCATTCATAACAACCCGTGACTTAGCCTCTGTTCTGCCCCCTCAGAGTCTGTGCAAGCTTTCAACTCTTTGAACCTCATTTTGTTCATCTGTGTAGTTAATATATTAGACTAGAACAGGAATCAGTGAACAGTGGCCTCTGGGCCCACATCCTGCCCATCACCTGTTTTCATAAGTGAAGTTTTATTGGGTTATAGCCACACCATTTATTTCCAGATTGTCTATGGCTGCTTCAGCTGTAATGGCATCATTGAGGACTAGTCACTGAGACCATTCAGCCCTTTAAGCCTTTCATTATCCAAGGACCCTTTATGGAAAAACTTTGTCCATCTGTGGGCTAGAACACAGGCCCAATCCAGATGTAATCTTTGTAATGGTGCTCATTATTATTTGTTTCTAACATGCCATTACAGAAAATGTGTCCTATATAAAAGTACTCAGAGAATAGTATAATCAGCTTCTGTGTTCTCATCACCAACAATTGGCTCATATCAGTGTATCTTTAGCTCATCCATCAGATTGTTTCCCAGCATCTTATGAAATTTATTGTGAAACTCGGGTCATTCTCTGGAGTTCTCCATCTGGACTTTACTGATCAGTTCTCTTTGGAACCATTTAACATAATTCATTTGACCCTATGTTTTCTGTCATCTTGATAAGTCATCTGTGTCAAAATACTCAATTCAAGCTCAAAATTTTTGTTGTTTGGCACGAATCCTTCACAGGGACATGCAATGTCTGATTACATCTCTTGGCAGTGCTGCTAGGCAGTGTTGATGCTCTGTGTGTCAGCCTTTGTTTTGGTACTAGTATCAGCTTAGCTGTTTTCTTTGAAACAGTTCTTTCGGTGGCCTGTTCATTTTCTGTTTGTCTTACACGTTAATTGGATGTTGTCTTGTTTTGCAGCTGCAGCTGATAAATTCTAATGAACCTGGAGTGATTATGTTTAAGACTGATGCACTAAAATGTAGAGTAGCCCTTAGTCCCAAAACCAACCAGACCCTTCAGCTAAAAGTGACACCTGAAAATGCAGGCCAGTGGAAACCTGATGAACTTCAGGTTTTGGAAAAGTTCTTTGAAACAAGGGTATGTGTTTGTTAGTAGTAATGTGTGCTTTTAATGCATGTGAAGAAAGAGAAGCATGATGGAGAGTAACTAGATTTACTTACTCTTGTAGGTTGCTGGACCGCCATTTAAAGCCAATACACTAATAGCCTTCACCAAGCTGTTAGGAGCCCCCACACACATCCTCAGGGATTGTGTGCATATTATGAAGCTAGAGCTGGTAAGTTAGCAACTCATACTTTACTTTTCTTTCTTTCTTTTTGTTTTTAAGACTTATTTAATTTACAGAGAGAAGGAGAGAAAAAGATCTTCCATTCACTGGTTCATTCCACTGAACCAGTGAGCTGATCTGAAGCCAGGAGCCCAGAGCCTCTTCTGGGTCTCCCACATGGGTGCAGGGTCCCAAGGCTTTGGGCCAGCCTCTATTGCTTTCCCAGGCCTCAAGCAGGGAACTGGATGGGAAATGAAGCAGCTGTGACATGAACCAGCACCTATATGGGATCCCAGCACACGTAAGGCGAGGCTTTGAGACACTAGGTTACTTTAATGGGCCTGCAACTCAGACTTTTTTTTTTAATCAAAAATATATGTTTTTTTTTTCTTTTTAAAAAAATTTTATTTTTGCAGTGGCTCCTGGAGTGTAGCAGGAGCTGGTGTCACCAAGCTTGAGAGTCCTCCTAACATCTTAAAAAAAAATTATTTTTGACGCTGTTTACATAGTTGATCAGGGTGGGAAGGGTCAAGGATCAGGGGACTTCTTGTATATGGAGAAGAGAGGGATACAAAAAGAGAAATCACAGCCAGCCTCCCAACCGCTACATTAACCAGGGGATGGGGAACTGCCACCCGATGTCATCCAGGGTCCCCATTGTGCAGCATTTTCTGAGGGTTCTGTTCATGTGTTTTCAGTAGTTCTGAGATGCTGCTGACACTGCCACTCCACAGATGAGGAAATCCTTCCAAGGTCAATTGGCTGTCATAGTCCACCTCTTCATTAGCCCAGATATTTGCTGTCAGGTTTCACTGGGGTAGTTGATCAGTTTGTTCTGCCCTCCATCCTTAACAATCCACTGGGTGCTGTGGCCCAGCCCAGCCCTGTCCCTGGGCTCCTCTATCGAATCTCCTCTCAGTGGCAGATCTCGTGCACACTGGTGGGTCCTTGACCCCAGCTTATTCCACTTCCTGTCCTGGCAGGAGTAATGTCCTAGCCCAACTGGCTCATACCCAACCCAGTTCTTACTGTTGTGTGTTACAGCCCAGCCAGTCCTGGTCCATGCCCTGACGCAGCTCTCATGTGGTCCAATGGGAGCCAAAACCTAGCCTAGTCCATCCTGTACCTACTTTGGCTTTCACTAGCACCAGTGGATGCTGGAGTCTAGCCCAGTCTGGCGCACCCCAGAGCCTGTCCACACCCATGCCGAGAGAGACTGCAACCATATCCAGCCCAGACCACCACCCCCGTTCCAACTCTCATGTTTACTAGTGGGAACCACAACCTAGCTTGAGTATCCCCTTAGCTCCCCAACCACGCCTGATCCCAGCTCCAGATCTTGCACATCCCAGTGGTTGCTCTGACTCAGCTCTGTATAGCTTGCTCCCTGTTTTGACCTTTGCCATCAGATGCTTCAGCCTGGCCTGACCTAGCCTGAGCTGGCCCCGCAAGTCCTAACTCTTGCTGATGAGTGCTTATAGCCTGGCCCTGCCCAGTCCACTCCCATCCCTGATTCATGCAAATCAGCAGGTATGATAGCCTAGCCTGGCATGCCCCATATTCTAGCCTGGCTTCTGCACGTGCCAGTAAGCTAAGGTTGGCTTGGCCCTGCCCAGTCTACCCCTTTCCAAAACCACCCCACACACATGTGGACAGGTGGATCTACCCTGCTCGGTCTGACCAACACCCAGGCCTGAATCACATGTTCACTGGTGGGAGCAATGTCCCATCAGAGGAGTTTCCCTAGTTCCCCCCACCAGAGCCACTCCCAGACCCTGATCTCACCCATGCCAGTGGGTGCTAGACCCTTACCAGGTCATAGGCTACCCCATCCGTCCTTCATATATATGAGTGGTGGTTGTTGTGGCTCAGCCCTCCCACACCACATCCTTGGGTGTATCTGTGGGTGCTGCAACCTGGAACAACCCAGCCTGTACCCAACCCCAGTACCTATGAGTGTCCAGGGGTTCCATGGTCATGCCTAGCTCAGCCTGTCACAACCCCCAGCTCCAAGCAAACCAGCTAAAGTTGCAGATCATAGGGGTGGGCCCACATACTCCCACAGAATCTGCCCCCGTACTCAGTTTTCTTGCATGCTGGTTAATGCCATGGCCCAGCCTAACATTACAGTCTCCTGTTTCGACAGTCATTGGTGAGTACTGTGATGTAGCCCTGTCAGGTAGGCCCGCTGCCCTAGCTTTAGTGTGCACTGGTGAGTGGTATTCAGCATTGGTCAGTACTAACTACCCCAGCTTTGCTATGCTGCAAGGGCCGGTGCTTGGGCCTGAAGCTTAAAGGTCCTTATGTTTCCCCCTCAAGACCTCACCTCCACAGGTGCCAATAGCTGGGCAAGGGCCTCAGGTCACCTGGCCCAAGCCCTGCCACCTAGGAGTAGAGATGGGGCTAGCTGGCCCCTTCCGACTCCAAACACCCAGTAGGCTGACTGGCTCAGGTCTTCAAACCCAAGCCCCTTCCTTGGGATTGACTCACCTGGGTTTGGCAACTCATATTTTTCTTGCAAGTTTTATTTGAGGACATTAAAACTGATGGGGCAGTGTTTATTTCATTCATTTATGAGCTTTCATTTTTCTCTTAATTTATCTTTAAATAGGTAACAATTCTCTTGTATCTTTTGGGTTTATTTTTTAAAGATTTATTTGAAAACCAGTTACAGAGAAAAAGAGATCTTTTAAAAAAAGATTTATTTTCTTTATTGAAAAGGCAAATAGAAAGAAGAGACAGAGAAAGAGCTCTTCCGTTCACTGGTTCACTCCCCAAGTGGCCGCAATGACCAGAGCTGAGCTGATCAGGAGCCAGGAGCTTCTTCCAGGTCTCCCACAGGTGGGATCTCATCCAGCGCCCTGCTAATGGCCTGTTTTGAAAGCAGTGGAGAATGGCCCAAGTACTTGTTCTCTGCACCCACATGGAAACCTGGAAGAAGCTCCTGCTTCCTGCCTTTGGATCAGCCAGTTCCAACCATTGTAGCCATTTGGAAAGTGAACCAGTGTATGGAAGATCACTCTCTGTCTCTCCTCTTTCTGTAACTCTGTCTTTTAAAGGAGTAAATCAGTTTTTAAGAACAGAACATTTCCCACCCTCAGTATTTGTTAGTATTCGTGGTGACTATGATTTCCGGGATATTAACCTTGACGTATTGCTTGAAATTGAGGCGCATCTTGCTTTAGTCACTGGACATATTGTGGAAATCTTTTCACATTATACATGAAAAATATCTTATCCAGAAAATGGCTTAGTATTTTATTCTATGGATGCATTAAAATGGCTGAGAATCTACCTTCTTGATGGATATTTCTGATATTTAGTCTTTAGAAACTGTGTAAGTAAAGAACCTTTTTTATGGATGTGCCAGTGTATCTTAGGGTAAATTTCTAGAATTAGTTCCTGTGACAGAGGATATGTATGCTTGTAATTTGAGTAGATATTCTCAGAATGGTTCTTCATAGAGGTTGTGCTGACTTTATTCCCACCAGTGACTTCTGGGCATGCTTGCTTTCACTCAGCAGTGCTTTGTTCAATCTTTAGCTTTTGGGTCTTTCTCTTCTTTATCTGTAGGAACTCTGCATTTTAAAGAAGTTAACTCCTTGGGGTGTGAATTGTAAATATATTTGCTATTTGTGCTTTGCTTTACTTTTGGATATTTTACTATGCAAAATTTCCTTTTTAATAAATAATGATATTTATCAATATTGGTGTCGAAACTTTCCTGGTTTTGTATCATTATCAGAGAGACTGTTCCTAATCCCAGGTTTGGGGGGGAAAAAAAAACCAAAACCTTCCTCTAGTTTCTTTAAATGCTGTTTAGTCATTTTTTTAAAATCGCCTACTCAATTTTTGATCCATTTAAAATTTGTCAGTGTGGAAAGAGATATGGGTGCAGCTTTTCAGGTTTTGGGGGGGATGTTGAATTCTCTCCTGTGACAGTATACAGTTAAACAGGTGGAGTCCCAAGAGCTGTCCTCTCGGTCCCCCCTCCCCAACTTCAAAATAGTCCTTCTATTTTCATGTTTCTGATGTTGAGATTTGAATACTTCAAATATCTCATTCCTTTTTTTTTTTCAGTTGGGGTTTTACTGTTAATGATTGTGACAGCTGTGTTCTTTCACTAGTTGTCTCAACCTTTGTCTTCTTTCAGCATGACTTGTTGAGAAGAAATCCATTTGTGTTTGTCAAGGAATAGATGTTTATGTGGCTGAAAAGCACCCATGGGTATAATTTTAAATCACTACTATAGTCTGAAAAGTTGATTTAGGAAAGGAACTGGAGGCTTGACTGGAAGGTCTCGGTGAACACCAGTTAAGGACCTTGAACGCCAGGTCTTGGTCCTCAGCTGGGCGAGATCAGGCTTGTCCGAAGCGGTATGGCCGTAGACAAGCCAAGCGACAGTGGCTCAAGGATGGACTAGGAAAGGCTGCCACTGCGAGGGACTGTTAAGGGTTGCAGGAAACCCTGCAAGAGAGCGGAGAAGAGACTAGGTTTCAGGGCCACTGCCCAAGCTGCATGCGTAGGCTTGGGAATGAATGAAGTGAGCCAGAAGGAAAGGAAACACAGTATATACAAAGCTTTGTAGTTAGTAACCTCATGTGTATAGTTCTGTGAAAAATTGTGAGTTAGCAATTTTATATTCTACCAATAATTGGGTTTAAAATAGCATTCTCATTTTTTAGACTCCTGAAAATGATTTTAAATTCTGATATGACTTTTATCATGATTTTTTTTTCCCTCAAAACAGTTCCCTGACCAGGCAACACAGCTAAAATGGAACGTCCAGTTTTGTCTAACGATCCCTCCCAGTGCACCCCCTATTGCACCTCCTGGGACGCCTGCTGTGGTGCTGAAATCCAAAATGCTATTTTTTGTAAGTGTTACCCAGTATCTCTGTGTGTGTGTGTGTGTGTGTGTGGCGCATGCGTGCAGAGCTTCTAAGGAAGAAGTGGTTTGTGAGAATAATAGTAACAACTTTTGGATAACAATGTATCTTCTTGCTAGCTGCACACATCCAGGCCCAGATTCCTTGTCAGTTCAGGTTTGTTAAGATCCTGGTTCCTTTACCAATAATTGAAATTTGTTGAACCAGGTAATAATGTGGTGCAGTTGCAACTGAACTGTAATATCCAGTTGTTTTGTCATTTGCCATATTTTCCTTTGCTTACTGTGTCTTAAATCTGAAAGTATAGTAAATCATAGTACCTTTGATACTTTACGACAGTTATTTTCTTACCGTGTTTTTTTTTTTTTATTCTCTTTGTGTGTCTTGTGTGTCTATAGCTTCAGCTAACACAGAAAACATCGGTCCCTCCCCAAGAACCTGTTAGTATCATAGTTCCCATCATTTATGACATGGCTTCAGGTACAACCCAACAGGCAGATATTCCCAGGCAGCAGAACTCTTCTGTTGCTGCTCCCATGATGGTCAGCAACATCCTGAAGAGGTTTGCAGAGATGAATCCACCACGACAAGGTACATGACCGGTAGACGATGTTTTATTGCATATATGTTATGAAAGTTGTTTATAAAAGTGAGAGACACCCCTTCTCTCCTCTTCTCCTTCCTTAACCCACTCCACCCCAAGCCCTAGTGATAGAGCTGTGGTTGCTGTGACCCTCCTAATGTCTGCCTGTCGCTGTCTTCCTCTCTTACTGGTTCTTAATTTTTGTCCATTTCTCTGCTGCCTGAAATTTATTTTTGTTAGTGCTTTACTATTGGGACTGACCCAGTTGCTAATGCCAGAAGCTTGTATTTATAGCACACCTTGCCACAAAGCCGTAGGTTAGGATGATAGAAATTTCCATGGCTGTGAATTCCTGCCGTACCATCAATACCTGCCACTCTGTACATCACAAAGTTGAAATGCATGTTGGTTTCTCATATTTCATGGTTCAATCATGAGTAGAATACTATCATTAAAAGTTCTGTATCTTCTAAATGTTTTGTGAAGAATAAAAACTGATATAAATGGCATCACTGCTTTTTGGGCTTCTTATATAAGTGTCAGGCGGGTGCAAGTGAACCTTTTCACCAAGTGCACAATGAAGCTCTCAAACTGAACATTTGCGAGGAAACAAGAATGTTTCTAAAGAAACAAGGTCCCTTCAGTACCGGAGTAGCCTACGCCTAACACGTAAACTCCTGGCAGTGCTAAATTTGGGATTTCAAAACATCAAGCTCAGCAAAGAGAATTTTTCTTCTGTTTTGCTCATTTCTGATATCAAGGAAATTTCATTTAAAATTTGCCCATTTCTAATATTAAGGAAGTCCTCTTTAGAATAATTTGGAAATAGCATTTTATTTTTCAATGAGGGAAAAGTTGTTCTCTGAAACTTTTTCAAGTACTACAAGTGTCAGAGGTTTACTAGAAATGACAGTTTTAGCTGTTGCAACATATTGTACCTAGACAACTTGTCACTGTTAGTTTGTGAGGAACACACCGGGCAGTAGAGTATGCTTCTTTTGTTGTAACATTTCTTCTACTTCTTACAATTTGCTGCTTTCATCCTTTGACTTCCCTCTTCTTTCAGCTAAAAACTAGTTCCTCAGGAATCACAGTTTAACCCTAGCAGAACTGTCGAAGTAGCCATGCAGTAGGGCTTTGCTAATGGACACCATTCCTTCACTCGCAGATGATCATCGCCGTCTTACAGATGGTTTTGTGTATGATGTCTTGCGGAACTTAAAAGTAATAGAACAATGTTTTGATCCTATTGGGGTTGAGAGTTTTTCTATTTATCAATAATGAACAAATTTTTTTTTTTTAAAGAAGAAACATAAATCACTTCTTATATTGGAGAAACTGGTGAGGTTTGGGGAACGTCGTTTGGTTTCCATCCCTCTCCCCCTCCTTTGAGCTGGGCAAACGTTTAGATTTCCTTTTCTTTCTGTACCTGAATTTTCCAGTGGTTGGAGAGAAGGTTGGCACTTATGTTCACAGGATCACTGCACATTCTACCCTCTGCCAGAAGGCTGGGTGTCACAGGAAGTCTTCAGTCCTCCCGCTTTGAGTACTCTAGGCTTAGACCATGTTCCTAGCAGAAGGGATCTGGCCTTTTGGTTAAAGGTATTTGTAGCGATTACGAGAAATGAGAGAATATTTGGTTCTTTTGAGCAAAGGGGGAATTGATATGATGGATCATCAGGTTCCCTCACCCAACGCAAACTCTCATGATAACTGGTGCACCATTCCCCGCCCCCCCTTTTCCACATGCGTCATGTCCCTCCATCCTCTGTGAAGTGCTTCTTAGAGAAATCACTATTTTTTTTTTATTCAGAGATTTTAATATTGAGCTCTAGATGTTGAACCGTTTTCTTAAAATTCTTTGGAAAAAACCTCCAGTAGTTTGTCATGTATCTGCTGCTAGCCATATATGGTTATTGAACTAAAGTTGAAGAGTTTTGAATTCAACTTGTTGGTCACACTGGTTGCATTTTAAATGTTTGATATACAACAATTCCATCATCACAAGAAGTTCTATTGGACAGTGCTGTCATGGACATTTTTATCTGGCCGTTAATGCAACATTGGAAGTTAACCACCAGCGTTGTAACTAAAGCATAAATATAAACTAGATGTTTTTGTTTGATCCCAAATACTTAGGCAGTCAAAAGCCATAAAAAGCCCAACTTCAAAGGCTTACCCATCACTACAGTATTTCTACAGAAGTCAAGGCATCTTTTGTCATAAATTCAAACCTAAGTGACATTTGCTCAAAATTTTCTTGCAAAGGAAAAACAAAACTGAAACCAAATATAATCTGATTTTTAAAAACCACAGCTTAATCCTCTGTAGTTTAGGCAGCTCAAATTTAGTGTTTTATTTTGACCTTTAAAGTTCTTACTAATCTTAGATTTAATTCCCTCTTCCCCCACCGGTGTGTTAACATCTTTCCTGTATTGCGAATAGCTAATGACCATTTTTCTCTGTTGCAGGTGAATGCACAATATATGCAGCTGTTCGTGATTTAATGGCTAATCTTACACTGCCCCCTGGTGGGCGTCCATAGACACTATTGTTTTTAAACCAGGAAGGCTGACAGATGAGACAAAACAACACATACAAAAATCTGAATTCAGCCTTCTGTTTAAAAAAGAAAAAGGACTTCTTTTTTTTTTTTTAACTTTAAGAGCTAAATATAAACTGGCAAAAATTTTCAGGGTGCACTTCTTCTTTCATCAAAAAGACCATCAAATTTTTTGTATAGTGAACTTGTATAGTATGTTCAAATGGGACACAGTTTCAAACTAGGTATTACGTCAGTGTCCGCTTGCCAGTAATAGATTTAATAATCTGTTTTATACTATAAAGTTATGAAAATGCCAAACTTGTTTATTTAATTGTTTTCTTATGTTTTGGGTGTAATAGTCTTTTTTTTTTTTTTTTTTTTTTTGGTTTTTGTTTTGTTTTGTTTTAAGGCAGGTCTGTCATTTTTGAATACTGTAAAACTGTGATAAACTTTATATTGAAGCTGTATTTTAATATGACCGCTTTGAATCATTACATGAATATGTTTTGGGAGCTGTTATAAACACATCCCAAAAAAGCAATATTTAATAAAACTAGGTTTAAAAAAAAAAGAAAAAGAAAAAAAAAATGACACTCACTTGTGTGTATACAAACTCTATAGCCTCTGAGGGCCTCTGTTCATTTTAACCTGGTTGGGCCAGTAATTCATTTTTATTAATACATGTTATGAAATTTGACCAAAAACATCTTCTTTGTTGTAAGGTTAATTTATTCAAATGTTCCTAATTTGGTTGGTGGTAAACATTTAGTACCTCAATTTTCTTTCAGTATAGGATATGGGTAAAAATACAAAGAACCCAGTCTTTATTAAAATAGAGACAGAAAGTGGTTCATATTGGTCAAGGATCCCAGATAATGCAATCATTCTCATCTGTTGAGGATATGAGAACTTTTTTTGCTGGGCAAATTCAGTTTACAGGATACTTCTGCATGTAGCATTAATTAGGAAACAAAGAACTTTAATGCTCTACCTTTGCATGAAGTGTCTGTGATGTTTCTTTATCTTGCTTAACTTCTTGCCTTCCTCACCCAAGTTGGGGTTGTTCATTGTCAACAAAATAATAGACTGTTTTGCTTGGAAGAAAACAGGTCCAGTTCTTGGAGCTTTAAGAATCAAGATCCAGGGCCGGTCCAGGGTCAAATGGAGTTTCTGGTACCGACACATCTCAGCAAGGTTTCTTTTTGGAGCACTCTGCTGTCTCTCCCAGTCAGTCGGGGACTTGTTAAGCTTCAAAGAACATGATCTGAAGTGAAGGTCTTCTGGTGACTTGATGCTGTTGGAAAAGTTTTTAAAATGATTATACCATGCTAAATTTTATGGTCACTGTAATAATAGTTCTCCATTAAATTTTGGATGCTTTGTCTAATTCCACTTTAAGCTGATTTAATTGAGCTTCTGTGCCTATCCACTACCTGATTCTAGTTTCAAGCATCTCACTACAACTATATCATGTCTGTTCGCTTGGTTCTCCATTCACTTCCGGTCAGAGTTGAGGCCTTCTTTGCCCTTCTTCTATGTCTTATTTCTGCTTTCATCTGCTGCTTCTCACCCAACTCTGCACTATTAGGAGCAGGTGACTAAACTTTTATCCTTCCTTTATGGCTGCCTTTTTCCTCCTCCTGTTTGCAGTTCTCCTTACAACGGTAATCGCATCAGTTTGGCAATCTGAGATGTCTTTATCAAGGATCAGCCCCTTTTTGTGTGGAGCTGGATCCTGTCTTTCATGTAGAATTCTACATGTATATACAAGAAATGTATTTTTATCTGCAGGATAATATTGTTTCAAAATAATTTTATTAATAGAGTTCACTTTTCGGGTATTTTCCCTTTTTAAGTGTGGTTTTGAAATGTTAATTGCAGTTTTGTACACGATGCATTCAGTGGACACCTTTTTTTCTCCTGAGTATAACTCTCCTCGGAATGCATTGTGCAAATGCAAACGAAGATAGGATTCATTGAACAGAATTTGCTTTTGATGCTTATTATGAACCCCTGAATTTGAATTTTATATCATGCTTGGTACTTGGAATTAATATCCCTTATTAAAGCTTGAAACCATTTAGCGTTTGAGTCCTAAGTTTCATCACACCATGTCTTTTGCCTCTTTTGTTTACTCAGGTTCAATAAAAGGGACTGGCTACCCCTAGCGAGTTTTTCCTTGTAGGTGGTTTTGGACTTGACTTTAAGATGTTTTCAATGTGATTTTAGTATTTACAATGATAAATAAAAGTTATACGCGTTTCAGAGAACTACCAACTCTCTAGTTAATTTTGGTGTAGAAGTTCTGGATTGTAGTCTGGTTTAGTATTAGTGTTATCCTTGAAAGGAAACCATGGGCCTGATTCGCCACCTCCTTTTCTTCATCCACCAAAATGCCATTTCAGAACGGCTTTTAGAATTAGAAAAGTGAAAGGCAAAAACTTCAACAAAACGTACCATGTTATTAATAATGGGAGCTGAACTTCACGTTTGATAACTAACTCTGAGTGAGCTGTGTCAGCATCAACTAACGCACACATGATTTTCAATGTAAGTAGCACTAATAACTTCACTGCGTTGCAGTTAACGGTCACCCGTTGCGCCACGGAACACCGAATACTCTTGTGGGCTGTGGTTGATTTGACTTCATGAAGTGTAACTCGGACTTCTCGTCCAATGTTAACATAAAAAGTCATGCCCTTCTTTCATGGTTTTTTTTTCTCCCCACGATGAAATACTATTATATTTTGCTTTTTTTTCTTTGTCACCCAACTGTTCTTGGCATACAACGAGGAAAAATGATAGTGTAGATTTCATTCCTTCTTGTGGAATTGACTTTTTACTCTCTCTTGTGGGATCAGTGTGTCTCGGGGTGATCTGAATGTGCTCAGGATGGATTCCGTGCCACTGTGACATTTACACAGGTGCTTCCCCGCTCTGGGAACACTGTGATCACACAACTTCCTGTCGGGTTGCCTCCGCTTGCAAATGGCCTGTGACTTCTTTCAGGAAAATGACTGATGGAAGGGCACATTTAGTCCACGCAGAGTAACAGCTATTGCTTGCCGAGAGCTTACCAGGTGCTAGGCACTGTCCTAACTGCGGGCATTTGCATGTGTTTTTAGTCCTCACAACCATCCTATGCGGCATCAATATCCTCCTTTTAATAGATGGTAAACAGAGGCCCAGAAAAAGAAAATGATTTGCTTCAATCCGATTAAATTATGATTGCTTAAACTCAAGGCACTAAGGAGCAGCTCGTGTCCAGAGCCAGTCAGCCGAAACACAGAGCCTCTTGGTTGTGAAGCAGGAAGTCGGGGCGAAACCCTGCAATGTGTTGGGTTTAAAAAAATACTTGAGAGAGTTCCTTCCCATCTGCTGGTTTTCGCTAAATGCCTGAAGCGACCAAGGGCCAAAGGCAGGAGGACTGTCGGCCTCTGCCGTGGGTGGCAGGAACCCGGTCACTTGTTCTACCTCCCCCGGGGTCTGCATTGGCAGGAAGCCGGAGTCCAGGGCCAGGGCCCAGCATTGCAGGGGCAGGGGGGCTCCCCACAGGGGACCTGGGAGACTGTAGGCCTCGAGCCCGTTAGACCTGCTGCAGATCCACCAGGTAAGACTTCCTTGAGGCCTTTCTGCCTCCAAACAAGCTTGCCATGTTTTCTGAGCCCAAACAGCTCCTCAAAATAAAGCTGACTGGACCGCTTGTCACTCGGAGTGACAATCCAATTCCTTCTGACCCCTGGCTCCTGCTTTCTGCAGCTTCTTTCAACGCCTTGCGTAAGGAGTGGGAATCCTGTAACTAAGACCCCTGAATACTTTCTGAGCTTTACCCGATGCTTCCGCAGGCTCCAGAACACAGGTGACACTGGCCTGTTTGTTTCTGCTAGGTGGCCCCTTGGCAGAGGTTTTTGAATTTTGTGTTCGCTTACACACCCAAGACACATAACAGCTGAGCGGTATAGGCAGCCAGCAGTTAGATTTCACTAGCACTTCGATTTGCTACAGCTAGTCTGTGGCCTCAGAAACTAGATTTTAGAACTCAGTCACGCAAGGAACATATACACTTCCGCATCTCAATTACACAGTCACGGACTTCAGGAGAGGGGGGTCGAACTTGGGATTCGCTTTTGAGGGACAGGGCTTAAGGGTTTGGGGAAGCGGCTGCCTCATAACACTTGAAATACTCACCGGTTGTCACCTCCGTGGCGCCGGGCAGACGTGACCCGGAAATCAGGACGCCCCGCCCCCGGAGCGTGTGACGCAACGCGCCACGCCGTAGCTACTCGAGAGGGCGGTGTCTGGGCGGAACTGCGCCTGCGCATCAGCCGTTTCCCAGGCTCCCGCGCCTGCGCTCTTGTCCACCACACCTCAGAGCCAAAAGGGGCCATGGTGCTGTCGGAGTTGGCTATCCGCTTGAACTGTACAGAGTACAAGAACTGGGTGAAGGCTGGTCACTGCTTGCTGCTTTTGCGCAGCTGCCTGCAGGGCTTCGTCGGCCAGGAAGTGCTCTCCTTCCATCGCAGCCTGCTCGCCGCAACTCCCAGCCTCGGCCCCCGCGCCACCTGTCGCGGCGGCTCCCGTTGCAGTCCGCGCGCCCGCCAGGTGAGCACCTGGCCCGGGACACTGGGCACCACTCTCCATCCCAACCCCATCCCCGTCCCGTTCCTTCCGCGGGCCGGGATCCAGATGCCACCTCTCCTCACCGCCGCCCCCTGTAGTTTCAGCCTCAGTGTGAGGTGTGCGCAGAGTGGAAACGGGAGATTTTGAAACATCACGTCAACCGGAATGGAGACGTGCACTGGGGAAACTGCCGACCGGGTCTCTGGCCTGTCGACGCCTGGGAGGTGGCAAAGGTAAGCACCTGCTGCTGAGACAGAAGAAGGAGGCAGCGACTCATCTGGCACCCGAGCCCGGTAAACAGATGCTAAGGCAGAGATTGGTTGGTGGGTGGGTGGGTGTGTGTTCTGGGCGCTGTTGCAGTAGGCGCCGCGAAGCTTAATTTTCTGCTACCTGTTTGCTTCCTGAAGGAATTCGAGTTTGCGGCTCCTGCTTAGAAAGCTATAGCTAACACTTCAGCCAGAAATGCTGGGGCAAGAGCCTGAGGTGTGGAGGAGGACATTTGTGCACTGAGTGGCTAGCTGATTTTAGCTATAGGTGTCATGACTCTGACAGAGGAAGGTGAGCGAGGTTACCAATGCAATAGAAAGGATCTGAAAGTGCCTAGGTAGGGAATAAGTCGGGAGCCGGGGATGGGCTATAAAGAGACTTAGTCTTTATGTTAATTTTAAAAAATAATTAAAAACAGACTGTGGCTTCCTCAAAAAAAGTGGGGGTGGGAGCCTCTTATTCCTGTCTCAGATCTTGCCAATGTAACTCACTAGCTCAGCTATAGATTTTTTTTTAAATATTTTCCAGAAGCTGAGAGGGACAATCAAAAATGCTTTCTCCATGTTGCTGGGCTGTTGGGGGCGGCCTGCCTGCTGCTTTGCCTCAAAGCTTGGCACCCAGGGAGTGAAGCTCCCGGCCCGAATCCCAGCTCAGCTGCTCTAACATGCCAGCCTCTGTCTCCTAATCTCAAAAACACTGGGACTGGGCTGCCTCAGTGGTCCCCATTTTTGTGGCTCTCACGGACCAGGAAGGCCTCCACCCTGTTCTCCATGCTCCTTTGTTTACTCCATTGCCACCACGAAGTGGTCAGCTTTCACTTTGACCCAGAAGAGACCGAAACAGGGTTCTGTCTAAAACTGTGCCTGCCCCTCAACTGTCTGGAATTCCCTCCAATGCCCGGCCACCTGCTTAGGTCACTCTTGGCCTCCTCTTGATGCTGCTCCACGTGCAGACCTCCTCGCGCAACCCAGTGTTTCCGCGTTACCTCACCCACCCCATCCGTCAGTTTCTTGACTCCCTGTTCTAGCATTTTCTGGCCCACTCCATTTCAGGCCCTCTCTTGTGTGCTCACACTGTAGACCTTTTTCAGCCCAGGACTTCTCAGTGGCCGATGTCCTGCTCACCTCTGGCATGCTTATTTCACCATTCTCCACCCCCACTCCTTTCCCCTGTACTGCTTGTATCTTTTTGAGGTCTCATGGCTGTCTACAGAACCAGCAGCTTACACACTCCTGCCGCCTTTTCTTTGCTCAGCCGACCTCATCTGCACGGTCCGTCAGTAGAGTCGCTCCCTTGCAGTGACATCAGCCCTGTTTCTCCTTGCTCTGAGCTCGCCAGGCCTCACTCCAGCCCTGGCGACACCATCATCCACCTCTGCCCGGGGAAGGACTCTCCCCCGGGAGAACTGACTGCTTTCACTTTTGTTCTGGAACCCTCCAGGCTCCTGTTCCTGGAGCTGACACTTCCTTGCCTTTCCTTGCCAAGTTGCCATGCCCAGTCCTCCCTCCCCCCTCACTCCTGTTAATGTTGCTCCCGCTTCCTGGAGTTGACAGACACCCTCCAAACACATACTTCCTCCTCTTGTTTGCCAGGTCTGCCATCCTGCCTCTGTGGGCACTGTAGTCTTTCTTCCTGCTACTAAGGAAGAAGGCAGGGAATGGAGAAGGGGGAAGTATTTGGCCTGGCTGTTATGATGCCAGTCAAGGCACTCACATCAACACTCTGGCTCCCAGAGCAGATCATGGGCGAAAGGCAACAATGTTGGCTCCAGCAGTTGGGAATTATACACTGAAGCAACAGATGGGAATTCTGCCTCTCTCAGAGAAATTGCGTGGACAACTTTGTTTACAAAAGAAAACAAAGGACGAAAGATGTCTTTTCATTTTGCCATTGCTGAGCCTTGTGTGTCTCGATCTTTGCCCCTACCATTTGCCCAAGGACTTGTATGTCTTAGTTGTCCCCTCCCATCTTATTCCCTTCATCGTTAGTTAGCTTTATTTTTTTTAAAAGATTTGTTTATTGCAAAGTCAGATATACAGAGAGGAGGAAAGACAGGGAGGAAGATCTTCCGTCCGATGATTCACTCCCCTAGTGGCTGCAACGGCCGGTGCTGTGCCATAAGCAGGGAGCTGGAAGGGAAGTGGAACAGGGATATGAACTGGTGCCCATATGGCATTCTGGTGCCTGACGGGGGAGGATTAGCCAGTTAAGCCATGCTGTTTTGTTTTTAATTTGTTACATTTTCTTTTCATCTCATGAAGAGGCAGAGAGACAAACAGAATTCCATTGTCCACTGATTCACTACACAAATGCCCACAACAACCAGGGCTAAGCCAGGTAGAATTAAGGAGTCCGGAACTCAATTCAGATCTCTCACATGGGTGATGTGGGCCCAAGCATTCGCGCCATCATCTGTTGCCTGCCCAGGTTCACATCAGGAAGCTGCATCAGAAGCAGGACAGGATCCTGATGCTGCAGGCACTCTGATTCTGGGATGCAGGCATCCTCAGTGACAGCCTAACCTCTGCACCAAACACCTGTCTCAGATGCTTCCTTCTCACTTCCACAGACCCTGCAGTCTGTTGCACCCTGCCTTCGGCCCCTGCCACTGTACTGCATCCATGAACTTTGCTTTACCAAACTCACCTTTCTTAGGCAAAGTGCTAGTGAGTGCTCCGTTGGCTGACACGCTCCAGGCTACTGCCTGCTTCCTGGGCCCCTCTTCCTCAGCCTTCCTCAGCGCTTCCCGGCCTCCTTCTCTGGTGGTAGTACCCAGGCCTGGGGAGCTTGGTACACCAGGACTTCAAAAAGTTCATGGGAATGAAATGAAAAGACATGTTAATTTTTGTGCAAAACAATTTGAAGTGATGTGCAGAGTCTAACAAAAAATTTGTGTAATTGCTTCTCGGCCTTTTGGCTAAAATCAAGTGTAAAAAATTTGCGTAAAATTTATACTGTGGGCCCGGCGCGGTGGCGCAAGTGGTTAAAGGTCCTCGCCTTGCACGCCCGGGATCCCATATGGGCGCCGGTTCCAATCCTGGCTGCTCCATTTCCCATCCAGCTCCCTGCTTGTGGCCTGGGAAAGCAGTCGAGGATGGCCCAAGGCTTTGGGACCCTGCACCCGTGTGGGAGACCCGCAAGAGGCTCCTGGCTTTGGATCGGCATAGTATCGGCCCGTTGCGCTCACTTGGGGAGTGAATCATTGGATGGAAGATCTTCCTCTCTGTCTCTCCTCTCTGTATATCTGCCTTTCCAATGAAAAAATAATAAAAATAAATCTTTAAAAAAATAAATAAATAAATAAAATTTATACTGTGGGGCCCAGCACGGTAGCCTAGTGGCTAAGGTCCTCACTTTGCATGCACCGGGATCCCATATGGGTACCAGTTCATGTCCTGGCTGCCCTGCTTCCCATCCAGCTCCCTTCCTTGGCCTGGGAAAGCAGTTGAGGACAGCCCAAGGACTTGGGACCCTACAACCATGCTGGAGACGCAAAAGAGGCTCCAGGCTCCTGGCTTCGAATCAGCTCAACTCCAACCGTCACGGCCACTTGGGGAGTGAATCAGCAGACAGAAGATCTTCCTCTCTGTCTCTCCTCCTCTCTGTATAATCTGGCTTTCCAATAAAAAACAACAAATACATCTTTATACTGTGAAAAAAACTTTGCATGAATTTCAACTGCAATTTTTGGTACCAGCATAAACTTTTATTTTAAGTTTAGTTTCTTTTTTAAAAAAGATTTGTTTATTTTTATTGGAAAGGCAGATTTAGAGAGAGAAGGAGAGACAGAAAAATCTTCCATCTGCTGGTTCACTGCTCAAGTAGTTGCACTGGCAGAAGCTCAGCTGATCCAAAGCCAGGAGCCAGGAGCTTCCTCTGGGTCTCCCACGTGGGTGCAGAGTCCCAAGGCTTTGGTCCATCCTGCACTGCTTTCCCAGGCTGCTGGCAGAGGCTGGAACGGAAGTGGAGCAGCCAGGACAGAAACAGTGCCCACATGGGATCCTGGCATTTGGAGGTGGAGGATTAGCCAGTCGAGCCATCACTCTGGGCCCTAGGTTTTTTGTTTGTTTGTTTGTTTAAGATTTATATATTTGCGCACCAGGTGGTGTGGCCTAACGGCTAAAGTCCTCGCCTTGAACGCGCCAGGATCCTCCTAGATGGGTGCCGGTTCTAATCCCGGCAGTTCCACTTCCCATCCAGCTCCCTGCTTGTGGCCTGGGAAGGGAGTCGAGGACGGCCCAAAACTTTGGGACCCTGCACCCGTGTGGGAGACCCAGAAGAGGTTCCTGGTTCCCGGCTTAGGATTGGCGCAGCACCAGTTGTTGCGCTCACTTGGGGAGTGAATCATCGGATGGAAGATCTTCCTCTCTGCCACTCCTCCTCTGTGTATATCTGACTTTGTAATAAAAACAAATAAATCTTTTTTTTTAAATAAAAAGATTTATATATTTGAAAGGCAGAGTTATATAGAGAGAAAGAAAGACAGAAAAAGATCTTCCATATGCTACTTCAATGCCCAAATGGCTGCAACGGCTAGACCAGGCTGAAGCCAGGAGCCTAAAATGCCATCCGGATCTCCCATGTAGTTGGCAGGGGCCCCAGCACTTGGGTTGTCTTTTTCTGCTTTCCCAGGTAGTTTAGCAGGGAACTGGATCAGCAGTAGAGCCCGGTGTGTTATAGCGCCAGCCCCATTCTTTGAACTTTGTGAAGTCCCTTTCTGGTGAGTCTATACCAGTGCCTCCCAGATTTGACACCCTTCGCCTGCCTGCTGCTGAGGTCTAGGTGCCCAGATCCAACTTTTTTTTTTTTATAATCTTACATAGTTGATTAGGGTACAAAGGGCTAAGGGCTACAGGAAAGTGGGGGGTCAGAGGAGAAACAAAGGGAGAAGCCCCACCCAGCCTCCTCCCATTCTGGGTGGAACACTGCCCAAACTCTTCCTGCCCAAGATGGTAGCAGCAGGGCGGAGCTTAATCCAGTTCCCAAGGTTCCCTCAGGGCCTGGAGAAAGCCTAGGACTGCCTGAGTCCCCAGCATTGGGTCTGGCCCAGCTGGGGGACCCCCCACAGCCGCCACATTGCAGGGAGCTGCTTTTGCCCCAACCCCACGTCCAAACCAGATCCAACTTTCTAACCGTCCCCTTCACCTGGCTGCCTCCCAGGCACTTCATGTTTAGTTCTGAAGTGGGCATTATCCTCTCCGCCTCCCTCCACCCTCAGCCCATTCCCACCACAACTTCCTAGATTTGGTCTTGTTTCATCCTCGCCCTCTAGTTACCCCCTGCAGAATGTTCCTGCCTGGCCCTCACTGCAGCTTCCCTTCTGGCACCCTCTGCTGCCCTGTGCACCTCTGCTAGCCGGGGTGTGCCACCTGCATGTGGCAGTTAGGTCATTGCATTCCCTTACCCCAAACCCTTGGATTCTGCCTAACTCCCTGCTGCTTTCCAAGGCCAGCAAGGGCCAGCATGTCGGGGCCCAGTTTGTCTCCCCTGATTCATCTTCTACCCATGGAAGAGTCCGCAGAGGGCAGGAGCAGGTGACTGTGCCCTTTGCTTGCCCTGGGCATTAGCCAGCTGGAGCCTGGGAGCACGCAGTATGATTTTCAGAAACTGTTTTTGCAGTCAGGAAGTTGCCAGGCTTTGCCTGTTGGCTTTTAATACTGAAAACAGAGAAAATGCCAGGGCTCATCACGGAGATGAAAAACCATGCCTCTTCTGAAAGGCACCTGGGCACCTCCAAACTGGGTATTCTCTGCAACAGCTGATGTAAGCAAAGATCTTTTTCCTTCACTGTCATTGGCCTAGTTTGCTTGTGGTAAGTTAGCTTCTTTATGAACCTCTGAGCATCCAGCAAAAACTTTTTAAAAGTGAAGTTTTTTAAACTTATTTGAAATGGAGAAAGGTTACTGCTGGTTTAACTCCCCACATTCTTAACACCAACCTGGGCTGGGCCAAGACGACAGCAGGAGCCTGGTACACAATTTGGGTTTCCCATGCAAGTGGCAGGGATCCAAGGACGTGGGCCACCATCTGCTGTTGTGCAGGGTGAGCATTAGCAGGAAGCTGGATCAGAAGCAGAGTCGGGATACAAACCCATATGGGGTGCAAGTGGTCAAAGTGATGTTTTAGCTGCTGTGTCAAGCACCTGCCTCCGTAGTAGGTTCAGTCAGAGGATCAGCGCATTCGTGACAGGACCTACACAGGACTTCACAAGTTCATGCGACATGCGCACTGTGAGGAAACACCTGTGCGTGGACATCAAAGCAGTTTTTTGATCTAAAATAAACTTATCTTTTTATTCTATTTTTTTTTCATGAACTTATGAAGTATCCCTGTCCCAACAGAGTGATGCTACTGTGCCTTCTGATCCAGGCTGTGCGCGGAGGCTCAGGTGTATGATTCCCCAGCCCCCACATCATGATATGCTTGGGGCGCATGAGCTCCTCCCAGCAGCATTCAGATGATCCTGCAGAGTAAAGCATACTGTCGGGGGCACTGGAGTTGCTTACCCACCAAAACGTGTGCATGTCAGTGGAGCAAGACTCTTTATTTTGAATTCTCACATCCCAGTTGCTCCTGGCTCTTGGCAGAACAGAACGTAAGTTTGGCAATATTTCAGGACAGGAATATGCCCAAGCCTTTCCTGTCATAGCAGTTTTTAAATTGTGTGCCATAAAATTGAACTGAAAGCAAGACGGTGCTAGAAGAAGGCCCTTCTGGGACATTTGGAATGTCAAGTCCTGAAGCTCTAAAAAGTTGTGGAGCAATGGAATTGTAAGTTTATTTTGGTGCCAATAACAACAACCAAGAAATATTTGGAAATCCCTGTATAATTTTTTGTCATCTGCATTTCTCACTAGCTTTTTAATAGACCCCTTGAAGGTCCTACTCGCCATAGTAATTTCCAATATTGACACTAGTTCGTTATTCTGTGCCAGGCACTGTGCTAGCACATTACTTGTTCAATGGACATGAGGACTTACTGAGGAGTAATCTAAGAAGTAAGTAGCCCAAGATCCTTTGCTGGCAGTTGGCCAAACTTGCATTTGAACCCAGGTCTGTCATGCTGCAAAGCCCAGATTCTTAATACCATCACAACTGAACTTTCTCAACTCATTTAGAAAAGTGTATGAGGTCCCTACATGAACCAACGGAATTTTTAACCCCCAACTCCTCCTTACCCCGGCTCCTGAGTAGGCAGTTGGGGTAGTGGGAGCGGCTTCCAGGGTCCTCCGTGCGGGGGCAGACCGTGGCCACTGTCCCCTCAGGACAGGTATAGGAGTCCGCACCGCACGCTGTCCAGCGAACGGACTTGACTGCACTGACTGCTCTCCGCGACACGGCAGCGGCTTCTGGGGCAGGGAGTGGGCCCAGTTCGGGTCTCTGTCTCCCAGCGACTACCCGAGCTGCTTCTCCAAGTGCCCCCGCAGGGTCGCAGCAACAGTTCTGCTACTCCCCCGGCAAGCAGACCAACCCCCAGGAGTTACACTGGCTTCCACTCCCCAGGGAAAAGTCCTTCCAGGGAAAGTGCCCTCGAGGGAAGATCAGGGGCAGCAGAGATTTCCCATTCCTTGGTGAAGTGAGTTTCGCAAACAAGAAAAGGCGTGGCCTGGAAGCTTGGCTGAGCCTGGAGCGGAGAAGGGAGATTTTGCTGGGCTAAGGCTTGGGCAGAGCAGCGCTGGTGGTGGTGGTGGGGGGTGCTTGCACAGCACGGAGTGCCTCACCTCTGCAGCCTTGTGCTCAGGCTGCCAGCTGCTCAACTTGGGAGCATCAGTCCTGAGCTCCTGGCCTGAGCCCGGCTCAGCTCTGCTGCAGGCATTTGGGGATACAGCAGTCTTAAATCTCAGTATTTCTGTCTCTCCTCCTCCCTGCCTTTCAAAGTGAATGAAGATAAATTTTAAGAAGCAAACAAAACAAAGTGTTCACATTGAAGAATCTAATTGTACTGAAGCTAGTTTTAAATGTTCAGAAATTCAACCCCTGGAATTCCATTAAGGAAAAGGGAAAAGGTACCTTCCGCCCATGCTTTCTGCTTCTATCTGGGGAGGCAGACCAGAGGCCAGTTAGATTGTATCATAGCTCGTGGCAGAGAGCTAACACGCTGGTTCAGTTACTATCCTTTGTTGGGGCTCAGCCATGACCCTTGAATTTCAGTGTGTGGGAGACTTGCAGTCACCATATGGGGAATAAGCCAGAAGACTTCTTCTCTCCAAGGCATAGAGTCTGGGGGAGACTCAGGTGTCTGTGTCCTTGTGCCACAGGCCTTCATGCCCCGAGGACTGACAGGCAAGAAAGGACCCGAGGAATGTGACGCAGTTGCGCTTTTAAGCCTCATCAACTCCTGTGATCACTTTGTGGTTGATCGAAAAAGAGTTACAGAGGTAAGAGCTGTCCGATCGAGCACTGCACCGTGCGTCAGTTGGGTGCCTTCTCTGAGCCCGGCCCTGTGAGGCTGAGCCAGCCATGCAGGCACAGGGCACCGTAGATGCCCTGGCACTATGGCTCGAAGTCGGTATCACCACGCAGGCCAGCGGGGCTCATGTATCACACGCACCTGCCATGCCGTCCAGGATTCCCTCTGGGCAGGGGCAATCAAAAGATTGACCCATCGATTGTCCCTAATTAGAGTTTCAGGACAACTTGTTATCGTGCTGATCCCCACCGCAGCAGGAGCCTCCGCGTTCTCCTACCCGTCCTCCCAAAACCAGCAGCAGAGTCGTTTCCCACATTCCGGGAACCAGCAGTGCGTCATTCTGTGTGTCGTGTGCCGACATTTGACATCTGCCCTTCGGAGTCAGACACTCAGCAGTTAGTTGCAAGAGCAAAGCACAGAAAACTAAAGGAAACATGAGCATCAGATTTCCTCGGGGCAATGTCCGAGTTCTCCAGTAACCAGAGGCTCGTTGAGAAGAGTGTCTAGTGTCCTTGAATTATGCATAATACCTGCAGAAAAGGCACCTGTGTCTGGTCAGCATGACAGCAGCCGGAAAAAAAAAATTGAGGATCCTCGGTGACATTGCACAAATCTGTCACAGCAGTTGACCCCTTGGATATCTTTCAGTCGCAAAATGTGGAACACTGTGTGAATTGCACGTTAGTGTGTCACAAGAGAGCCCCGTTTTTCTTAACATATAAAGAGCTGATTCTCTTCAGTCAGTTTCATCAGAAAACTCCCTTGATCTGACTCGCTGGCTCTACAGTCACTTAAAAAAGATGTTTGCATTATCTGCCTCAGCCAGAAGTAGACCGAGTCCCGTTACTCTTGCTCTCCGGCAGGGTGTTTTAAGTTGAAAGGTTTGACGGAATGTGCGATATCCAGCTGGTGATAAGATTTCAAGAGCTGATGTCGACATGTTTGTGTTTCCTACCCTCATGAACTGATTTTCCAAGAGGCAGAAGGTTAAACATCCCTTCAGGCCACGCTGGCCCTTGCTGGGACCCACGGGTCATGTCAACAGCCTCTGGATCGCTAGCTGCTCGGCTCCGGAGATTAGGAAAGCGGAAAAGGCCAAGCGAACCTTGCTCAGTTTTCGTTGTTCTCTTACCTGGAGTCCTTCGACTAAAATCCTTGGTGTGGTCATTTTTTTTTTGTCCTGCCTGATTTTTTTTTTCCTAGAAAACTTTCCAATTAGTTGCCAAACATCTGAAGCTTTGGCTTCCTTCAATTTCTCCTGTGGAAGCCGAAGATCGCGGTTTGTAGCCTTGTATCTTCTGATTCTTCCTGTAGGTGATTAGGTGTCGTAATGAGATCATGCACTCTTCAGACATGAAAGTATCCTCCACGTGGCTTCAGGACTTTCAGGTGAAGATCCAGAATTTTCTGAGTGAATTCAAGACTATCCCAGAGATTGTGGCGGCAAACTCCAGAATTGAACAGGTAAACGAAAAAAAAAAAATCAGTGGCATAGAGAATGAAGCAAGATAGCAATGACAGCTGTAGTCTCACCTTTGATATTTGAAGCTGAATTTTAAAAAAGTTGTTTATTTTTATTGAAAAGGCAGATCAGATTTACAGAAAGAAGGAAAGACAGAAAGAGAAAGTTCTTTCATTCACTAGTTCGCTTCCCAAGTGGCCGCAGTGCCTGGAGCTGAACTGATCTGAAACCAGGAGTCTGAAGCTTCTTCTGGGTCTCCCATGTGGGTGCAGGGTCCCAAGGCTTTGGGCCATCCTCTACTGCTTTCTCAGGCCACAAGCAGGGAGCTGGATAGGAAGAGGAGCAGCTGGGACGTGAACCAGCACCCATATGGGATCCTGGTGCATGCAAGGTGAGCATTGATTGAGCCATTGAGCCATCATACCAGGCTGCTCAAGCTGAATTTTAGACTGTAAGCAGAGGAGAGTCACGGTTGTAAAATCTGGAATTATGCTGGACTTTGTTGCGGTCACTTGTGTGTTGTTGAGGTAGCTCCAGTCCACAACGTTTAAGCATAAGGTCTTTGAGTAATCCCATGGAGCGTCTTTAAGTTGGCTCATGCGTTTGTGTGATAACCTCACAGCTGTTGCTTTCCGACTGGGCAGTTTACCTCCCCGAGGGAGATCAGCTAGATGGCTGTGAATGTGCCGAGGGAACTTACATGAGCATCAGCCAAGTGAATGAAATTGAAGTGGAGTTGCTAAAGGAGAAACTTCAGGAGCTGTACATGCAAGCGGAAGAACCAGACGTGTCACCTCAAGAGGTAAGCATAAAGCCCTGTGACCTCCGTGTGGGTAAAGGGCTGTGCCAGGCAGGGTTCACACAGGACCAGCCACTCGATTCCAGGACTGCAGGCGTTTGGGGCATGGAGAAATATTAGCTTCAAACAACTATGTTCACACCATCAGCAAGCCTTGGAGGCGTGCCGAGTCAGCGCCACACAGCGGAGTGACCTGCTCCTTTGGGCAGCCATGGGATTCCTGAGAAAAATGCCTGGGGTTTCTCTGCTGACTGGAGAGGACCAGCAGCACAGGTGCTGTGGGGCTAGAACTCACAGAATCAAGGTGGGGACAAATTGGCAAAGGAAGAAGGGCATCCTTGGCAGGGCAAGCAGCCCTTGCAAAGGCGTCAAACACTGGCTTTGAGCCTGGGCAGTGAGCAGGTGAGCTAGCATAGGAGTACGCTCAGCCAGGAGTTCCGCAAAGGCGGTTGAAGCCGTGTTTGAAAAACGTTTCTTGGCCATGGCCAAGGGGTTTGAGCATTATTCCCAAAAAGTGGTAGGGACTCAGCTGACTTTAAAAAAAAAATATTTTTATTATAAAGGCAGATTTACAGAGAGAGAACAAGAGACAGAAAAACCTTCCATCTGCTGTTTCACTCCCCAAATGGCCACAATAACCAGAGCTCAGCTGAGCCAAGGCTAGAAGATTCTTCCAGGTTGCCCGTATAGGTGCAGGGTCCCAAGGCTTTGGGCAAATATCCTCTGCTTTCCCAAGCCATTAGTAGGGAGCTGAATGGGAAGTGGAGCAGCTGGGACTAGAACCAGTGGCCATATGGGATGCCAAGCACTTGCAGGTGGAGAATTAGCCAGTTGAGCCATTGTGCCAACCCCAGCAGATGTTTTTTTTTTTTTTTTTTAAGAGTGAGAAGAAGAGAGTTGGCTTTTGGAAAGTGAACTCAAACTTAGCTGGATGTTGCACAAGCCACGGGGGCACTGGTGAGGGTGGTAGAAAGGGGGCAGAAACTGGAGGTCGTGAGGCAGGGACCCGAGTCTGGCACGTTAGCTTGAGCAGAGCTGCTGGATCTTACTGATTAGGCAGCTGACTTGGGGATGGCATGGAGGTGGGAACAGGTGTTTGGGGGAAAGATGTTAAAGGATCAGGGTGTCTAGCTTATGGTCTGAAGGCTAGTGCTGGTCTCAGATCTGGATAGGAGTTCGGGAGCAAGCTATGGAAGAAACTAATGTTAGCAGAATTGTATTCTAGTAAGGCTGAGAACATTCCAATAGAGGCTGGTGTGGAATTCCAGCTCACAGGAGATGGGACAATCATTTCACCTCCCTGGTCCTTCTGGTCTGAGAAAGGCAGTTGTGGTTAGCATGTGAAACGTAGTGGGGATGTTTATTCACTGCAGAGTGAGTCGTTCGTTCATTAAGTCCTGCTCAGCACTGCTAACATACCTAAATTAGCCATTCTGACATTGATCCAGATGCTTTCTTCAGCTGGCTGAGCTCTTTTTGCAACAGTACCAGGTCCCACTGGTGTCTGTGTGCCCATCCTGGCACATCAAAAATATCTAAAATGATTGATTAGAATTACAGATTTTCCTTTTGACAAAACAGATTTATTCTGTTGAGTTGAAAGAATGAAAGAAAGTGAAAAAGAGGTCTTGCACCCACTGCTTCAATCCCCACATGACAGCAACAACCAGGGCTGGACCAGGCTGTGAAGCCAGGAGCCCAGGATTCCATCTGAGTCTCCCAGGAGAGTGGCAGGGGCACACGCACATGGGTCATCTGCTGCTGCTTTCCTAAGTGTTCTAGCAGGGAGCTGGATCAGAAGTGGAGGAGCTAGGACCGGAAGCAGTACCCATACGGGGATGTGAGAGTTGCAAACAAAGCTTAATAATGGGCTATACCAAGCACCAGTTCCAAATCTTCTCTTTTCTAAACCCGAGGGTTTCCTCTGGCTTTCTTCTCAAATGCTATCAAACCAGCCACATTTTCTTGCTTCCGATGCTTTCAAAAACAGGATAGAGTAAGTGAAGGCAAATGGAGGAGCAGGTGCGTTGCCCCTGAGCCATCAGCAGTTCCGGCTTCTCTCTTGAGGGAGCCACCGTCCTTTCCCTGTCCGTGTGTGACAAAGAGCAGAGGCTGTGAGTAGCGACACACTCAAGCTGGGAGCCCTTGGCCCTTGGGCCCTAGAAGGGCACTTGGCCTTCAGCGTCTGCCCTGCTTGCCCAGGAAGGGGGCCCAGGAGCCCGCACTGGGCTGTGAGGACTGGTGAGGTGGTTTGCCACAGGCTATCCCGCTGCTGCAGACATGGTGTAACTGAGGACTGGCCAGGGCAAATTCGTACCCTCCAGATCTCTGTCGTCCTGTGCCCGGGGCTGCAGAGCCTCCGGGAGTTCTCTTTTTTTAACTCCCATGTCTAGTACATCAAGGCATTTCTCTTAATATGTCAGTTAATGGCAATGGAAGTGGGGATTCATGGACGTGTTCTTTGAAGGAAGTTAAAGATCAGCTGTGCTTATGTGTGGAACTTGACCTCTGACCTGTTCTGAAAGCCCATACCGTATAAAGGTTATCCATGTACTCCAGGGTTGGTCTTCAACAGAGAATTCAATCAGACCACATTGTTTTTTAAAGATTTATTTATTTTTATTGCAAAGTCAGATATTCACAGAGGAGGAGAAACAAAGATCTTCCATCTGATGATTCACTCCCCAAGTGACCGCAACAGCTGGTACTGCGCTGATCTGAAGCCAGGAGACAGGAGCTCTTCTGGGTCTCCCACACGGGTGCAGGGTCCCAAGGCTCCACTGCTTTCCCAGGCTACAACCAGGGAGCTGGATGGGAAGCGGGGCCGCTGAGATTAGAACCGACGCCCATATGGGATCCCAGCGCATTCAAGGCGAGGACTTTAGCCGCTAGGCCACAGCACCGGGCCCCAATCAGACCACATTTTATTGATCCTAAAATGCCAGCAGTTGTCAGACAACATATGTCAGTTACTTTTTTTTTTTTTAAAGATTTATTTTTATTATTTTTTATTGGAAAGGCGGATATACAGAGAGGAGAGACAGAGAGGAAGATCTTCCGTCCGATGATTCACTCCCCAAGTGAGCCGCAACGGGCCGATACTATGCCGATCCGAAGCCAGGAGCCTCTTCTGGGTCTCCCACGCGGGTGCAGGGTCCCAAAGCTTTGGGCCGTCCTCAACTGCTTTTCCAGGCCACAGGCAGGGAGCTGGAAGGGAAGCGGGGCTGCCGGGATAGAACCGGCGCCCATATGGGATCCCGGGCGTGCAAGGCGAGGACTTAACCACTTGCGCCACCGCGCCGGGCCCAGTTACTTTTTTTTTTATGTCACTTACTTCTAAGAAAGAAAAGTCAAAGACTGATGGTGTGCTAGTACGGCTACCACCTGCAACACTGGTTTCCTATATTGGTATTGATTGGAGTGCTGGCCGCTCGGCTTCTAATCCAGTTCCTTGGTAGGTTCCTGGGAAAATATTGGAAGACAGTCCAAGTGCTTGGACCCCTGTTTCCCATGTGGGAAGCTCACGGGCAGCTCCTGGCTTCCACCTGGCTCAGCGCCTGCCATTGTGGCCATTTGGGGAGTGAACTGGCAGATAGAAGATCTCTTCCCTCTCTCTGTTTTTCAAATAAATAAATTGTAAACAACAGCAATGCTGCCAGTTTGTAGTAAGGCACTGTCAGTGTTAAGGTGCCTTCTTACTAGGGATGTTAGAATGTAAGAACACATCTATCTAGGAACCAACAATTACAGTGAATGGATCACGGCCATGGGATTTTTTGGGGGGAGGGGGTGAGTGTTGAATCAGAGCTGTTTCTGGTTATTGTTTGAAGTGGTTGGCGGGGAGCAAGGTCGGAAAGGTAAGCAGAGAAACATGGCTGGAAATTTAGCATGACAGTTTTGGGGAGCTTGGCATTTGCGCTCTTTTCTGCTAGTGTGACAATCTTAAAGTTTTGTTACGCTATAGAAGGGGCTCCATGAAAGCCGACCACATGCAAGTGGCTATGACCGCAAGGCATTTTTCACCTCACTGCCAGAGGGGAGCAGTGGCTGCTCATGGCATTGTGTCCCTGGTAACCCGAGTGTCTCAGAATTCAGGTGCCTCCCAGGTGTCCCTCACATAATCTTCATGCCCCTCAGTGCTCTGTTGGAGCCTGGGAGTTTATAACTCCACCAAAGAAGACTGAGCGCAGTACAGGGCCGAAACAAGATTGTTACTGATTTCTCTTTCCTTCCTTCTTTCCTTCTTTCCTTCTTTCCTTCCTTCCTTTTATTTTTATTGGAATGGCAGATTTACAGAGAGAGGGAGAGACAAAGATCTTCTGTCCTCTCATTCACTCCCCAAATGGCCACAATGGCCAGAGCTCAGCCAATCCGAAACCAGGAGCCAGGAGCTTCCTTTGGGTCTCTCATGCGGGTGCAGGGTCCCGAGGCTTTGGACCTTCCTCCACTATTTTTCCAGGCCACAAGCATGGAACTGGATGAGGAGTGGAGCAGCTGGGACACGAACCAGTGCCCCTATGAGATTCTGGCACTTGAAGGAGGGAGGATTAGCCAATCAAGGCATTGTCCTAGGTCCTGTTACTGATTTCTTTCTTTTTAAAAATATTTATTTATTTTCATTGGAAAGGTGGATTTTCATAGATGACAGAGAGAAAGATCCTCCGCTTGCTGGTTCAGTCCCCAGTGGGTACAGCAGCCAGAGCTGAGCTGTTCTGAAGTCAGGAACCAGGAGCCTCCTCTGGGTCTCCCATGTGGGTGCACAGTTCCAAGGTCCGGGGCCATCCTCAACTGCATTCCCAGGCCACAAGCAGCAAGCTGGATGAGAAGTGGAGTGACCAGGACATGAACTGGTACCTATATAGTATCTCGGCATATGCAAAGTGAGGACCTAACCACTGGGTAACAGCACTGGGCTTGTTACTGATTTCTTAAACCCTGTCTAGGGAGCCATTTCACAGAGCTTGGGGATGCTCAGGGAGAAGCTAGTGACAGAATGTACTCGGGGCCATCAGGGAAAAGATGGGAAATGGCAGTATATTTCTTATGTTCCAGAAATATCTGTTCAAGACCTACCATGTGCCAGGCACTGTTCTAGAAGCTGGGTATGCATTGTTGAACAGAACTGACAGGGATCTCTGTGGAGGGAGACAGGCAATGAATAGTTAAGCCTAGTAAGTAAATGGTGTGGACAGAACCAGGAGAAGGAAAACACACAGAGTAGGGGACTTGGAGTTGGCCAAATGGGATGTAGATGTCAGGTCACAAGATGGTGCTATCATGAAGAGGGGGAAATTAGCAAGACCTTGAACAAGGCAAGGACTGGCCATGTGTGCATATCTGCAGGGGGGAAGCGCCTGGTGAGCATCGTGGCTGGGGTGGGAAGGAGGAACAAAACAGGGGGCTGAAAGTCAGAGGTGTGTGGGAGGCGGCAGATGACACTGGGCTTGTGGGCCATTGGGAGGATGCAGGCACTTCCTCCAGAATGGGGAGCCTGGTGGAGTTGCAAGCATGGGAGGCCCAAAGGAGCTGCAGGTGGCGTGGAGGGTGCCCGTGGCTGGTCAGGGCAGCAGAGTGAGGGAGAGGGCGGGCAGGACGCTCCTGTGGTCCTCCAGGTGAGATGATGGTGACTTTGCCCCGGCTGCAGGAGTAGAGGTGGTGAGGAGGCAGGTGGACGTAGCATGTGAAAGGAGAAGGGGGTCAAAGTCAAGGCGAGGAGTTTGGGCTTAAGTAACTGGTAGAACACGCATACAACAATAGACTGGCACATAGTAGTTACTGAATAAATTAAGCATTTGTTAAATGGATGCAGGAAGGAAAGAAGGTACCGGGTGCAATGGTTGTTTCTACTCCTCATGGATGGTGTTGGTATCATCATCCTTGATTCACAGTTGTAACCTCAGGCAGGTCAGATCATCTTGCCCAAAGTCACACAGCTGGCTCGATGACAAGGGCAGGCTGCAATGTCTAAGCCTGCATGCTTGCATGCTGTGATTTTCCTGGGTGCATTTTCCAATGTTCCATCTCCACCACCTCCTCTCCCTCCACATGAAACTGTGCATACGCCTTCCCTGTTGTGGATAATTTAAGCCTCCTTTTGACTCTGCCTCCCCTGTAAGCTAAGATCATCTCCCGAACCAGGAGCACCTCTTAAGCACATTTCAAGAGCAAATGCATTTATTGCTTCCCACAAAGGAGAAGCCTCAAGTTCCAGGCAACGTCAATTATGAGGCACTCCTGTTGGAGCCGGTGAGAGGGAGAGGCACACATAATTCAGAAGGGAAGTGAAAGCCAGGGCAGGCAGCACGTGGAGAGCAGGGGTTTCTACAGAAAACGTTGAGTGAAGGAGAAAACACTGAAAGCATGAGGCCCTGTGGGGAGGGTCCGAATGGCCTTAGCTGGGCTCCACTTCCATGCCCTCCCCGACAGCCATCACTCAGCATCCGGCAGGTGCATTCACTTATGTCACAGTCACTTGCTGAGGACCGCCTCTCCTCTAATGCTGTGGCCAATTGTGAACACTGCTGCTGCTGTGTCACAGCTGCTCTGCTAGTGTCGCAAACACCTCACGTCATTGCATTCAGGCGATCGTGACTTCGCGTGGAGTTGCAGCTTCCCCAAACGCAGTGCAGAGCGTTCTGGGATAAGCACAATGAAAACGTGCCCCTAGTCCCGTTTTGTGAGTACTTCAGGTAGCCTACACATTGATGAACATGTTGCTGGTAGGAGTTGAAATTGATTAGCACCTCTGCAGATGGTAGTTGTGGCAACATCTGTTAGGATTAAAACAAGATGCATGCTGTGGTACAGCTATTTAAGCCACCACTTGGGATTGCCTGGGTTGCGTATTGCAGTGCCTGCTTTGAGTCCCAGATGCTCTGCTTCTAATCCAATCTGTTCTAGCTTTCTGCTGCTGTACCTAGGAAGGTGAGACAGGATGGCCCATGTGTGTGGGCCCCTGCCATGCACATGTGAGCTTCTGACGGAGCCCCAGGCTGCTGCCCTCAGGCAGGGGCAGCCCTCGTTGCTACGTCCATGTGAGGCGTGACCCACTAGATGAAAGATCACTCCATGTTATTCTACCTTGCAGATGAATACATTTTACAACAAACTTTTGAGAAAACCTGAGCCAAATGAAAAATGCATTTCACTTCAAAGCAGGGGCCCGCAAATCAGCTTCTTGCTAAGGCAAACTGACATCCCCCAGGTTAGTTAGTGCGACATGATTTACCTAGACACAAGTACCGAACTGTGGGAAAATATGAAGCATCCCAAACTGCGATGGCGATCAGCCGTGAGCAGACGCTAATGAGATTGCTCTGTCGTGTCATACAGGAGAGATGAGTTCCGAAGCCTCGTGTCATGTCATGTTCTTTGTGTTTTTAAGGATGCGTATCTGCACACATGCTGACGTGAACACATAGAACATACAGTTCTCAAAGAGTCATGAAGGGTCACCTGCAGGGGGAGGAACTTTTGACTAGGGACAGGCTTTGGAAGAGAACTGACTTTTTGCCTTGTTCCCTTTCCCTGATTTTGAATTTGCTGTTGAATACACAGGGTTACCAGTTAGTTACCTAAACAAGATGTGTATGTACGTATGTTTGATGGCAAAGTACAGGTCCTAACCTTAAAATGAAAGGTTTTCATCTTACTTCTGCGTCTGTACCAGTGAAGTCTTCGCACACTAATGCAAGTCATTTTCAGCAATGACATTGGGGAGCACAAGCAAACACCTAGGTCAGGTTTTTGAAGGGAGGGGGTGCTTTGTTGTACAGTTGCTTGCATCTGTTTGAAACCTTGCGTGTAGCCACGATTTCCATCTCCTGGTGGGTGCTTGTCCAGGAGCCAGGCTTGAAGCTCGGGAAGTTGTCATTTGAACCACCAGGGTCTGCCGGAGTGTCAACTCAAACGGCCACTGCTTGCTTTCCTCTGGCAGATCTCGGATCGACTGGCAGCGATGAAGGAATTTCTGAGAAACAATGAGGATCTTAGAAACGGTCTCCTGGAAGACATGCAGAAGCTAGACAGCCTCCACCTACAGCACCAGAAACCAGAGGCAGAGGAGCCTGGGGAGGAACCGCCTGCAAGTGCAACCGAAGGTGCGTGGCCTGAGGATGCAGTCCCGAGCCCCTGCCCTTTGACTGCGTTCTTTCCTGTGAGGCCTGACCTGAAGCGGCCCCACCTCCTTCTTTCAGGGAGAGAGGTTGTGAAGGCTTTGGGCTTGTTTTCTTAATTCCCACAGCCATGCAAATCAATTCACCAGCAACTCCCTGGCAGCTCTGGTTAACCAGCTATGCCCAGAGTCCCTGGCCGAGGCTTAATCGCCCTGATCCCATAGCCAACGCTCCCTCGGGCACTGGAACAGTACCAGGGATGGCCACCAGCTCTAACCGGGGCTCAGTTCCCACAGGAAAGCTTGTTAAAGTGCCTGTCTCCATAGACAACCCCTCTTCCCCAGAAAGAAAACGTCCTCTTTCATTTCAGGTTGCCCTCCAGCAAAAATCAGGCGAGTTCCGTGAGAATCAGCGTGGCTTCTATCTCGGAGTCCGGTACCTGAACACAAAGGAACTCCTGGGATTTTTCTTCCCCCTGGACTTTCCTTTGATTCTTTGGGAAAAAGGTTTTTTTTTTTCCCCCCCACTATGTATATCCAGAAACTTGGGGTTATATAATCTATACCACTCAAACATAAGACATACTCTTGTGCCAATACTTGTTACCATTCAGGGATCTTGGGCTACTTAAAAGCTGCCATTCTTTTCTGGTCCCAAACTCCAGCTGCTTAAGCTAGTATAGGCTAAATTTGGTCAGGCCTGCACCATCCCCAGCAGACATAGCCTGCCCCCACTGCTGCCCGAAGTCTTCCTCATGGCGGATGCCTGCAGGTATGCTGCGCTAGCCATGAAAAAAATCCTCCCTCGCTTTGTGCAGGATGGTAAGAAGGAAAATAGGCTGAGGGGTCATTTTCAAACTCTTTCCATTTAATGTGGAACTGTTAGTACTAGGTTGGAGTAGCCTGAGGCAACAGGACTTGAGAGGCGGGGGTGGGGAGATGGGGGGGGATAGCGTGGGCCATTACATCAGGACTGGAGAACAGTTAACTTGCCTGGCCAGTAAGGGGAGGGCCGAGTGGCATGTTAGGGGCACAGTTCCGCACCTGGCAGCTTGTGGATGAGGTGCTTATACCAAGTGAGCTATGGCCGTCACTGCGCTTATGTGTGGAGCACAGGGCCTGGGGCTCACACATACCCAGAAAGGCCGGACACCTGCTGGCTCAGGGTGTGCCTAGGCAAGACTGTGAATTGTACTCCTGAACCTGGGGCCTCATTAGGAAACATAAGAATCCATTTTCATAATTCTTATGGAGCTACAAGAGATCTTTTATTTCTTTTTTTTTTTAAGATATATTTTATTTTTTATTGAAAAGTCAGATATACAGAGAGGAGGAGAGACAGAGGAAGATCTTCTGTCCGATGGCTCACTCCCCAAGTGGCTGCAACAGCTGGAACTGAGCCAGTCCAAAACCAGGAGCTTCTTTCAGGTTTCTCACACAGGCACAGGGTCCCAAGGCTTTGGGCCGACCTTGACTGCTTTCCCAGGCCACAAGCAGGGAGCTGGATGGGAAGCGGGGCAGCCGGGATTAGAACCAGTGTCCATATGGGATCCCAGCTTGTGCAAGGCGAGGGCTTTAGCTGCTAGGCTACTGCACTGGGCCCCCTCCTTTTCTTTCAATGAAGGTATTCACACTTCCTCTGTCCCTTTTATCTCCCTCCCCAACAGAAAGCCCATGCACTCCTGACTTTTTCCTGTTTGTCGCCTGAACTGTGCAACCACTGTGGTGGTCTGTGAGGTTGACCTTACTTGTCCCTTCCCCTGCAGCCACTTATTTCCAAGGCCAGACTCACTGCCCCCTGCAACCTCTGGACCTTTAGGGACCAAAATCCCATGTTTCCCATCCCCTGGAGGAAGTGCTCCCTCCCATGCCCAGGAGTCAGGTGGGTGTGCTCCTTTGCCCACTCAGCTGCCCACTAATGACAGAATGTCTGCCTGGCATGGGGATGGCCGTCTATAGCTGTACACTGAAATGCACAAAGGTGGACAGATTCTGGTACACAAGTTGAGATGCCGCTTGGGACAACTGCATCCCGTGCCAGAGCACCTGTGCTTGGGTCCTAGTGCTACTCTGTCCCTGCCACCCATGTGAGAGAGCTGGATTGAGCTCCAGGCTCCTGGCATTGGCCTGGCTCAGCCCTAAGCCATTGCAGGCACCTGGGGAGTGAACAAAGGTCTCTCTTTGTTTCTCTGTCTCTTTCTCTCTACCTTTCAAATAAATAAAAAAAAATTTAAAAAGATAACTTTTGCTGTAACTGAAAAATCCAGAGGAATGCAAATGTGATGGAAATATCCTGTTATCATTTAGTCTTTAGTCATATGTTTTCTTTCTTTCTTTTTTTTTCTTTTAAGGTTTGTTTGTTTCCTTGAAAGGCAGGGTTGCAGAGAGAGAGTGAGGCAGAGAGAGAGAGATTTTCCATCCACTGGCTCACTCCCCAGAGAGCGACAATGGCTGGAGCTGGGCCAGTCCAAAGCCAGGAGGCAGGAGGCAAGAGCTTCTTCCAGGTCTCCCACATGAATGTAGGGGCCCAAGCACGTGGACCATCTTTCGCTGCTTTCCCAGCCTGTTAGCAGGGCACCGGATTAGAGATGGAGCATCCAGAACTAGAACCCAGTGCCCATACATGATGCCGGCATCATAGGTGCCGGCTATGCCACAGCACCGGCTCCTAGTCTTATATTTTCTTATTCTCTTCCTTTCATAGAGGACTTAATGAAATATTTTTTAGCTTCTAGTTATGAGATACAAGACTTGGGGTCAAATGGAATCTTGAACTAATTTAAGACCTGATTTTTAACTTTGGGTTATGAACTCTTTGATGTTATACCTCTATCTAGTTAGTTTTTCCTTATCCATCCGACACGCATTTGTCACAGGGCAACCGTGTGCCCAACACTCCGTGCACGGGCTTGTAAGGCATGCATGATGCGTGCGGAGGATCATCTTAGGGACTTTGCTCTGATCATTAAAGGCAGTCTTTCAGAAAACTGTACTGGCTATAGTAATTACACTGGGACAGAGAAATGAAGACATGCCCAAGAAGGCTTTAAGAACATGCGTAGCACACCCAGAAACATTGGCCTGGGAATATCTCTCGGCCAGATCTGTGGGCACAGTTACAGGGCTGGGCACAAAAGGAGGTGCGCGGTGGCATCGGTAACCAGCCGTCAGCAGAGAGCTGGGTAAGGGGTAGCACATCCGTCCCCCAGGCTCTTAGGCACCTGTTAAAGAGGAAGGGAGTGATGCTGCAGCAGTGTGGAGTCATCTCCAAGGCCCGTCGGGTAGGAGAGCAATGCTTTATCATGCATGTGTGCCCTACTGCTACTTGTGTTTGCTGCTAGCTGTAGTCTGCAGCGTGCTGTGTTTTTCCCAAGCTTGTCGTGTCACCTGTAACAGGAACTGAGGGTGAAAGGGCCAGCAACAAGGAATTTGTCTTTTCCGTTTTGTCTCCTCCCATGTTGAGTTGTTTACAAATACATGCTCAGTCCTGCTGAAATTTTTTGCATGAAAATTTTTCATTTGAAATAATAAAAAGATATCAATGATATAAATTCAAACTGCAAGGTATGTGTGTCCCATTTCTTGTAAAATGCTAGCCTCTGTTTCGTAGCTACACCTCCAGGGAGGCCTGCGAATGGTACACGTCAGGGGAAGAGCCTGGTAGGTGAACTCCTTTGCACAGGGGCCTCCCTGTGTGTCATAATGGAGTGCCTTGTCTTCCTCCAGCAAATGTGACTTGTTGATCTTGACCTCTGCCCAGGATGCAGTCTGTGGCTCAGAATTCTGAAGGAATTAAAGGAGAAAAATGGTCTTAGCCTTCGGGTTGCAAAGATAAGACAGTACTATGGATTTGGCCTGTTCTTTACCAGGCGGCTCTGAGAATCTGGTGGGGGGGGGGGGGAGTTGTCACATATTATAAACTCAACACAAAGGACCCGCATGGTGGGAAGTGCATAGTGTCGGGGCAGGGGCGGCTACCACCTCTGGAATGCTAGTTCCGCAAATTCAGAAAGTACTGTAGACAGTTTAAATTAAATTACCAAAGTCAGAAAGGATTCTGTTGGAGAGTTTGGGGAGATTATGAAATGATCAGTACCCTAATGATTTGAAAGGTTCATTTTTATTAAAGCATTAATTACATGGCTTGAAACATTAATATCCTAGGCAAGAAAGAGTTAGCTCTCCTACCTGAGTGAGCGCATTATGAATTAGATGGGCTAAGTGCAGCTTCGCATTAGAGTGGGGAACTTGCAATCTTTTGAATATTTTCTATAAACGTTTTGACTTTTAAAGTGCAAATGTAGAAATGAGAGGAAATTATCGGGAGAGATTACCTCCTTTCTCCTTAGGAGGTTAATTAGAAATCCACCTGCTCCAAAATGTCTTCAACAGACAGTGGCCACTTATTAAAATACACTCAAATTAAAAAATACATCTGGCAAGATAAGCCTAAAATATATTAATTTCTACTCATGTAATAGTAAAGTAAAAAAAAGTCCTTGAATGTTTTAATAAAAATCTTAATATGATTCATTTCATAACTTTAAAAACTGGTTTTTATTACTACAGTGTAATCTGAATTATCTGAAATATTAGAACTATTGTGTTCTTTCAGAAACTTCACAGACCCATGCTCTATGAAATATGAAGGGTGCTTCAAAAAGTGCATGAAGTGAAATGATAAGATGTTTATTATTGATGCAGAAACGTTTTTGAAATCCGTGCATATGAGGGATCTTCAAAAAGCTCATGAAAAACATGAAGAAACTGCATGGATTTCACCTTTATTTTTTTTTTTGTACTAGAAACATTTAACTCCATTTTTCCATGAACTTTTTGAGACCCTGGTGTGCACATTGACAGTGGCCACTCAACTGTAAACTGGGTGTTTGGTGACATCTGTTGGGGAAGGTAGGCAATGACCTTAATGCTTTATTTCTACTGAATATGAGAAAAACGTTAAGAATTCTTGTATCAGAACCATGTGTGGTATCCAGTCTCCAAGATGGCCCCTCATGGTCCCTGCTTCCTGGTATCCCCCTCCCCTGGCTTGTCTTCCCATAATGTACCAGAGTCAGTCTGGGGGAAAATAGCGGAAATGATGATGATGGCACTGCCCACATGAGCTAGGAAAGAGCAGGGCTCTTGTGAGTGTCTGGCACAGTGATTCGGAAGCTGCTGGGCATGCCTGCAGCCATATCTGAGTGCCTGGGTCTAACATCTCAACTCTGCTTCTAATCCAGCTTTCTGAGAATGCAAGATGTGACCTGTTCCTGCTTCAGCCTGGGCCAGCCCTGACCTGGCAGGTTGGGGGGCATTTGGGAAGTGAACCAGAAAATGGAAAATCAGTCCCTTTGTTCTTTCAAAATAAAAGAAGAAATAACCAAGCGGGACTTCCATCTTGGCACGCTGCTCTGGGGCAAACCATGTCATGTCATAAGCAGTGTTAGGAAGCAAGCCTACATGATCGTCACTGGAGCCTTCTGCATACAACTGGATTACGTGCACTTGAAGTGGTCTTTGAGCCCCAGTCAAGTCTAAGCTTGCAGTCAAGTCCATCTGACAACTGAGAGTCTGTGAGCCCAGAGGCACCCAGCTAAGTCACTCCAAGATTCCTGAGCCTCAAAAATCGTCTAATATTTATTGTTTTAAGCTAAGTTTTGGGGGATGATTTGTTGTGTAGCAAAAGATAACACGCTCTAGTTTCCTGTAAATTGCCCTGCTGCCCTGTTTACACTGTGGGGCATAGCCTGCCCAGAAATACGAGTTGTGCCGAGAGGCCACCAAAGGTCAAGAAGGGTCTTCTGGCTAATGTTGTGCCTGCCTTGCCCCAGGTGATCTCTTCTGGCCCCTTTTCATAATTGCTTTCAATTTGTTTGCATCTGAAGTCCTTAAAGATTTTTTTTTTATTTGCAAAGCTTCAGAGATAGAAGGAAAGACAGAAGACAGATCTGCTGGTTCACTCCACAAATGGCTGTAACAGCCAGAGCTGGATCAGTGTGCAGCCAGGAGCCAGGGACTTCTTCTAGGTCTCCCATGCGGGTTCAGGGTCCCAAGGCTTTGGGCCGTCCTCCACTGCTTTCCCAGGCCATAAGCAAGGATCTGGATGGGAAGTGGAGCAGCTGGGACTGGAACCAGCACTTAATATGGGACGCTGGCACTGCAATGGGAGGGTTAGCCCCACATTTGAAATTGTTAATGAAAGCATGTGTGTAAGCACTTATAAATACATCAGAAGTCCTGTTCCCCAACCACCTGCAGCTTCCTGTATCCTTCACAGTCAAGGGCAAGAGGAATGCTGGAGGGCAGCCTCTGCTACAGAGGCAATGGCTTCCCACGCAGTTGAGCGCTTTTTTTTCTTCCCTCTTGCGTCCTGATTTTAGAAACAGTAGCAGCCAGTGGATTCCTGGGGAATTACCCCAGGCACCTGCTTCTGACCTCTGACCCTCATTGGCTACCCCTAGCTAGCATTCAGTACAGGGAAATATCTTTATTTGCCCTGGACACCTAAATCGGGGGAATTGTTGCCAAGAGAGATTAAACGGAAAAGTGATGATTTAGTGGGTAATGTGATGTACTTTTCATTTACAACCAAGTCTTCCACCCCCCACCCCCCATGTGAAGTAATCCTCAGGTTTGCCAAGCTTCTCAGAGGAATCCTGGGTAATCCCCCCTCAGCCTCAAAAAAAAAAAAAAAAACAAAAGAACAAAAACCCTTTTATTTTCAGTTTATGAAATCAACAACACTCGACAGTTCAAAGCTATTTTATTGATCACAATCCAGGTTTTTAAAAATCATTTTTGCATTGTTTGAGAGTCAAAAACCAAAATAAGTCCTCATTGGTCTTTATTCAGGAACGAATAGTCCAGTGCTTGTAAACTGCAAAGATTTTGTTCAGGTCCTCGAGACCCTTTCGGGGACCCGGAAGTGGAGTTTGCGATCCCCTTAGTTGGAGGTTGTGAACCCAGGGTCGCAGTCCTCCATCGCAATAGCAGAAGTGGGAGCCCCGGTGGCGGCGGCAGCCGTAGTGGCGACGGCAAGAGGAGCAACAGTGGCCTGGGCAGCGGTAGATGCTTTGCCGCCGCCATAGTGGTAGGCCAGGTAGCGGCTGGCCTGAATGCTCTGCAATGTCGCGTTGGCGCTGTGACATGCCAGGAGCAGCAGGTTTCGTGGCTGGACCCGGTAGGCGAAGCGCATGAAAATCAGGGAGTAGAAGATGAGCGCGGTCGTCATGCGGCCGCTGATGATTTCCGGCGACTCCTTCATGTCTTTGTAGGCAGCCAGCGGAAGGCCCCAGTTGGCCACTGGACCCCAGAAGTGGGTGCTGGTAATGTAGTTGCGGAATTCCTTAGTCTTTACATAGTCTCTTGACCTCTGCCACAGGGACACCAGCCCCGCCATAGCTGCTGGGCTCGCCAACGGCCCGACAGCGGTGGCACCCCCAGTGACGCAGAGCTGCTCGCGCCCTCGGGTCATTGTGGCGAAGGGCCTGGAATGCCACGTGCCTCCAGCCTAAGTGCTTCCGGCTTTGCGGCGTACAGCCTTGGCTTGCTGGCCCTTGCGAGCTGCCGTAAGGTGCAGCGGCTAGCACGTGCCGGCGCGCGCACGCCTTGCGTACGGTCGCCTGGCGGTCCTTTCCTCACGCTGTAGCCGCTAACCCGGAAGTCGCGTGGCCGCCACGGGACGCCGAGGCCCCGGCCGCCTGCTTCTCCTCAGCCGTGCTGGAGGAGCCTGAAGAGGGTGGAGCAGCCCTTGGTGCACAGTTCCTCCACCAGGTAAGACTTTCACCTGGCACAGTTGACCTACGCATTCCTTCCAGACAAAGGAGACATTTCAACCGTGACTATTTTATTTTAAGATTTATTTCATTTTTATTGGAAAGTCGGATATACACAGAGGAGGAGAGACAGAGAGGAAGATCTTCTGTCCAATGATTCACTCCCCAAGTGAGCGCAATGGCTGGAGCTGAGCCAATCCGAAGCCAGGATCCATGAACTTCTTCCGGGTCTCCCACACGGGTGCAGGGTCCCAAAGCCTTGGGCCATCCTCGACTGCTTTCCCAGGCCACAAGCAGGGAGCTGGAAGGGAAGCGGGGCTGCCGGGATAGAACCGGCGCCCATATGGGATCCCGGGCGTGCAAGGTGAGGACTTTATTTGCTAGGCTACCGCGCTGGACCCTCAACCCTATTTTAACATCTGTCCCTAAAGAACAAAGATGGTCTCCTACTTAACTATAATGCAGGGCCTGACTTGATGGGCTCAAGTCCTTGCCTTGAATTGGCCGAGATCCCATATGGGCGCCAGTTCGAGTTCTGGCAGCCCCACTTCCCATCCAGCTCCCTGCTTGTGGCCTGGGAAAGCAGTGGAGGACGGCCCAAAGCCTTGGGACCCTGTGTGGGAGACCTGCACCCGCATTGCAGACCTGCCTTTGGATTGGCTCAGCTAGGGCCATTGCGGGCACTTGGGGAGTGAACCAGTGGATGGAAGATCTTTCTCTTTGTCTCTCCTCTCTGTAGGTCTGACTTTCCAAGGGAAAAAAAAATCTTAGAAAAGTTCCTAATTTGGGCAGAACTTAACGGAGGATTCACAGTCCCCGCGCATCACCACCAGGGGATCGTTGAGCTAGGCTGCAGGCGCCACCTTCTGGTCGCTCATGCGCCTAGCAAACCGCTAACCTCGCTGCTGGGTTCTGGGTGCTGGTGCAGGGTTTCCCCACGTGGCCAGAGTGCGCAGGCTTTTTCCCAGCATGGTGGCTGAGTTCCAGAAGTCTGACAGGCAGCACAGCAGAATCTCTGTGCAAGGCAGAATCCTACGAGGCCCTCCAGTGATCCTCACTCTTGCAAAATGTTTCGAGTGTGAGAAGAATCTATGAATAGTATTAGATAATACTACTTCTGTGACGATCTAATAAACCACGGAATTTTGCAAATGTAAAAGTCTGAAATCAGTCAGTGTAAGGCTAGGGAAGATTCTCCAAGTCAGCCTAACCTAGTCACACAAGCCATTGGTATCTGGTCTAGGGCCTGACAGATTAAGCCGCCACCTACCACGATCGTATCCCATCTGGGCACTGATTGGATTCCCAAATTCTCCCTTTCCAATATGGCTCACTGCTGAAGTGCCTGGGCAAGCAGTGGGCCCTTGCAGCCATTTGAGAGATCTGGAAGAAGCTCCTGGCTCTTGCAGTTGGCCTGACCCAGCCTTGTCTATTGCAACCAGTTGGGGAGTAGATCAGTACATGGAGGATCTCTCTCTGTTACTGTTCCCTCTTTATGTATGTAACTCTGTAACCTTAAAAATATATTTATTTTTATTGGAAAGGTAGATAGACAGAGAAAAGGAAAGACAGAAAGATCTTCCGGCTGCTGGCTCACTCCCCAGGTGGCTGCAACGGCTGGCACTGAACCAATCCAAAGGCAGGAGCTTCTTCCAGATCTCCTTCTCAGGTGCAGGGTCCCAAGGTTTGGGTCAGCCTTGACTGCTTTCCCAGGCCACAAGCAGGGAGCTGGAAGGGAAGTGGATCAGCCAGGATATGACCGGTACCCATATGGGATCCCAGAATATGCAAGGCAAGGCTTTAACCACTGGGCTACCATGCTGGACCCGAAATAAACAAATCTTTAAAAAAAAAGTGGGGTTTAGAGGCCAGAGACAAGAGGAAGGGAGAGTTGAGAGCATCGGAGGGATTTGCTGTGAGGGTCAGCTGACTTTGCAGGTGAGGAATGACAAGTAGCCAGGAAACAGGGACTTCAGTCACATGACCATAAGCAACTGAGTTTTGCAAACAATGTGAATGAACTTGGAAGCAAGTTTTCCCTTGACTGTCCAGGAACTCTGTCCAGCTAACACATTCACTTCCTCTTCATGAGAGCCTCAAGAACAAGAGCTCAGCCATGCTGTCCCCACAAGTCTGCCCTACAGCAGCAGCAGCTAAGAGATAAATATTAATTTGTGGCAATTTGGAAAACTAGTATGAACTATATTGTTTATGGAGCCAGCTCCAGAAATCACAGCTGTCACTTTGTTCATAGTCACAAAACCAGGCAGATTTCAATGTGAGAGGACATAGACCCACCTGCCAAAGGAGTGTCAAAATCATACCTCATGAAAAGCAAATGGGGCAGGCATCAAGCCTAGTGCCTAAGATCCCAGTTATGGCACCTGTCTCCCTCATCAGCATGCCTGGCTCTGGCTCCTGGTTCTGGCTCCAGACTCCAGCTTTCCTGGTAATGCAGACCCTGGGAGGTGATGGGGATGCGGATGACCCGGTCCCTGATTTCACACTGACCTACCTATTGCAGGCACTTGTAGTGTGAACCAGTGGGTGGGAACTCTGTCTCTTGGCTGCTTAAATAAAGAAATAGAGAACAGGTGGAATGGGAAATATTGTGACCACTTATAGAAAACACAGTCTACCATGTTACTTACCTTGAAATCACATAATTATGGGTTGACTAGATCTCACATACACTATGAGGTTTAAGTGTGTTAAATCCATGGCACAGGATCTGGCGTATAAGTGCCCAGTGAATTTTAGCTGTTTTTTTAATCATCCAATGCATTCCCCTTATTTTACAGAGAAGGACATGAGGCCTTAAGGGATCACGTCGTTTATCGGGGTGGCATAGTGACGTAATAGGAAACTCTGCTCAAGTTGCCCGGAACTTCTGCTCTGTTTTGGCGTTTTCAGCCATGTAAATTCCTTTGGGCTGGGAAAGGAGTCACCAAATGAAGCATTCTTTCTTCTTCTTTTTAAAAAAAGATTTTAATTTTTATTGGAAAGGCAGATTTACGGAGGAGAGACAGAGAGAGGTCTTCCATCCACTGGGTTCCCTTTCCAAATGGCCACAACAGCTGAGCTGAGCCCATCCAAAGCCAGGAGCCAGGAGCCTCTTCCAGATCTCCCATGTAGGTGCAGGGACCCAAGGCCTTGGGCTGTCCTCTGCTGCTTTCTCAAGCACATTAGCAGGGAGCTGAATGGAAGTGGAGCAGCTGGGACAGGAATCAGAGCCCATATAGTGCATGGCAGAGGATTAACTAGTTGAGTCATCATGCTAATCCCTGAAATATTTGTTTTTTGGCTTTTTAAAAAAGATTTATTTATTTATTTATTTATTTATTTTGCAAAGTCAGATATACAGAGAGGAGAGACAGAGAGGAAGATCTTCCGTCCAATGATTCACTCCCCAAGTGAGCGCAATCCAAAGCCAGGAGCTCTTCCAGGTCTCCCACACAGTCCTTGACTGCTTTCCCAGACCACAAGCAGGGAGCTGGATGGGAAACGGGGTCTTCAGGACTCGAACTGGTGCCCATATGGGATCCCAGTGTGTGCAAGTTGTGGACATTAGCCACTGGGACTTTAGCCATCTAAAATATTTGTTATTCCCACCAGCCTTCCTAAGGCATCACTGGATGCAGCCCCAAGCACTGGATCATCTTACAGCTGGGGAAATGGAGGCACAGACAATGGAGAAGTGACTTTCCTGGCACACTCCTTTGTTTAACATTTTTTGCCTGGTAGATACTTGCTGATTGTTGTGGTTGCAGTGGATGGGCCAGACCTAAACTAATAATGGGGGATTCAGATGTTGTAATGGAACTTGGGCAGGAGTCAGAGGAAGAAATAGAAGTGAAATAGCTCTAAGGATGGAAAAAGATGCAGAGTTAGGAATGAACAAAACTACAGAGAATTTTAATTGGCTGAAGTGGAAGTAGTAAGTGACAAAACAGTTCCAGGGTTAGACAACATCAGTAATGTTATTCCTCACTGCAAATGAATTAGTCCTATTTATTCGCTGTATATTTTTAAGCTTTATTTATATATTTGAAAGGTAGAATTACAGGAGGGAGAGAGCGATTGATTTCCCTCTGCTGGTTTATTCTGCAATAGCCAGATGGAGTAGGCTGAAGCCAGGAGTCAGGCGCTCTGTTGTCTCCCATGTAACTATTAGGAACCAAAATACTCGGGTAGCCTCTTTCCCAGGTGCATGAGCAGGAAGCTGAATAAGAAGGGGAGCAGCCAGTACTCTACCAGGCCCTCTGGGATAGGGTGCTGGCAGCAAAAGCTTCGCTTTGACCCACTGCAGCACAACACTGGCCTCTGGCCACCAGGCTTCGTGGCTGAAAATAAGCAGCTATGTGTTTATCATTGTTTTAAATAATGTTTGTTTAGTATTGATATTATTGGAAGTGATAGTTCTGCTGCACAGACATAAGCCATCAGGATCTTTTATAGGACTTGACCAAGAGACACTAATATTGACATGGCTAGCAAATTATGGGAAGATACAAGCAAATACAAAGAGAAATTCAAAGATATCCTTTCCCTTTTCCCAGTCTTGGAAATATGCTATTGCTGTTGCGTGTTTTCTTCTAACCCTCATCCTTGGTCTTAGGAAATC